CTTAAATAAGTATTACCCTAAAGTTTCCAGAATTTATCGCATGGCACATCTTAGAACAGTATTCGATCTCGTTCCTAACAATACTATAATGCTGCCTACAGGTGATAGGAATCACCAAGTACTATTTTGCCATACTCAGTGCATTGTTAGAGCCGTCTGACAACGAGCGGTTAAACGCTGAATACTGGTATTTCTACTGAGGTACAAATCCGAACGAATCAGCAGACAGAATGCGAGTTTTCGAGGTTTTCCTTATGGTTTGATTTATTTTAATATGGGAAAGATCGACAAGGCTATCTGTGTAAGAGGAGAGATGGACGTACAAAGGAAAACTGGCTCCTATCCACATTACACATGGGAAAATACTTGAAGATACCTATGCAGCTTGTCCGTTCGCCTGTTAGCGAACTCAAGTCGAACTACCAATGTTCAGTGACCGATCAATAGCTGGTGGGCGGTTTTTCATGTGTAACACGAATACAAGTTAGTTTCCTTTAACCCTTTACGGCACGCTACCTTTTAAAGTCGGAGTTTTGATTTAAAAAAAAAGAGGTAGGCAGTTTAATTAGGCCTAGAGGAGTACATAAGTAAAATTTTGTGAAGATAGTTATTATCGTTTTAATTCTGTGGGTGTGCCCAAAGTGGCACACTGATTGAATAGAGCTTCGAAACGAGTGCTGAAACGAGCATTGTTGTCAATAAACTGGCCGATAAGATGCGGAGAAACAAAGAATACATACTCTCAGTTGTCCTAGATTATCGGTGAGCCCGGTCTGGACACACCTAGGGTTCGCTGTTTGATTTTAGGCACGATTTTTATACTCTAAAGAAATCTGAAAATTTTCTTTGAAAAATGAGGGTCTTAAAAAACTAAACATGCCTAAAATATATGGACTGGTTTGTGTTGAGCTGTCTTCTACTATAAATAAAGAAGCTTCAGAGTAATCTATAAATCCTTTTTCATTCAATTTTTCTTTGCGTACAGAAGGAAATTTTTAGGCGTATCCAGACCGGACACACTGTGCCGCAAAGGGTTAAAAAGGCCACTTACGAAATCATCCCTTCCCTTAAACTGAGAGCCTTTGCGTGCTTTGCCATGATCTAAATAATCCAATGCGTTCTTAGTATATTTTTGAAACATATTTTACAGGACACCTTTGAATCTATTCTGTGGCCCGACATTTTCTTAGTGACGTCCCGGAGTTAAGGTGTCAGTACATTTATGCCGGTTTCAAAAGCCTTCATGTACTGTTCAAAAATATAAAGATTTTCATAAAGGCAACCTACTATAAATGTATCTTCATTCTTATAAAGATCAGTTTCCAACATAAAATAATCATCTTTCCTAAAGGTGCGGGCACCTTGGTGTCGGAACACTACCATATCAGTAGGATTCCTTATTTCTACTCTGATTAATACAGCAAATGAAAATTCTACACTGGTGTGCAAAACTTAAGCAACAATGTAAATTTTAATCAAATGGCCATGAAATTGAAGAAAAGAGGTTCTTTCGATCAGTACAATGAACACGCAATTCAATAGAAAGGTCATGCCTACGCAAATGTCAGGAACAAAACGTCCCGGGCGACGTGAGCGTAACGCAAAACTCGTGCGGTCGGCGCGCTCAACTCAAGACTACAATAAAGGAAGGACGGGGTCGTAATTAAAGACATTCGCTGCAAGTGCAAGTGAGTTCTTTCGTTAAATATGGCTAGAAGAAATCACCTGGATGACTCCACACGTGGAAGAAAGCTGAAGGAGGGCGTAGTGTGACCTGTGTGGCTGAAGAGTTCGGAATCAACAAAAGTGTCGTAGAGTATGGTTGGAGACGCCTTGCGGCACGATTACATCCTCCGGGGAACAACCAACAACTGAAATAGATGCTGATTGAGGAATGGGAACTCTTACCTCATGATCTGTTTGACAATCTGGTGCTGAGTATGGAGAGACGGTGCGAAGCAACCATTGCAGTAAGGGAAGGGCATATCCCATACTAAGTAATATGTGCTTGCTGGTCTTCCTCTTGTACAGCAGCCATGTGTAACGATACTATGAGATCAATTAAGCCTGTTTTTGTCTGATTCCATACTGTATGCATTGTATTCATTTCCGCTCAACTATGCTTTCGTCATCGTTTAAACACAAAATGCTGTCTCTCATGTCTGAATTTCATGTCTCTCAGATCATTTCTCGTGGAGTTATGGCAAAAAGGAACAGCTGTTGCTTAAGTTTTGCACACCAGTGTACTTGAATAGTGGTGTCCGTAGCGGCGTAAAATGTGTCATTACTTTCATAAAGATTCCCGTTTCCAAATTAAACCCTGTTCTGTATAAAGATGTGGAGACCTTTTTTCGAAGTTTCCTAGTATTGCAGAAGTGAGTTTGTTCATACGTTTCCGATCCAGGTCTTTGAGAGACTTTCATTCATATCTTTACTTCACAACCACCAAAACTCATTTTGTGTCTCCACATTATGAAATCTTTAAAGCGCATTTAATGGCTTTGAAGTAGCAAGCTTCTGTGATTATTCCGACATTTGTTTATGATACACCCCTACGCTTGCTATGAGAATGAAAAATTTTGAAGATTTTCATGGAAGAGTTGAAAAATGCATTTATTCTATAATATCATATAATTTTGCTTTCAAAATACGGATAAAAATTGTTTTAGACTCAATAACTAAGACAAATTAACAAACTTTATCATTTACAATTCACGCGAATTGTCAGTGGAAGATTATTGTCTTATTCGGAATACTGTCAGTGATGTCAATAATATTAAGCTTCCCAACTTCATAATCGGTAAAAGTATAAACGCTCTATTCTTCTTCCCACAACTGCCCAAGTTTTTCCTGCCTGTTACCTGTGAGTATAGTAAACTAGCGATTTATCGGAAGTAGGTGCTTTGTTACATCCAAATAGCCATAAACTTAACTCTATTTATGGAATTAATGCCAAGGATGACGTCCATGGTTGAGCCTCATCAGCGGCCGAGTGGTAGCATCGCTGAACACTGGTAGCTTAGTCCGGGGTTCGAGTCCCACAAACAGGCTGGCTGATGGTTGATTTTCGTGGTTTTTCGTGCAGCGTGTATGAATCCCCTTTAGAGAGTTCTTCTCGAAGGCATCTCTTTTTTTAGACAGACAGCCCTCGAGTGCTTTGCAAACCAAATCGTGGTTGACTCAGTCATTATTAATACGAGAGCTAAAAAATGTTGTAAATAGGAATAAAGTAACCCATTTTATAATTTTAAAATGTATTTTCAATAATCTGTTCATTTTGGTTACATGAATTAAATCGGCGTTCATAACAAAAGAAACCGTTTCAAGTAACGGAGAAATAAACAATAGAAATGTTAAAACTAATATATAAATGGCATTAAAAAACAGTATTTACAAAAGAATTTGAACACTGTTATCGAGTTTAAAATCGCATAAAAAATCGTTTAGAGAATTTTTATGCAAAGCTTTCGTATTTAGAATTGCGTACAATTAGATTACGTACTATTGTAGATAAAAGCAACTAGCATATTATTAATTTTCTCTTCCTTTTTGTATCTGATGTAGATGATTTGTTTTACACTGATGACTGGTGAGAATAATTTTTCTCTAATTCCTCGATAAATTTAGCACTTTCTGTATTTGAAAAGAGCCGGTTAATCTTCAGCTAATTGAAGTGTCAAGTGTGATGGCGTTTGTCTTACTGTGTGCAATGTAATCTATATCAAGATAATAGTTACCATTCTTTACCATTCGGTTACAGCCGAAAACATCGCGGCAAAAACATCGCGGACGAAAACGTCGCAGAAAAAACAACGCAAGACGAAAACGTCGTGATACAAAACATCGTGGGAGAAAAACATCGCAAAGAGAAAACATCGCAGTTCCAAAACATCGTGATATAAAATATCGTCGTCCAAATAAAGCGGTTTCAAAAAATTTCGCAGTTTAAAAACATCGTCGTCGAAAATTTCGTGGTAAAAAATAAAGTATCTACAAATCATCGCATGACGATAACATCGCAGACATGCTTTTTTTCAGGCTTTAATAATTGTAAATGGAGATTTCCATAATGATTTGTGAGCGCAAGATGGAAAGAAGGATAATCTTTACTTTCATATTTTTTATTAACTATAATAATTTTTTGCTGAAAAAGTAAGAAGGAAATTTAAGCATAGAAAATTAAGGCAACTTGATAGCACTTAATAGAATTCTCATTAATATATAATTTTTTATGAAGTTTTTACTGATAATTTTTCATTAAAAGTATAATCTAAAAAAAAGTTTAGAAAACGAGGAAGCTACGTAACTGCATGACCTTATCTATAAAAAATTGCTAATTGTGAGATTATTTTCTTCACTTTTGTCAATTCTAATACTCTTATAATGAAAATAATTTCTTTTTGTTTAAATTTCTTGCTTCAGTTTTATTCTTAAGTATTAAGTTTCCTTCTTAATTTTTCATCAAAAATATATTAGTTAATAAAAAATATGAAAGTAAAAATTATCTTTCTTTCCATCTCGCGCTCACAAATCATTATGGGAATATCCATTTACAATTATTAAAGCCTGAAAAAAGCATGTCTGCGATGTTATCGTCCTGCGATAATTTGTCGATACTTTATTTTTTACCGCGATATTTTCGACGGCGATATTTTTAAACTGCGAAGTTTTTGAACCGCTTTATTTTCGACGACGATATTTTGTACCACGATGTTTTAGAACTGCGATGTTTTCTCTTTGCGATGTTTTCTCCTACGATGTTTTGTAGCACGACGTTTTCGCCTTGCGTTGTTTCCTCCGCGACGTTTTTCCCCGCGATGATTTTGCCGCGATGTTATCGGCGGACACCTTACCATTCACTGTCTTCCACATTCGCATAAAAATAAGAGACCAGTGTTTGTTGACTCAGCAACTGGTGGGATACAAAGCAATTATAATCTAGAATATTTGTTCTTGTACGAGGAGCATTTGTGCATTTCAAAATACATTTTCCTTTTCAGCTCCAAGCAATGAGCACGGCGGAGGGACCCTCGAGAGGCACTGCTCTTTGGCCAGCACTCCGTCCAAGCAGCCCGCCCCGGGGGAAGAAGGGGGCCAGGAAGAGCAACAGCAGCAGGAAGGTGACGGGAAGCCTCTGTCCAGCGCCTGGCAGGCCGCTCTAGGGGCCACGTCAGCCATGGATAAGGAGAAACAGGAGAGGAAGCGGGTCGTCCGGAAACCTCCCAAGGTGGTGGAGAGGCCCGTAAGGGCCCTCTTCTGCCTCACTCTCAAGAATCCCATTCGGAAAATCTGTATAGACATAGTTGAATGGAAGTATCCTTTTGATTTCTGCAACATATTTAAAATATATTAACTTTATGATAAATTACACATTTTATTACTAAATTACAATGAAATATTTAAGGGAAAAGTTCAGATGAAATGTGCAGAAGTTTAAAATTTTAAATGTTAAAAGCAACAAGGTCAGATAAAATGGGGAAATTGTGAAGTTATAAGTTTAATGGCTAGTGACGCTTTAAAGTATGTTCCCTGCCTACAATGAAGTTACACAAGCATAGATTTAAAATTGAAGAAACTTTATTTGTCCTTTTTTGCCTCATAGCAGATGCAGCTAAGTAGTGAGATTACAAATTAAAAGTTCGATTTCTTATAGACAACTACTTGTAACACTTCATCAGGTGATCTACCTTGAAGTCTGCAATCATTAAAATCAAATCTTGTTAATCAAGATACCTGGAATTTTTTCTTAGCATACAACAACAGATGGGAACACTTATCTACTTCAACAACCGATACGTCTTCCGGCTTAGTAATTCTTTCTTAAAATATGTTAGAATACTACTTGTAAACGTTACTGCAGCTGTTTAGTTCACAAAACATGAGTTGCAATTAACCGTTCTCGCCCTCACAAAATATAATAAAAGCAGTCTTGTGCTTTGTTAATGCCCGGCTGTCATATCTTGATCATATTTATGTAAAACGCACAATCAGCTGTCTGTTAAATTGCAAATTTTCACGACCTTAAATGTAAATATGTCGTAATATGAAAGAGTAATATTGTAATTGAGTACTGATTAGTAGCTAAGTTTAGATTACTAAAATTAATCACGCAGTCGTCAAGGATAATTAGGGAAGAAACTCCTATAGATGATCGTATAGTTTTGATAATACTAGAAACGTTGTGTACCTGCGCCCGGGATCTGCCGCTGGAAATGGCTTTGTTAGAAATCAGGTTCCCTGCTATTTTCATGAAATCCTTATTCCATAGTAAAACATAGAATTGCAACCCAGCATAGCATACTATTCAAATAACACAAACTCGCATAGTCATTCAAACTGCATTCTTATTTTTTAATTCTATATTCTAATACATGACAAAGCATATTTCTTAATGTTTAATTCCTTAATCCTCTAATCTCCCGGGAGATAATATATATATATATACAATTTAAGAAAGTTAATTAAGATTAAACATCTCTTTTACCTCGAACAATTAGGCAAAGAGGTCATCTAGGTTAGAATACATAACAGTACAGTAACATTCCTTTTTTTTTGTTTTTATTTATTAAGACCTTATACATTACTAAATTCCGATATTCATTACATTAATACTACAAAAAATTCTAACAAACACTATCTCGAATGAACACAAATTAAAGGAAAATTAGTATTCTCTATAATGATAAGAGAAACAGGGCTCCTGGAGTCCTTCGAGTAATCAAGCAATAAAAGAATGAAAATAAAATTCCTTAAGAGAGAGAAAAAGAAAAATAAACTTAGCTCTTACTTAGCTTAAACCTATAAGGTAAAAGAATGGTCTGGCGTTCTATTTTTTGCTGAGGTCACTAATCGTGTCACTCCCACGCATTGTCCGCTGTTCCGTCGAGAAAGGCAATGGGCTCGTCGTATGGTGTTTCGTCATGGGGAAGGCACCTCCCGTTGACACATCTACTTCGTCGGTCATCCACCCCCTTCTCTCGTCAATCTTCAGACAGGTTCGTAGAGAACACTTAAAAAAAATCATCATCGTAGCGGGGCAACGGATGAGGCAAAGTCCATAATCCTTTACAGCAGACAAATCACGTCGACAATGCGTGCCCCTTGGATTTTGATGGTGTAGAAGGCAATAATATCACAGACTCCCCACGAAAGGACTTCAAGAACGTAACAAAAGGAACACCACAAGCAAGAACGTAAGAATAGTTCTCTATTTGACTCAGCAGCTAAACAGTGCAAGAAGACCAGATAAGCACGTTCAAGAATGTCAGCAGCAAACGCAGAAAAAAAAATCCAAATCCCAGAGAGCGAATACTCCAATTTTTTCCTCGAAATTACGACAAGCATTGCTTTCCAGACTTGGCAAAACTCGCCCCTCAGAAGCTTCCAAAGTCCAATCTGTTTTCCAAAACCGGTCAAGTCTACTGCCCAAGTCTGCTACCTACGAAAATTCGTCACTTCTTTCGGAACCGGCTCGCCAAAATCCTGACCTCTTCCCTACCTTTCCATTAACCTTCCTGTTTACAAGTATACTTGACCACGTAACACCTCCCTTCGGCTAAACTCCGAATAAAGACCTAGCTTCTAGAATCCTGTGGAACATTCCCTGAGCAAAAGAAGACAGGAAAAAGAAAGCAAAATGGCACAAAGTAAACGAATATCAGGCGGCCCTGTTTCTTTAAATTAAATCATTAAATCAAACTAACATTTCACAATTAATCCATTGCAGTTCTCTAAATTTTTCCCTTTCACTTTATATTAGAAAATTTTACATATAAATTTTACTTGAGTCACTGGTTCACAGACTGTATCCCAATATATTAAGAATTAAGCGAAAATAAAAGAAAAATTAATCTCCTTATAATAAAAATGCACGAATAAATGCTTCTTTCTAGAGAAAAAAATTAAACTTGAAATCTAATTAATTCAGCAGAATACAGAAATCTCGAATTTTACTACACAACATCTCCATCTATTTGCATAATCTATGAAGTTAACTTGACACACTTATCTATATTATCGAAACTTGCTTCAGTAATTTGGTAATGCATCATTCTTAGGTGTAGTTTCTCAAAATGGTTGCCCTCTTATAATGCCGTATTGCTGTGTACTAGCGTGCTGTATAATAATGAAATAAATTAGAATGTAAATGCAGCACAGTTTGGAATATTTGTATGGTTCAGATAATAAAAAATAAAAGTTATTCTTCTTTTGCCCGATGACATTTAAAGTAAACATTAATGAAACAGCAATATAAAGTTTGAAGTAATTAATTAAATTTAAAATAAAACCATATAACTTCTTAATGGTATATAAACAGTCCTTTGAGCAAAAGAAACTCCATAAGTGATTAAAACATTATTATTTTTATGTTTTTTATTCTTAATGGAGTGACTACTGAGAGTAAATCCTTTACTTATCGCGAAGTGTCTAAATGGTTAACTGAATTATTATCAATACTTTTATTGGCTATTGTGATTATATTCCTTAATGTTTTTCTAGGCCTTTTGAATATCTTATACTTTTAACCATTTTTGCAAATTGTATAGCTTTAGCCGTATTTACTCCCTTTCCTTATGGCGACTCCAACACTGTAAATGCTTATCTGGTAAGTGACTTTGCCTTTTTAAAGTAATTATTCTTTCCCCCTTTTTTCGTGTGTTCGTATATTACAGAAAGAAAATCTTTAATTGTTGTTAGGGATATAATTTGACAAAATTGAAAAAATGTGGACTTAATGAAACTTTTTTTATGCACATTAGTTATATAATGATAAGAAGAAATCTTAACAATTGTTCACGTGACATTCATTATAAATGTTTTAATAAATTCACTTTTGTTAATATCGATAACTGTATATTTCCTTACATAAGCCTGGAGGAGAGATTTTTCTGCAAAAATTTAGCTGAAATTGGAAACGCATGTGTAAGCCTAGTTTAAATCTAACTGCAAAATATTCGAATAATGGTCGTTAGCTAGGTCTGTCAAAGAATTTAAAGGCGAGTGTCAAGTAATTTTCTTTTCAGAAAATAGGCCAGAATTGGTAGTCACCCCGTTCAAAAAATGTTGCATGATTAAAGCTATGAACGGAAGTTATGATGATATCTAGGAGTTGTCAACTTCATAACTATGAATTGGAGGACAATACTATTTACTAGAAGTTAACTGTAGTAGAAAATTTCTGAGAATTACTAGAAATCGGATACCGATACTAAGAAATTTAATTATTATATTAAGATTAAGTAATTTTTTCAATTGATTTCAATTATTAGTATTTTCCAGTTATTCATTTTTGTATTCCCTTTTTATGCTTGAAAGTATGTGGTAATGTTCTCAACTTTCAGGTAGATCAACTAATTTTTAACTTTTCCTGTCAATGAAGAATACTTAATAAATTTCCTATGAACGATAGAATTGGAATGAACCTAAGTCAAATGATATTTTACGATAAGAATAAATTTGATACTGATGAAAGCAACGAAACTAACCACAGAAGAGTTACAACTTTACCTGCAATCTGATTCTGGGATCTGAATGAGTTTTCTTCATGCGGGTATCGTATCTTTTACCCCGTATGCCGGAAATATGAGCCAGTTTGGCTTGTATAGACCTAAATTAGTTTAAATATGCCATGAATGTACTTTTTATGGACCAAAAGAACGCTGCAGTGCTGGAATAAAGTAAATAATTTTGATAGATTTTATTCTTATTGCGCTTAATCTAAAGACCTAGTAACCTCACTACATTTCCGAATATCGTTTCGTTCCGTTTTAACTTAGAATCCATCAGATCCAATCACATCAGAAACACACAGAATAACTACACTTTGCATTTTAAGTTTCTAAAGTTCTGCTGCTCCAAACTTATGTTTCGCTTGTCGTTTAAACTGACTTTTTACTTGGATTTTCTGGCTAAAAGGATGACACACTGGAAAAGCAGGAAAGACTCAATATAATAATGTATTGATCAAAATAAACCTTGTAAAGTAAGTAATTCTAACTGCTGTTATATGATGTAAACATCACATAACAGCATGAATAGATAATATTTCCTCTAATTTTTACTGTCGAGATTCATTATTAATTTTCTCTTCAACAGAATTTATGGTTCATGAGACAACTTTCATTGAACTGTTTCGTGGTATAAATCAATCATTGATTAATATAACCGACTAATATTATTGATTTTTACGAATGACGTAATTCTAGGAAAGTTAAAATTAAGCACAATATTAATACATTATGTAAAACCATTTAATCCAAATATAAAAATTTTTACTTAAATTTTTTACGTTTTATTTTTTAATATTTTTATAAATATTTCGAAAACATTTTTGTATTATAACCAATAAAATTGTTAACATCATCTTAAAGTAGATGCATTTCTAGGCACACCTGCAAAAAATTAGTTTTTTATTCAAAACGTTCTAAAATATACATGAAATTACATATTGACACGTTTTGAAATTTGACCTTTTTTTTTCTTGGTGTGTTTTTTGAGCGATAATAATGCCAAATGTGGCTTACGTACTTTGTTAAAATTATTTGATAGCATGAAAGATACCTCCATTCGTCTGCAATGTAAAACAGGAAAGTAAAACTAGGTTGCTATAAATTAAGAAGATAGCCAAGTAAATTATTCTTGGCGCAAACTGAAAAAAATGCGCCAAGATCAATTTTGAATTTCTTCGTGAATATCGCACTAAATTTTACTAAATTTAATATTTAGGCATAATTTCGTAGAATCGAAATATGGAAAACAAATGGCATGTCATTTTAGCAAAAGTCCGATTTTGTGTCAAAATACATATGTTAGAATAATGCTATATATAAATCTAATATATATCCTAAGTCGCGCTTTCGAAATATGAAAAACGCAATTTGAATTTCGTCAATCGGCCCAGCAGAACGGGAAATGTAAAACTGTCCCCCCCTTTTTTGCGCAGTGTACATACAATATGTAATTTATTTAATAAATGTTGTATAATTTCATTTTATTAATATTTAATTATTTATGTAAACACTTATTATATTTGTGCAAAAGTTACCAGTATTAATAGTAGGTGACATAATTTTTCTTTCTTTCTAACAAAAAGTATATATATACTTAAGGACATATAGGAGTGATAATAGCAGCTGATCGCTGCTTCTCATGATAGAAGCCCTAGCGTTTCCTCACGGAATACTATTGTTTCCTGGGGATTCGCCAAGTTTTCCTAAAAACATTTTGAGCTTTTTTTTCGTGCATTTCCTATTTTTTACGTGTATGTACTTTCAAAGTGTAATTTAATAAGTATTATATAGTTTGAGTTAATGAACATATAATTAGTTGCATAAACATTTATTATTTCTATACGAATAACTAATGTAATGTTCTTATTTCTTTATAATAAAAAATATGGTTATTCAATTGTAGTAATACTGCTATATAACTGTTAAATTGTGGTAATACTGCTATGTAACTATTAATATAGTTAAAATAATACTTTAGGGGTGTGTTAGTTTTGCATGAAATAAATGCAAAACTTTACGTTCGTATGCGTGTATAATATTCATGTTGTTTAATTAAATTACATCTGAAATACGTTATAAAAATATTGCTGTGACTGCATCCTTCTTGAAACCCCTTTGAAAAGCTTCCTGACGCCCCAGTATTTCACGTCTATTTCGATAAAGCAAGTACTTCTAACAAGTAAACCTTCTTTCCTTTGATACCGGTTTCCCGGAAACCCATATATTTTCTGAAAGCTTATGTCACAAGTAGAAAAGCTGTGAAGTCTTAGGGGCAGAGGGCTAAGCGTTTATGATCTATAGCAGTCTCCAAACTACGGCCCAAGGGCCAAATCTGGCCCGCGAGCACTAATAATCCGGCTCGCCAGGGGTTTCTTTAAAATAATTTTTTAAAATTTAAAGTAACAAAAAACATACACATTAAATATTTTATAATAACAGCCAATCTAGAAAAGCGTTGCCTATCATGCGCGTTGTATATAAAACATAATATAGACATTATACAATCATTTCTAAATTTACTATGAGGGAAATACGCTCTATATAAAAAAATCTGATGTGGACACACATGAATTCCTCATATTTCCTTTAAATTAGAGATCTATTTTTTTCACTTAAAAACTCTCGAATTTCATTAGTTCTCAGTTCTCACTTGAAAAACAATTCATGTTGAAATCGTACTTGTGACAGGCTGCATTTAAATTCATAACAGTTAAACAAAAAGAGGCAAAGAAATCGTCTCAAACAAATACAGAAGAAAAACCAAATGTGGGTTTTAGTAGTCCGTACTCGTTTTCGAGTATACTTATCAACTTTTTTTAAATATTTATATTCTACGAAACTGTTTGCATGCAGATTAAATAAGTCATAAAACTTCTTGAGTACAAGGAAGTAAAAATCGCAAAACTCTCATTACTTACAAGAATAAAGGTTTCGGTCGTGTAACAGATCTTCAGGTTTAGTAGTAGCATTCTAAGTTGCTTCATAGAAAATTTCAGTAGTGATTTTATTTAAATCTTAATTTTTTTAGATATATGTTGTAAATTTATTTTTGATAATTTTCGAGAAATTTTTTTTTTTTTTAAGTCCAAAGGGAAAAAAAAAAAGTTTCGTTTTGGCATTTTGAGTTGGACTCATAAAGTCGGTTCACTTTCAAACTGTTGCCACAAAATTTAGAGTCCGCATTATTTTGTTGAAGAAGGAAGTTAAATAAGAAAATCTGTGTTTTTGTAATTTCGTGGTTGTGTTTGTAGTTTGTAGAGTTTCGAATTTTTCGAATAGTTATTCTGAATTGAGCATGTGGAAGACCAAAGTTTGAATTTGAAATTTTTGTTTTATGATCGATTTCCTATTTTTTAAAACTTTGACGAATTTTGATTAACAAACTCAATTTCAAATGCGAGCCAATGCAACGTTGTGCAGAAAAAAAACATTTTTAATAAACTCCGGTACATAGTGAATTTTGGAATATAATCCGCCTCCAAAATTCTAAGCATGTGGAAGACCAAATTTTGAAATTTTGTTTATGATTTATTTCTAGGTTTTTAACAATATTTAATAAAGAAAGGTAAACACAAGGTTAAAAAACGACCCCTTTGGACGTAATTTAAAATCTGAAACATTTCAGATTTTTTTTTTTTTTTTTTCAAAAACTTGCTTATGGAGCGAATGTTTGCAGCTGATCAAAATGTAAACAAAATGCGCTGATAAATCGATTGAAAGCAAAGTAAATACTAAACCGAAGAAATCTCTAATTTCTTGGACAAAATTATATTTTTGCAAATGTTTAAAAACAGCTTTAAGAAATTTAGTTAGAAAAACTGCATGAAAGTCTAAAAAACAAGGATCTCTTTGTAAGATCATAGCGTATAGATCCAATCACAAAAATCTCACTGCCTCGTTTAAAAACTTGTATGCTGTTCATCATAGTTGCTTTGCCATTGGATGATGAACTAACTGGATCTTGGCCCTCGAAACTTCGTTAAAGCCCCAATATGGCTCGCGGGCTGAAAAGTTTGGAGACCCCTGATCTATAGTACCCACAAAGTATCATTAAAGTGTGTATAGATGAATATATTGCAGCAAAGACGTCTCTATTTTTTGTATGTTCATGCATGGTCTGCTTCCGAAGTACCTGATGCTCAAGTCCTACAAAAAAAACTGATACCTGAAGGATGTACGGGATAATGCTTATGTCCAGCCTCTGGGTATTCATTTCTTCAGATACTACAAATCTTTCGTTCGTTACACAATGGACACAAGTATTATCGAGACACAGGAGTACATTTGGCATGGCGATAGGTTTCCGGCCCTGCAGACTTTTCACTAAATCAGTCCTGCGCTCATCGTATCAAGAACTTGATTAAGTTTGCTTTTTATAAGGACGGATACTTGGACGACGAACCTGGAATGTGGATTGCGCCAATGGATTACTGCTTCGATTTATTGACAGATGATGAGCGTGCAAAGTGTGAGGCTATCGCTTTCGTAAAATGTGCCCAATGCTAATTGCCTTTCTGCACGTCTCAATGTTTATTTGATGAACTTCACATTGATTGTCTCTTGTAATAGATTTTGTTTGAAGTCAATAACAAGTTACATTCTCAGCATATTGTTTCTTTTCAAAGAGTTGTTTTTTCCTTTATATTGAGATCTCCACCTTCTTACCAATATTATTAATTCATATAAATACGAAAAGCGAGCATTTTAGCCACGTTTGGTGTCATGTTTCCAACATTTTACTGATACCTTGTGGGTTCTATAGCTTCTAAACGCTTGTCCCTCTGCCCCTAAGACGTCACAGCTTTTCTACTTGTGAGTAAGTTTTCATAAAATGTATGGGTTTCCGGAAAACCGGTATCAAAGCAGAGAAGGTTTACTTGTAAGAGAGCGGCTGCCATTTTCAGAAACAGAACTTGTGGCAAATTCTATTTATCAACGGACTGTTGACAGACTCTTAGCAAACTGTTTCTATGTAATATATATTTTTTAATAATATTTCTTCCTCTTTTAGGAAAAAATAGAATATGTATTTTTGGTGATATTTACGGCCGAGTGCGTGATGAAAATCGTCGCGTACGGCCTTGTGCTTCATCCTGGTGCTTATCTACGAAATACGTGGAACATGCTCGATTTTGTAATAGTAGTTATAGGGTATGTTTATAATATATTTTATTTTACTACTTTAGAGCAAATGCTTTAAAAAATTTTAACTTGATACTTGAAAATTTCATTTCCTATTGTTTAACTATAATTATAATTTTACTGTATGCACATAATGTATTTACTTTTTTATATGCATATATTAATGTTTTAAAGTATTGCTGTCTGTTAAAGAAAGGCGAAAAGAATTGATTATGTATTTATGAATTTTTTATAATTATGAAATGGAAAGAACATAATGATAGCAACATGTGTATTTCGTGAAATGCTGGGAATCGATATTTCATTAGTATGAATTGTGACAGAAATACATAAGGTGCATTTAAATCCACTTGGAAAACTTACAGATCTATATGATAAAAAGTATAGTATAAGTAAATTTTGAAAAACTGCATATTGAAAACTTTTTAACAAAACCCCGAATTAGTTTAATGCTTTGAAGGTCGTACTATTAATGTTTCAAAAATTTAAAAAAAAGATTAAAAATTTCGAATCCTAATCATCGTAAAATTAAAAAGAAGAAACTGCAATCTGATTCTGATATGCATATTTCAGTTTAATACCAGGCATTAAGCAGTTTGCTACTAAGTTTAGAATACTAGTTTACAACAAGTTGAAGAATTATTTCTCCCGCCCTTCGAAGGCGCACCAGCGGTCGAGCGGTAAAGTCGCTGAACACTGGTAGTTTGGTCCAAGGTTCGAATCCCCCCGAACGGGGCTGTTTGCATGTGCATTTTCGTGTCTTTTCCCTGTGTAACGTCTATACGGCCCAATTTCCCTCAGAAAGTCATCCTCGAAAGCATACCTTCTCTTAGGCAGATAGCTCTCGAGGCTTTGGCTTTGCCGTAATTAAATAAACCAAATCAAAAGCTGCTGTGTTTAAGTACTAAAATGCAGATCGTATGCCCGAACTTGCTTAATCTCTGTCCTTCCTCTGCCACAAATCTCGTAATGGGACTTTCAGCCTGTCAGATTTAACGGGCTGTCGTTTCTCATAGGCATAACATCCATGCCTTATGTGGGATATGAAATCAAATCTAAAGGCATGATTTAGTTACTGTATAAAGTGATACTCATTGTTGTAATGATAACAGTTGAACAAGATCATTTAATTGAGATTATCGTTAAAATGGTGAACTGGATTATCTTTACATGCGTGTATTTTTGTGCGTGTTGTACGTGTGTGTATGCTCGTAAGTGTACGTGCTGTATGTATGTGAGCGCGCTAGAGAATGAGAGTGAGTACTGAGTAATTTGCCTGTACTTAGCAGTTACTTTTTTAAAAGTGAATTAATACTTTTGTGGGTCAGCCTTTAAATCGAGGATATCGTTAAATCGGAGTTTTACAGCATTTTAGTTAATTTTACTAACCTAATTTTATAAGGTATTTCTCCCGCCTTCTTGCCATGTCTTCGTGGTGTGGTGATCTGTACGCTGGGCGGGTATTCCATAGGTCCGTGGTTCGATTCCCGGCGAAGGCGTTGCATATTTTTCATCTTGCCTGCTTCCCAAAAATTACCAAAATTACCTTATGTTTCTACACTGGCGCCTGAACTTAAAAGGGTTGATGATGATTCTCCTCACCCAGAATTTGGCGATTGGGTCATCTAAAAACCCCAGTCGCCCTTTAAAAGGGGGAGCTTATAAGATATTTCTCCCGCCTTCTTGGCATGCCTTCGTGGTGTGGTTGTCTGCACGCTGGGCGCGTATTCCAGAGGTCCGTGGTTCGATTCCCGGCGAAGGCGTTGCTCATTTTTCTTCTTTCTTGCTTCCCAAAAAATACCTAATGTCTCTACAATTTATTAACACACATTAGGTTAATTAGGCAATATTTTCAAGTCTTCGTTGAAATTATGATATAATATTGTAAGTCATGCTCTTAAGGGGACTCGTACACCTTAAAACCCATAAAATGTTCGAATAGATGCAAGAATTGTCATAACTTATTTATTTAAAAGCAATTACTACAAACTTTTTACAGCTGACTACATAATATGCTTTCTGAATAGTCACATCAGAAAGTTTGTGTTGCCACAAATTTTTTATAATTTAATCCGCTTTGTGACAACATTTTCGTCATGGTTTCCAATTTTTAAACATTGTTTCATAATTTAATTCCATATCTAATATATAAGCTTTTATAACATTTGGAAACTACTGTGAACCTAAATTCAAAAATTTGTTAAATTTTTATTTATTTTGAGTTTATAAATGTATTTTATTAAAAATTTGTAATGTTTTGTCCATAAAATTTTCAATACTAAAATATTCATCAGATGTTGGTTCCCCATATAAAGAATTCCATCCAATTTCAAGTATGTACCATTAACCATCATGCGCGCAATGGTGGAAACAAAAATGTCACAAAAGAGGCAAAATATTGTGTTTCTTACTAGTTTCCAAATGTATTATGTAGTCAGCTGTAAAAAGTTGGAAGTAATTGCTTTTAAAATAAATAAAATATCCCAATTCTTGCAACAGTCACATTTTCGAAGATCATGAGGGGTTTAAGGTGTATGACTCCCCTTAATTCATAAGAATGAAGAGCAAAATAATAAACATTTATTTTCTTAATTCTGTATTTATGTTTCTGATGTTCTGGATTTATGTTATAAAACCGTTTTTAGTCTTGCTATGTATGTGAATTGTAGAAAACGGTTAAGGACGTTATATAATTTTGGATATATCTTGCGGATGAGGAAACATTTAACTGATATATGATCTATAAATGTTGTTAAATATTTGCCTAAAAAACAAAGATTAATTAAATTTCGTTCTTGTTTTTCGTCAAAAAAGCAAAAACGCACATTTTTAACACATCATTAAAGCGAACAAGAAAAATATGGTTGTTCGGATAAAAATGGTTTTGAATGAGGTTATGGGTTTTTTCTGACCCAAAGCAATGCCACATATCTTTGAGGGAGGAAGTTATCAAGGAACAACTTGGTTCTGCAAAAAAGCGGTTTCTAGCTGCTGGACTGTTTCTGAAGGTGATAGGTGAGACAGCAACCCTTCTCTTTAGAATGCCCCAAATACATGCGACTGGATTTATATCTAAGAAACGCGCTAATTAATCTATTCGAAGGATACTTTATTTAAAAAGTAAGTCGTCTATTAGTTAACTTTGCGATTTGCCATCCGTTGAAAGTCATTTCACCCCCAATGTGCTGCACCGTAAGAGACAGAAAAATATCTCCCTACACCGCTAAATCAACAGTGATTTCTTTCTGATGACGTACTGGTCGGAAGGACCATAAAGAAGACAACCATTAATAAAGAAGACCATCGCATCCTCTATTCAAAATCGGATACTTTCGTTCACAAATGCCGTATTTCTAGAGCCACATTGTATCTAAATGATACGTCACATGTTGTCTGATTGTACCATAACGTGAGACTGATATAATCGCTGTTACAGAAACACAGACCACAGGTCTGTGAGCAAATAAATTAATACAATGGAGTGTGTTTCCAATGGAACACTAGTGTCAGTATTTGCTGTTCATGCCGCGATTTTGTCTAGCCCTTAATATTAAACAGCTGTCCTCATTTGGTGCTGACTTTTTCCTAGGCTTTGCGTACATTTTTAGTTTCCAAAAAGCCGGTTCCATGGTCTTGAAATAACACTCTGGGATATTCCAAGGCATCCACCACAACGAGATCCGTTTAAGGGGACTCGTACACCTTAAAACCCGTAAGATCTTCGAAAATGTGACTGTTGCAAGAATTGGGATAACTTATTTATTTAAAGGCAATTACTTCCAACTTTTTGCAGCTGACTACATAATATGACTGCTTTCTGAAATAGTAATCAGAAAGTTTGTGTTGCCACAAATATTTTTATAATTTAATCCGCTTTGTGACAAAATCTTTCGTCATGTTTCCACCTCGCGCGCACAGTTTGAAACATTATGTTGCATAATTTAATTCCATATTTAATATATAGCTTTAATAACATTTGGAAACTACTGTAAACTAAAAATTCTAAGAATTTCATGTTAAATTTTTATTTTACTTGTGAGTTGAGTTTATATAATGTATTTTATTAAAAAAATATGTAGATGTTTTCGTGCATAAAATATTTTAGTATTAAAATATTCCATCAGATTTTTGGTTCAGTTAGAAAAAATAGTGCTCTATATTAAAGAAATCCATCCAAATTTCAAGTATGTACTATTAGCCATTTTTAAATAATATATTGCGCGCAAAGTGGAAACATGACGAAAACTTTTGTCAAAAAGAGGATTAAATTACAAAAATATTTGTGGCAACACAAACTTTCTGATTACTGGTTTCCAAAGCAGCTATATTATGCAGTCAGCTATAAAAAGTTGGAAGTACTTGCTTTTAAAATAAATAAAATATCCCAATTCTTGCAACAGTCACATATTCGAAGAGCATAAGGGGTTTAAGGTGTATGAGCCCCTTAACTAACTTGTAAATGACCAATGGCTTTCCAGGATATCAATTCAATTAAGTAATGTTATTAAGGTATTGCATTCACTTCTGTAAAGTGTCAACTTCAATTCTAATCTTCCTCTACATAAAGAATGTTAGAAGTCACTTCTAAATTTTCCACGCCACAGACATAATTTACAAATTCAAAAGTTAATTGACAAATTCAAAACTTAGTAAATATGACAATTTTCCTTTTTAATCTTTTTTTAAAAAATAGTGGACTATGTATTTGTCTTAGACTGACCTCACAATATTCGCCAACAATTGCACTCTCTCTACATGTAGTATAACTGCATTTCTGAGAATGTATTTATTCAAATTCAAACCAATATGATTCTTTCATTTCAGTGTAATCAGTACAGCCCTTTCCAACCTCATGAAAGAAGGTTTCGACGTAAAAGCTTTAAGAGCATTCCGTGTACTAAGGCCTCTTCGGTTAGTCTCTGGTGTACCAAGTAAGTTCTCTCTCATCATAAAAACTGAATTCAGATCTTTGTATCAAGTTTAATTTTTTTTAAAACTGTCATTTCACAGCATTTAATCAATTGCAAATCATACTTCTGGTTTAGTATTTCCTAATGGATAGTATATAAAGAAAGTTCTTAAGACAAAGAATGTATTATATTCATCGCATTCATTTTGGACTGCTAGTCTTGTAGCATAATAACGTAATAGTCCTCACATGTCGTATTCCGTTCCGTGCCTGCGTTGTTGTTAATGTCATTCATTTTCTAATATTATTTCATTGCATTTACTTTCAGTTTTCATTACTTTATTATTAGTTTCAGGGGTTTCATGACCAGTTTTTTGTTCGCGTCTAAAAGGAATATAGAAAAATAAGACTAAGAAGGAACAAGATAAGTTGTTGAACTTAGTTGAGAATTTTGAAGCTTTTTCATTTTTGGATGCAAAAAACGGAAAAGCTGCGAATTTAAAAACTTCTAGATCTAAAAAAAATCATATTTTCGGTGTCTAAAATTTCGTGTCTAAAAAGAAGACGAAGAAGTGAACAAGATAAGTTGTTGAATAAAAAATATAAAAGGAATATAGAAAAATAAGACTAAGAAGGAACAAGATAAGTTGTTGAACTTAGTTGAGAATTTTGAAGCTTTTTCATTTTTGGATGCAAAAAACGGAAAAGCTGCGAATTTAAAAAACTTTCTAGATCTAAAAAAAAATCGTATTTTCGTGTCTAAAATTTCGTGTCTAAAAAGAAGACGAAGAAGTGAACAAGATAAGTTGTTGAATAAAAAATATAAAAGGAATATAGAAAAATAAGACTAAGAAGGAACAAGATAAGTTGTTGAACTTAGTTGAGAATTTTGAAGCTTTTTCATTTTTGGATGCAAAAAACGGAAAAGCTGCGAATTTAAAAAACTTTCTAGATCTAAAAAAAAATCGTATTTTCGTGTCTAAATTTCGTGTCTAAAAAGAAGACGAAGAAGTGAACAAGATAAGTTGTTGAATAAAAATATAAAAGGAATTGAAAAATAAGACTAAGAAGTGAACAAGATAAGTTGTTGAACTTAGTTGAGACTTTTGAAGCTACATTTTTGGATGCAAAAAGCGGAAAAGCTGCGGATTTTAAAAACTTTCCAGATGTCAAAAGTCCTATTTTTAATTAAAACAAAAAGTTTAATAAATAGGTAAAATTATTCCGGAAAACTAAGGAAAATTTCTAGTTTTTTTAGTTAAAAAACAGTAATTTAATTAATAGCATTCACTTTGAAAGACATAAATACTTTTGAAGTACAACGTCTAACAACTGGAAATTTAATTATCCTATCACTTTTTTCTTCCAACTCTGAGTCCCAGCGAACAGGCTGGCATGGGCATTTTGGTGGCTTTCCCCGTGTGTAACGTGTATACGAGCCAGTTTCTCTCAGTAAGTCCTCCACGAAGACATCCATCTCCTTAGGCAGATAGCTCTCGAGTGTTTTTTCGTAGTTAAATAAACCAAACCAAACCTTCCACCTCTCTGATAGTTTGACGTTCCATTATTTTAATGTTCTTGTTTAGAATACAACAAACAATACTTTAATGTCATGAGATTCTTTTTATTATTTATGGGCATTTAGCAAATGCGCTGGAAGAGATATGAATCAGGTTTGGGCGGAAATCTTTGCTTTTTTCTTAGAATAATAAAGTAACCTCTTGCCAAGCGCAAAATGAATATTATACTTTTTAAAAATATATATAGAAATAAATACTACATTATAAATCGCTTCAAAACTGGTTTCAGAATTTCAAATTCGTACCGAAACCATTCCATGGTGAAAGAAGAAATTATTTGTTGCTGATTACAATAGTTCTATAAACCAAGCGATTTCTAGATGAAGTATTTCATTGATATCTGATGTTCTATTTTATAATGCCAGTTCGGTTTTGTTACTTCCATAAACAAGCATAGTTCTAAAAAAGCGTCTTTGCAAACGGCTGAATTACAATAGGAAGGCTCCTATTGATTCCTTACTTTACTTGCTTCATTTATTTTCCAATATTAAGATGAAGACAAACTGAACCAAGCTTTTATGTTTCGCCGTTCATCAATTCAAGGTTTACAAAAGATGACCTTCAGTTTGTTCTTCAAGTATAACTAATAACTTAGTTTTCCTTTTTTGGAGCTCGTTTTTATCAGATTTTTTTTAAAGGGAAGGAAAGATCACGATGAGTGCAGTTATAGTTAGTTGACAAAGAAGTTTGAATGTCTTCAAATAGAAAGTACGACAAGTTTGGCAGAATATTTCTGTTATTGAATTTCAGCCAGCTGTGAGAAAAATGACATTGGTAAATAAAAAAATGCAGAGAAAATGTTATAAAGAAGGAATAAAAGTAAAATTTATATTATGCGTTGAAGGAAGTTCAGATATTTTAGGGTTCCTTTATGTCCAGCGTCATAGATTTTAGTATGTTTTTAATTTCTCTTTCTTCTTAATCCTCAGTTTCCAGTACTCAAATTGATCACAAGCGAATGCATTTCTTATAAAATCAGGCACTGCTACCATTTTAAAAATGATCAAAGAAGCTGATTTTCGCTCCTGAAGAAGAGGGGCCTGCATCTGATGCTCTCAAAATTGATAGAGTTTTATATAATTTAATATTGCTTTTTAGCAATATTAAATTTTAGCAATATTAGTTTAAAATTTTACATTGGCGTGTTTGTCTTTCATTAGATGGTTCGATTTATTATTTTACATACTGAAATTTACCTTAATACGTTTTCTTGAAAATTATTCGCTACTCAAAATTCAAAAAATCTTATTTCGTACAAATATGTTTGTCATTAGTATATTGCGTTTTCCTTTTAACTGAAAACATGGAATATTTATTACCAAGGAGACTTGGATTTTTGTCTGTTTTAAGAGGATTAACTTCGTGGGAAAACTTTCTAAATGAAATTGGATGCATTCATTTTTTTTTTTTAAATTATTCGAAAGCTATATGAATCGTCGAGAACCAAAAGTGACCCAGATAAAACTGTTGTCCTATTATAGAACTCTTGTTGTTAAATATTCATTCGCTAATCTGTTACGCTGTGACACAACCCCTCACAGTGACTACGTTTTGAGTATTCCATAGCGAGTTTATGCTAATAGCCATACGTGTTTCGCATTACTTTGCACTTGTCAATATGTGCATTGTCTCTGGATAGCGATCCGCAAGCGCCTGTGTCGTGTTTCTGTTGATATATCGGACCATTCGCCAAACCCCTATATACAGTGTGTGAATTTTTATATGCTCTGCACACGATATACATTGCATCCTATACACACTATATGTATACCTATTCTCCTAGACCACCATATGCATTTTTTATCGTTTTTTCCCTCCTAGGCAACAAAAATGTTTCTTTAGTTTTATACGAGATTCTTGCTGTGCATGAAAGTTCATGCATTAAAATATAAAGTAATAAAAATATGTTCTTCTCTTTCAGGTTTACAGGTTGTGCTCAATTCCATTTTAAAAGCCATGGTACCCCTTCTCCACATCGCATTACTAGTCATCTTTGTTATCATAATTTATGCTATTATAGGTCTTGAACTGTTCTCAGGAAAAATGCACAAGACCTGTTTCGATAATGTCACAGGTTGGTATAAATTAGAGTTTTCTCCCCCGCCGCTTTTTCCAGCTTTATATAATTAGCGAAGGAAAATTTTGGTAAATTATTAAGAACTGAATAAACTTTTATTCTTTCACATTAATTTTAAATACACTGTAGAGAAATGCATTAACTTTAAGTACGCTGCATTAATCACGTTAATTTTAATTACCCTCCATAGAAACTATTTTCATGTTTTAAAACTTCTAGGTTATAATTTCATTAATTCTGTAACCGACTTTACTTAAATTGCTTACTTTGTTGATGCTATTAATTTAGGGTATAAAGGCGAATTTCAATATGAAATACAAACACTTTATTTAGATTGATTAAGTTAAAAGAAAAATTAAAAGAGAAATAGTGCTGTTTTGTGTACTTTGCTTATTACATTTTGAACAGTATTTCATTCATTGCGCAATACCGAAAGTCATTTGTAATTCTGTTGTTGTAAGTACAAGTTTCTCACTAGAACCAACACAAGGAATTTAATAATACTTATTATCTTTTTTTTACTTTTATAAAAGTGGGTGTGGGGAGTAATGTCTAGTTCCGTCCCCTGTTTGATCTGTCTGAATTTAAGGAATTTTAAAAAATCGTGTTTATGTCAATATGCTGAGAAAATTCACGTTAATATTAAATGTTATTAATATAACATAATATTTCTGAATTTAGTTTAATGGTTTAACTTTATTAAAACTTAAAAGTTGTATGTAAGCTGTATTTGACTATGTTCTTTATAAACTGGTGGGAAAAATTAAAGGATCAGCTATAAAATCTCATGGAAATTGAACTATTTTGCTGATAACAATTTGGAATTTACCAAAGATCTTTATTTTGCCATGCCTAGCGTATCTTCAAAATGAAGAATTTACTATATCTGGAAAAAAATTAAATAAGTAAACAGGTCATATTGTACACACATTAGGTTATTTTTATAGCAGGAGTGATGAAAAATGAGCACGCCTTCGCCGGGAATCGAAACCGCGGACCTCTGGAATACGCGCCCAAAGTGCAGATCACCAAACCACGAAAGCATGCTAAAAAGGCGGGAGAAATACCTTATATACTCCCCCTTTTAAAGGGCGACTGGGGTTTTGAAGGAACCCAATCGCCAAATCCTGGGTGTGGAGAATCATCACCCACCACCCTTTTTTTAGTTCGGGCGCCACTGTAGAGACATTATTTTCTTTTTGGAAGCAGGCAAGATGAAAAATGAGCATCTCCTTCGCCGGGAATCGAAACCGTGGGCCTCTGGAAGTACACGCCCTGCGTGCAGACCACCACACCACGGAGGCACGCTAGGAAGGCGGGAGAAATACCTTATAATGTGATATAAAGTGGAGTAGAGAAAAACTGATGTTAAAACTGTCTAAAGAAACACGTAACACATCCAACTTTAGTACTACAGTTTACCGTAAACCTTCATCGGTTTGCCTTCCACCACACTCATGTCATCCGACTAAACAAAAGTTAGCTTCATTTTATTCCTATGTTTTCCGTGCTCTTCAAGTTTGCTCCTCCAAACTAGCCCTTGATGAAGAACTAAATTATTTAAAAGCAATAGCTATTGACAAGGGCTTTTCACCCAACATTATTAATCAAGCAGTTAAAAAATTTTCATCTCAACACACTAAAAGCCACACTCTTATTTTAGGAGATTATAAAAATTCTGTTGTCATTCCCTTCTTTCCATCAATTAGCTATAAAGTTGCACATATTTTGCAGAAATTTAACTTTCGGGTTGTTTACTCTCTCCCCCCATCAATAAAATTCCAACTTCTATACTCAAGGACCCCATTCCGGATATGAATTCCTGGGGTATTTTATAGGATTCCTTGCCAGTGTGGTTTAATTTACATTGGCCAAACTAAGAGAGCCTTAAAATTTCGCGTCAAAGAACATGAGGCATATGTTAGAAAAAAGGAAACACAGAAGTCTTCTGTTGCTCAACATTGTTGGTCCGAAAATCACACTTTCAATTTTTCTGCTGCCAAAATTATTCAAAAAACATCTTCCATTGGAGAACTGGATTTTCTAGAGGCATTTCACATTCATAAAAATCTTTCTGTTCTAGTTAACGATCCTAATTCCAATCCAAATTTGCCTTCGGCTTTTAGATAAATTATGTTTTAGTTCTGGTTTCGCCAACAGATGGCGCCACTTGCTTATTCTTGTCCAGGCTTTCTTATCTTATCTAATCATTATTTCCTATCTTGTTCATTTGCGGTTTTGCAGCTGAAGATGATGGTTCGGTAAAACTATCGAAACTGTGAAAATTTTGTAAATATAACGCTGATTTTTGTTGTTTGACTTCTGAATTACTGTCTAAAGATATAAAGAAAAAATTAATAGTGTCATCACCCTTGAGCGCAATGCAAAGGTTTACAGAAATTCTCTTGCTATATGTTAGATTGCTCAGGAACTTGAACAGTAACAAAGTATGCTCGCGATAAATAGTGCTTTGAAGCTTCTGGAGAGGGTAGGAGTGGACTGAAGTGATGCAAGGGAGCGTCCTAGTGCTTCCCGCACATGTTTTATTGAATTTAAATTCGGAGAACATGCAAGCTATTCCATTCACTGTATTCCCTCCCTCTCAAGATAATCGGTCGCTAATGGAGCGCAATGGAGACAAGAAATACCACTCATAGGAGGAGACTATTACGGATTGCTCTCCTAAATAAGAACTTTATATTAATATCAAGAACCTTACCTTTGTATATTTCAACAGTCATAGTTGCTCTGGTAAAAATGTGTAGGTCAGTGCGACCATTCATATTGACTGCCTATTGTATGATTTCGTCATGATACCTTTCATGGATGTGTTCACGCCTACTGGAATGTTTTCCTCTCTTGAGGTTGTAACACATTGGGAATCTTTGAAAATGAGACGATATCTCTCCACGACAGGAGTCAGACGCATTTCGCAGTCCAAGCTAGCGGCTGGAAAGTCATTAGCTTCTTTGCCTACAGCCCTCTTTTATGCAGCCTATTGCTCATGAATTATCTGAAAGGTCGAGTTTCTGTAGCTGAAGTGGAACTCTCCATAATCTGAGCCGACGTCAGTTGTGTATTTCGTTTAGCATTCATTGCCACATACCTCCTGAGAGGCCACTGAGGCACGTTTTCGACCTTGACTTGGTCGTGTGGCTACATCACTAGTATATTTTGAACCGGTACAGATATAACTCAAAAGATTAGTTCTTCAAGTTCCCATTGATAATTACGGATGTTCGATGTGGACGCTTTTTGTGATATGGTAGAAACCTAGACAATAGATCTTCAACGCGCCTGAATAATCTGATTAATTGAATGGATCAATCTCATCGATTATGCATTGTTTCAACTACTCTAAATCTCAAGGAAGTGAAGGTACGACCACCTTGTTCTTCACATATTCCATAAGAAAATATTAAGTCAAACGATATGAAATGGAGACAGAGCACTAATGGAACATTATTCGAATCAGCATTTGCCGAATCTAACACTAATCGAAAATGCTGGTTGAGGCGACCGAATGCGTGTGTATGCCATGTGGTGAGAGACTAGTTATAGACTCTAACTGCAATACGAAGCTAGGGGTACCTTTTCTTCTACCTAGGAAAACAATCGCTTGATTTTGTTTATCAAGGTAGTAAATAATAGCAGGATCCTGTAACTGTGGTTTTAGAGAAGAAAAAAATTCCAAATGTACTGCAGTTAGTAGGCAGAAAACATTTGTTTCTGGAGGATCATTTTCGTATTTCAGGATTACCAATAAAATTTTCATTTTCAGCACCGAGTAAGTTTTTTCGTTGTTGCCGCCATTTTCAATATCAAACTTTTAATAAGCAGAACTTTTAATTTCGGAAATGTTGAGATTTTCAGTGTTGTCAAATGAAACTTGGAGAATTAATCTTTCGTATTTATATATATATTTATGAAATAAATTTAATGTAGCAGTTACAAATGGGTTTTCCTTTTGTACCGTTTATTTTGAATTATCCTGTATACCCCTTGTCTCAAATTTGCGAAGAATAAGAAAAGAAATGTTCTTATTAATATAATTCACTAATTATTTCCTGCAAAAAATACAACAAACCAGATACGAGTATAATTAATCATATAATTGTACATTAATGTTATGAATGTTTATAATCAGTTCGCAACAACAAATTAGACGTAATTTAATATCTCGGAAGATATATAAAGACCTTATTAATTTATTTATGAAAGTCCAACACGAAATGTAGAATTTCAGTTAATATTTCATTTTCACAATAATGTATTTTGTTTTCTCCCAGGACAGATAGCGCTAGAAGATCCCCATCCATGCGGGGATGCCGGATTCCAGTGCAATGCAAGTGCCGGAGAAGTGTGTCGGTTGCACTGGGAGGGACCCAACCATGGAATCATCAACTTCGATAACTTTGGCCTGGCTATGCTGACGGTCTTCCAGTGCGTCACCAACGAAGGCTGGACGAGCGTCTTATACAATGTTAGTCAATTTTCGGCAATTATTTTTAAGGTTTACTAGCAGTTAAGTTTAACTTACATTGCTGTGTGTTCTCTTGATTCATGTCATCCATATTAGCTTGGATCTGAAGGTTGAAAAATAGACTGAAACTTTGGCCTGACGCTGTGAACTTCCGTGCGCTATCTAAAGAAAACGCGCTAGGCTCTTTTTGTTTGGAGGCCGTATTACTGCTCTCATTTGCTGTGGAAGGTGGTAATCGATTTAAAAACATTGTTAGCTGGAAACAATCTTGTAAAACTGTAAAGTTTATAAAGGCAAATAGCATCGGCTTTGTTAAAGTATCCTCGATAGGTTATCGATTGTTTTGTGTCACACATATTAACTTTAGTTAGCTCATTAAAGTGCTCATTAATTTTATTCTATCTGTGCATGAAATTGATAAATAGCTTAGAGCCTATTCGGCTACATAACAGCACCCTATATATAGGAGCAGCTCGACTATGAGCTGCCAATGTTTTTCCATATTTCGTTTCTACGACTCAAGTAATACCAAACTACCAAGTTTTGTAAAAATCGCACGAGTGGTTTTCAAAAAATTAGCTCTCAAAATTTTAGCTCCTCAGTGTTAATTTAATTTGATATCTATTTATTAATATCTCTTTTTTTCTTAAACTTACTCGATTCTTTCTTCCAGAATTCGAAATTTAGGCTTAATCCAAATATAATTCGCACATTTTTTATGATTTATTTTTTAAATTTGTATTTTTAAACATTTTTTATAAATTCTTCGAAAAATGTTTTTGTTATAACCTATAAAATTTTTAACATCGTCTTAAAGTAGATGTATTTTTAAGCACATCTTCAAAAAATTATAATTTTTTTATTCAAAATTTTCTAAGATATACATTGACGCGTTTTGAAATTGGACATGTTTTTTTTTTTTTTTTTTTTTTTTTTTTTTTTTTTGTGATAATAACGTCAAATGTGGTTTACGCACTTTGTTAAAATTATTTTAAAGTATGAACGATGACTTTTTCCCCCGCTCGTCTGCAGTGCCCCCCCCCAAAAAAAGGGTAAATTAGGTTGCTATAAATTAAGAAGTTCGCCAAGTAAATTATTCTTGGCGCAAACTGAAAAAAATACGCCAAAATAAATTTTTGAATTTCTCCGTAAATTTTGCACCATATTTTACAAAATTTAATATCTAGGCATAATTTGAGTCGTAGAATCGAAATATGGAAAAACATTGGTATGTTATTTCAGAAAAAGTCCGATTTTGTGTCAAAATACCTATGTTAGAACAATGGTATACCTAAATCTAATATATATCATAAGTTGCGCTTTCGAGATATGAAAAACGCAATTTAAATTTTTTCAATCGGCCCAGTAGAACGGGAGATATAACAAATGTCCCACTTTTTATCGCAGTATACCTCTGTGTATTTATTCATATTAAGTATTCTGTAAATACATATTTTACGTTATTCAGTATAATGCTTCTTCATCTTATGAAATTTAAAATAGTTTAATGTATAAATATTTACTCAAGTTCTGTATTTGTATTTAATGAGTAAATCCATATTCTATATAATGTCTATACTAAACTTCTAAAGTAAGTATTTATATTTGTAAATGTAAATTTTTATAAATATCTAAACTGTATATGTATTTACTTTATAAAATATGTAGTTTGTAAGTGCTTATTTATCTTCTGCATAGTGTAACATAGCATTTTCGTTTCCAGGTAAATGATGCCTGTGGCAATGCGTGGCCTTGGATTTATTTTCTTAGTCTCATTATATTAGGATCTTTTTTTGTTCTTAACCTCGTACTTGGTGTTTTGAGTGGGTAAGTATAAATGCGTTGTTTCGCCATTTTTTCAAAAATTGTAATATTTCTCCATTTAACTTAATTGAAGGTTTTTCGTTTTGATACAAACCAAGCATTTCTAATTTTTAATCAGAATTTTCTTTGAATAAAAAAGAATAAAATCTCAAGAAGCGGAAGGGAAAAGATGATTGAAAGAAGGCATGTTATTTTTAGTTTGGTTACCTTTTTCTCTTCTCAGTTTTTTTTCCTGGTTAGTATCTTTTCCTGAAACAATAATAATTTCTTTTTATTTAAAACTGAAGGATGAAACCTAATTAGATAGATATTTAATATTTTCCCTTTCGTATATAGTTATGACTCTAATTTAAGCATAATCAAGCAGTATATAACTATAGCTTTGAAAAAGAAAGCGATGGAAAGGATTATTCAAGAATTGACAAAATTCATTTTCCCCCCATAGGATAAATTTTCCCAAGGATAATATTTTAAGACTCCAAAATAGCATAGCCGCAGACTTACAAAAACTCTTTGAGATATTTTTAAGAATTAAAAATTGCCATTATCTCTTATATATAATAAAAGAAAGAGTCTGTCTGTGTGTGTGTGCTTTTCGTTCGCGCTGCGCGTAAGCTAATAGACACACGGCTACGAAATTTGGTACATAGGTGCTCTCTAGCCAGTGCACCTCGAAGCGAGTTTTTCGAAATTCGTATTAGAATGTTTATAATTTTATGTTTTGTGACGAAATCACGTCATTTTGAGACATAATGGGCTTATAGGAAAGCGAGATTTTACTCTACACACTCCATTTTCACATCGTCATGAAACGTAGGCACTTAGCTATTTTACGAACTTAAAATAAATTTCGTGTTTCAATAAAGTGATTAAATACGAATTTATTTAACAAAGTGAGCTTAACACCTTTTCAACGGGACCTTTTTCTAAAAAAGTTTTTTTTTTTTTTTTTTTTTTTTTTTTTTTTTTAATGTACAGTTTATTTTTCTTTGATTTTGGACACGTTAAAAAACTTTCATCCTTGCGACTGCTTTTACAAAAAAAATTTTGGAAAAATTATAATATTTTGTATTTTTAAAAAAATTTTTAAATGAAGCTTAAGAGTACACTTCTCACACACATCTTTAAAAATGTGATTTTTGGCAACAATTTTCCTTTCTTATTGTTGTTGATAGATTTTTTGATGAAATTGCATCATTTTGAATCATTTCATTCTTTTAGAAATATGGGTTTGGCAACCATTTTTCATCGTATTTCTTATGTCACTTTTTTAAGAGATTGGCATATTTCATTGTCATTTTTTATATATATAAATTATACATTTTTATTGATTTTTTTAATAAAGTTGTTCTGCATAGTAAAATTCTGAGCGGAAGTTTTTGTTTTATGAGTTTTTCTTTCATGTTACTTTTTGCTTATTTCACTGTTTGTAAGATATTGAAAAGTTTTGCATGATTTTTTTTCTTCAACGGAAAGTTGGTTAATTTTTTTATATGTAATATATTTAAAAAACATTTTTTTTTCGGAAGTTTTCTGCAGAGTAAAATTCTGCGCAGTTTTTAAATTTAACGTTTGGTTTAAGCCAGGCATTTTTACGGTGCATTTAAAAGCCAGACGAAGGCTGGCAGCGTAGCTGCTAGTATTATATAAATAATGGCAGTTTCACAGACCGCTTACAAGAGAATCTTTTATTGTAGGTAGCTAAATTGTATTTACATTGGCGAACGTTTAATGACAACTTTTAACTCCATATTCCAGCTATTCTCTTGTGAAAAAAAAACAAAGCATGAAATGAAAAATACTTTTAAATTGCAAATCTTCTTAAGCAAGAATTCGGCTACTGTATGCAGATTATATGTACACATATACTGGACGTAAAAATAATGGAATTTTTATTTGCACCTTGCTTATGAATACGAAAAATGTTTGGTTCTTATTCGTAGAGAAGGTAGTGATGAGAGAAGAATTTTATAAATCCTTATTTTATCGTTGTCAAACAAGAACTCATAAAATACGTTTTAAAATTTAATAATGCATGAATCGGAAATTAGATGGGGAATGGAATGAAATCTAAAAATTATTACCAGGATCTCTGAACATATGATATTTGGCTGCTATCGTAATTTAATAGTATCGAGATGAGTGATAATGTTTCGCTAAATTTGGTTATAAATAGTTGGATTATGAATAGTTCAATCTACTCACCATAAAGGATTATCACGTGCAGCAGATTCGGGAACTAAATAGGAATGGACGATAGGGTGTATTAGCAGGAATATTGCTCGAATCAGCCTTCATATGCTGTGAAGCTGGTTAATTGCATAATGACGTTAAAAAAGAAGAGTTTTACCTCCTTTGCAAATGAGCCTAAGGGAAGTTATAATAGATAAAGTATTGAGCTATGAAAATAAGAAAGCTCTGGGTAAGACCTGGGTTAGAATTTTATGAATTAGAACTGAATGGATAATGCATTATGAATGATCCAAAAAAATAGTCATGGACGGAGTTCGTGATGATATTTATAGTGGAATGATCTTGAATGCACTGCATTATGTAGTTCTTGAACGCTACAAATTTAATGATATATAGTGCACTCCATTATGCAATGCTTGAATTCTACAAAGTTATTATCTTTAGTGAACTCCATTATGCCTTTCCTGAGCGCTACAAAATTAATGTAGAGTATTATAAACATTTTCTGCAGCACCAATTTTTCTTTAGTTCTGTAGAGCAGAGAAAATATTGGAATTTCTGAATAAATACGCTTATTATCTTGCACGACAATATGCCTAGAACCCGGCGAACGGCGTAGTTGCATACGTGGTTTACCCCATACGTAATGTGAATACAGTTTTCATTAAATACCCCTCCGTGAAAGCATCCCTTTCTTAGCCAGATAGCCCTTGCTTGCTTTGTTATAATTATAACAAATGAAAAAGGGCTAAGGTTGGATTTTAAGCATTGGATTTTAAGCTGACACTGTATGACATTTCCAAGAACCATTCCATGCGACTTGTTCCGTGTTCATTTTCTGTAACTTAAAAACTATAGACGACAAAGCCTTTTAACCGAGATAAAAGTTTTAGCTTTAGATGGTCATGTATTTTCATCACGAACAATTCTGATACTGGTATCCAATACGTTTTAGAAATATAGAAACAGGTTATCGTTATTAGAAGACCATTGCATTCAAGGATTTAGGTTTAAGCCTTGTAATTAAAGACTTTTTTTGTCTGTTAAGAAGGCGTCACTTAGCGCTAAACATAAATGATGGCGCAAATTTTAAGTAATTGGTAATCGTAATCGATATACCCTACTTCATGAAAAATATAACCATTTTATGAAATCCAGAATAACTACAGAAAAACCAAGACAAGTACAAAATTGCGAAATGGATTTTTACTACGTAGATTAATTTCAGATTACTTAGAAGGCATGCAACTGCTGGCTTCTTTTAATATTGCCAAAAACATTTTTTCTTCTACATTCGACGCCCCTAGGATATAGAGCATACGAGGCTACCTACCAAAAAGGTTCGTGTTCAATATTACACGTGTAAAAAGCCACGAAAACTCCCATGCAGCCTGAATAGGTAGCAATTGTGGCGGGTAGTGTCGCGCTGACGTTTGTTTTGCCATTTTGTTCCACCTTATAACCTTATCGCCCAGCCTGTATAGTGGTCAACGACGCTAACTGCTGTACCGATGGGTCCGTGTTTGAATCCCGGAGAAGGGATGGATGTTTGTAAGTGTATAATGTCTGTGAGGCAAGTGGGTACTCTATATACGCTACGAGCCGAAAGCCTTCTCGAGAGGGCGGTGATAAAGAAAGAGGGGTTGGAGACCATCTGTCCACCTCTCGGAGTAGTCGATAGCAGGCGAGAGCATCACTGCTTTACCGTGGGGTCAACAGGTAATGCCCTTCAGCTACAACACGTGCTGCCCTTCGTCGTAAGTTATATGTTTTCAAGGTTCATTTACTCTTCCAATATTAATGCTTGTGCGATTTGTGAGAACAGATTAGTAGTATATGCAAGGCTTTTATGTTTATATGACGATGTAATGCTTATGGTGAGTGCTTGCCTAGAATGGGATTTTTAACCGATCTTTTAAAATGAAAGCTTGTTCCGTGTTTGCGAAATACCTAAAACTAATGGAGTTTTTATTTAAATGGAAGAATTTTTCACCGGGGATGGCATATCTATATTTGCTACCATATTCATTATTTTAATTATGTTTCTTTTGTATTCTCTCTTTCTTATACGGAAGGCTAAATATTTTGGAATTCTTTGTGATGGATAACGAATGTGGAAATCTTTTGTTAGTGAGCATTTGAATGGATAATGTGGATCATCTCCTAACTCGCTGTAGATGCAGGTATCTATTGATAAAATGCTTGAGTAAAAGCGGGTAGAAAATGGATCATGGCCTGATGGAATCCAATTTAATTGTGGAGTAGCGATAAATCTGTTGGTATTACAATTTGAAATACATTGAAAGCCAGATTTCCTTTTGTATGATATCCATTCCTGTGGCCACACTGTCATTGCTATTTGATGCTGATTAATAGGTAGATGACTTCTTGGCCATGGTATGTATAGTATGTTTACCGTTGCTGTATCTTGGGGAACTTCTTTCACATGTTATCTGCTTGTTCGTTTTCATCATTTTCTTTGTGCTACTTGATTTATTCGATAATAATGTGCCTGCCTTCCTGGAAGTTCTTCCTCAAAACTGGGGTAGAATTGTATAGTTAGTACGGTGGGATTTAATAGCTGTACGACCAAAGATGAATTTCTACCTGTACCTGTACCTGTACCTGCCCAACTTTATGACTGTTTCTTCCCTCAAGGAGACGATCAGGACGTATATTAAAATTGAATTGAAAATCTAGGAGCGAAAATTACTGGATTGGCATTCATTCTTCCTGCTTACTCACTATTACGTCATTGCACTCCCGACACGATATAAATAGGTTACCACATTTGTCGCTTTGGCGCAAAATTACGCCTCGTGGTTCGTTAACAGAAAAGAACCATTTTTATACGCAAATAAATATGTTGCCATTGTTGTACCTGCATATCCAACCCCTGCAGTTTTCCCTTTTCTCTTGCAGCGGTTTCAGAATATTCTACTGAATGGTTATTGAAGCATGTTAAATGTAGTTTCCACAACTGCTTTTCACTCAAACCTTAAAAAAAAACGCTTAAAGTACTTCAGCTTTAATAACCCCATCTCTGCTGGAATAAAATAACCCAAAGAAATAATAAATATTAAGTTTGAAGTACCATGATTGTTTCCTAGTAGCTTGATTCTAACTGCACAAATTTCAGAAAATCTTAATATACTATTATCGTTATGCTTTTAACTCAACTATGTGATGATCTATGTTTAAGTGCATTGTTTAATTTAGTTCGAAATGCAAAGAATAGGCTTTCTAGAGAACGTGTTAGGATTATTCTCTCATATGTTTTACATCTGAACATAAAGCAGCTTTAAATGTAATGGTTAATATAATTTTCGTTAAATCAGATTTAAAATTTTGTTGATACGACATAATGATCTTTTTTGATGTCTTATTAGTAAATCAAAAACGATTATTCAGAACAAGTTTTATTTAAGTAGAAATTATTGTTTGAAGTTATATATAACTACCACTCTTTGTCTTGTAATATTGGACCTTTTGTGGAGGAATTCAAGTGGTTATTCCTCTAATTATGAGGAAATATGTTAAATAGATACGAACAATATCTTAGTGATACACAACGTCATAATGAACTGTATATTTACCATTTGTTTGCATTTTTTGATGTACATAAATTTAAAGTATAAAAGGATATTTACCTTTTTTGAGAGTTTGATAAATGTTTACAAAATGGTTGCAAAAGGCTTAATAACATTCCGGCAAACCTTTTCATTGTACTGCAACGTTTCTTTTCAATAATACCAAGAGGCACTTTTACTAGAACGTTAATGCAAATGAGAAGATAAAAAAACATAGGCTTTCTTTCTTTTATTCTGTTTCTGAATACATTTCAGCATTTAAAATAATAAGATTATTCTCTGACTGTAATAACATAGACTGTTTTACATCCTAGAGAGTTTTCCAAAGAAAGAGAGAAAGCTAAGGCTCGAGGCGATTTCCACAAACTTCGAGAAAAACAACAAATCGAAGAAGATCTTCGAGGTTATTTAGATTGGATAACGCAAGCAGGTAAGCAGTTTTCGGAATTTTTCAAGGCATTACGTTATTTGTTTCGCCCAAGTATTTCACATGCTATTTAAAAATATATTTCAAGCTATAACTTTCCATGTTAATCTGTTTATTATTTATAAACTTCAGAATATCGGTACCACTAGATATGATACATGTGTCTCCATACGATTGATAGCTTTAATGATGATGCTGAGATAAAAAATATAGTTATAGTGAAAGGGAACAATACACTATATAGCCTAAATTTGATACACTAGCCGACGCAATGAAAATGCATCACCAAGGATGAGTGGCCAGAAAGTTATGAAACTCGGCAGAGAGACAGCAACAAACAATAAGTGATCTTTATTTCGAAATGGTATGCGTAATACAGAGCGAGAACAGCGTCGGCTCAGTAGGCTTTAAGACCACCTTAGACGGCTATACACAAAGCAACACGTCTAAGTACAGAGTCAATGAGACTACGGATGTTGTCCTAAGGAATGTCTTTGCATTCCTTGTTAACCATTTGCTACAATTCGTCTTCTGAATGCGGTAATAGCAGGGTCTGCAAATGGCTTCCAATCACATTCCAAATGTGTTTGATTAGTGAGAGATCAAGAGAGATCGGTGGCAAGGGAAGCATCTGAACTCCTTGAACACATTGGCTGATGCAAGCAGAGTGTGATTGGCTGTTATCCTGCTGATAAAGGGCGTTGGGCACTCCCTGAAGGTAGGGTAGTGTCATCGGTCGCAGTACATCCATCCACATATCGTTAAAGCGTCATAATGCCCTGAATATGAACTAGAGGTGACCTGAAAGCGTACTAATTTGCGCTTCAAACCATGATGCCTCTCTATCGTGCGGTTGGGCGTTCGACATTTGTTGCCGGATCAGACCTGTCTCCACATCGACGCCATACTTGTACGCGGCAACTATCATTGGAGAAACAAAAGAGTGATTCATCTGAGAATACGACCCTGTGCCATTCTGTCGTCCATATCACTCGAGTCCGGCACCATTGCAGACGTTGGCTTCTATGATGTGGGATCAATGGCAGTCTTCTTAACGGACGACACGAGTGCAGGCCACTAGCTACCAAATGATGGCAAATGGTTCTGATCGATATGGGAAAGTCTAGGGTGTCTTGAACATGCTGTAGAATGGAGGTAGAAGTGGTTTGTCAACGGATGCATCGATTCACGCGTCTCTGGCTGCACCGGCGTGCACGTACCACGTCACTCTGACTTCACTGGCATCTCTCGAACTTGCCACATTTACTTGTTCTAGCCATCGTTGCCACACCTGGTGCTCTGTAGGCGCGTCTAGATGTGTGTCAGCTGAGATTTGCCTTATAGCCCAACCTGCCCTTCTCAGTCCGATCCTCATGCCGCTCCTAAAATCCTCTGTCTGCTGGAACTGCTTCCGTTGACGACGGCCTGGCATTCTCTGCTGTTAAAGGCGTCCTCTGAGACAAGCACAAATTTTCTACGATGATTTCCCTAGCAGAAGTAACGGCACGAAAATTGAACGTTCTGCAGGTTCCTTGCCTTATATCTTCTTCAACGTGCCCTGGATAGCTGCGCATTTCACATCATTCGGTAACGTACGTTTACCCTGACATTTGCATAATTTTCGGGCCATTCCTTCTTGGTGTTGTTATTTTCAATGTCGGGTAGTGTATTTATCTGAAAAAGTATTCTTGAACGTAATGAGAAGAGGAGTAAGTGGGTGACTTTTTAATTACTATGCAATTATTAAAGTTGCTTTGAAGGCAGTTGCTGTTTCCCAGCTTCTAGCCTCCTGAGACGTGTTGTTTTTGTCAGTCTTTTTCTGATTTAAGCTGGCATTTCTCTCGATTTCATATAACAATGGATCGGCTTCGCATTTTTCAACGCAAAGTACTACACAGAAATTACAATTCAATACTGAGAGTTAGAGAAATGATTCTGAAAGGATTTTGAAAGGAAGATGTTTTATAGGAAAATGATTATTATACTCCTTACTGTGCATTTGCTGTCATTTATTGAAATTTTGCCAACTTCCCTAAAATCTAGAAATTAACAATAAATTAATTTACGTTATTTAATTAAAATATATGCTTCCCGTTTTTTTTTAATATCACTGATTCACATTATTGTTTTAATATTTATATTTGACTAGAAGATAAACATGCTAATGTAAAATTTTAAATTAGGCAAAGCCTTAACTTAAGGTACATTTTGAATAAGACTCTATCAGAATTTTTTTCTCTCCTGAAGAAAAAGGTCCTATATCTGATCGCCTTGAGATTGAAAGTTTCATTCAAAATTTACAGCAATCTACGATTGCTTTTTTCCGTAGTTTTAAATAAGTTATATCCTTTACAAAAGGTGCAATTAATTTGCTTTTGACTGTTTGTTAAATTCAAAAACTGCTTCTCTTCTTTTGTAGTTTATAAATTCCTTTTATAATTTCACTTTTGCTTAAGGAATACTTTTATAAGGAATTTTGAGCTATTTAAATGAAGGTACCATAAACTAAATTGCATGTTTTAATGGAAATTTACAACAGAAAAAAAGAGTTGCCATTAGCTTGAATTTCCTTTTAAATACCCGTATTTTTTTTATTCTTATTTCGTAAAAGTAATTATTTTTAATTTTTTCTTTCTAACTTACATTATTATTTTGTGTATAAAAATTTGCCTTTTTGTTCTATTTGTATTTAATTTTTTAGAGGATATTGAACCTGATGAAGGTGCCAACCAAGATGAAGATGGGAGATTAGGTATATTTTTACTATCTAAATTAGAAGCAATATCTCCTTTATTGAATAAATATTAAATCCTGAAATATATCAAAATTTAATGTGTGCTTCGTAACAAATTTAAAAATATTTACTGAATGGGGATATATATAATTCTATTCTGATTACATATCCTCTTGTTTATATAAGTACTTTTAACTACTTGCGACTAAATTATGTAAAGCTTCAGATTTTTTAAAATTATATGAAACAAATCTCTATATTTTTCATTAATTAAATCACTAAAAGGATCTGCGTTCTTTAATTTGCATCATTTTACAGCATGCTTATATCTTAACCTTCAATAAACCTTATTTATAAGTTTATAAAAAACATAACACATTCATACATTCATACAACTGTTTGATTCCTTTATAAAACTCCACTTTTGTAATTTTATTTTAAATCTCTGATAAGAGTTTCCTAATTGTTCTAATGTTGTCAAAATCATGATTTTTGAGGAAAGTAGTCTGAAGACAACAAATCCGGCAAATAAGAAGAATGATTGACAGTGTGACTCTTTCCTTTGCTACGAACTGATTGATGAGAATGAAATTGTGTGATGGCGTATTTTTGGGCAGCAAAGACCAGCTATTCGAATCATTGTTTCGAGGCCTACGTCGCTGAACTAGCTTCATTAATCCATTATTTTTTTTATAAAATATGGAATTTACCGTATATCCATCTTGAGTTAGCCCTTTCTGATCAAAAATACGGTCTTCACCCGAGATTTATGAAACTAAAATTTTTGTAGCCGTGATGAATTTTCTTAAGTAGACGATTGCCGCTTAGATTCGAGATCTTAATCAAGGTGTCTTCCATTTTATTAAATCATGACATCGAACAATTCGATCGCTTTTCTGTTCTGCAGTCAATGCGTGAGGCAAAAAGCGAGAGAAAATTTTAAGAACTTCCACTCCAATTTAATGAGTAGCATTTTTATTAATGTTACGTTCATCAGCTATCATTCAAAGAAACAGCTGAGCATGTTTAGCGACAACTGTCCAAATGTTTCTATGGTATCATCTGTTTGCCCCTGAGACGAATGACCACTCGTGGGTTCACTTTGCAAAATTTTTGTTACAACCAATACCAAACTTGACTACGAATAATAAAAATTTAATCTCGTAAATTCTTGATCTCGACTTGTTTCACAGAACATTTCAAATGCTTCCTTGCTGCTTTTTTCGTTTTACAACAAAACATTGGTGATGTTCTTTGCTCAGTTTTTGAGTCCATGTCAGAAGATGTTCACTGAATTAAAACACATTAACTTCATTGAAATTCTCTCCGTAAGTAGATGCTAGTTGAGAACAAACAAATTAATATGTCATAGTGATGGATGCTATCAACTACCGTTTGTCTGAAATGGAATTCGTTTAAAAAATTAGTCTGAAACTTTGTAGATAAGCAATGTATTATTACGTTTCCTTAATAATATTATACGATTGAGGGATAAATATATAAAGAAAGAGAAAAATTAATTCGCTACCTCTTTTTTAACCAATTATGATAGAAGTAATATTCTTAAAGTTAATATGTTTCACAAACAATAATCAATCAACAAATGGACTGTATTCCTACACTTTTATTTCATTACACTAATTATAAATAATATGTCAGCGATGCGAAATAATTGATACAAAATAAGCGAGCCATTCTACATGGCTGTCACAAACACAATTCTATCAATCAATTATCTTGTTGCCACACATAAAGTTCAAAACTAAAGGAAGAAGAACAAAAGGAATTTACGCTGTTTGCAACAATAAAATGAAGCAAACGATACTCACATAAACAAGTAAGGTATTCTTTTTCTTCCACTACAGAGCTCGAAGCCGACAAATTAGAAGGAGAGGCAAGTAGTCAAGAAAATATATCTTCTCCATCGTGGTGGGAAGTAAAGAAGTAAGTCTAGCTACCGATATAACTCTTTAATATATTCTATTATAGTACAGAAACAGTGTCATGTTTCCTATTTTTTGACTCTTAATGTATTTATGCCAAATACGAGGAGCATAATTTTGGGGCCACTTTTATAGAAGACAGTTTGATCGTCACAACCGGAGAATCCGCAGGGAATGCAGGAAGTTGGTGAAATCGCAAGCCTTCTATTGGATAGTCATAGTGCTCGTATTTCTGAATACAATCACACTCGCTTCCGAGCATCACGATCAACCGAAATGGCTGGACCATTTCCAAGGCAAGTCTTTCTTTTGTTGATATAATTTCTTTCTAAATAAGTTGTTACTGTATTGCTGCTTCGCGTTTTCTATAGAACGTTTCAGACTACTGTTTCTTTCAAAGCAAAATGAATGTATAATTTTGTGCCATTTATAACAAAATTCTCCAATAGAATTTCTTTCAACCCATTATATGTAGGATGTCAGTCTGGTGGTTTGCTACATAACTATTTTTATTATTGCAATCGCACCGTATGTGTAGGTTTGAGGTATTACAAAAATAAATAAATAAAATCTAAAAAGATTTTATATTACTCCCAAATGGGCTTTTTTTCAACGTTTTGTGTGTTACTTTTATTTATTAAATATCATGTTCTTCTCACTTCAACCATAAAATTCAATTCAACAGCAATATCACAAAATAATTTAAAAAGAGTATCTTTTAAAATAATAAATAAATCTTTCTAATTTCTAACACACAGTTTCACTTCCTGAAGATAAAAGTGTTTTTCTTTTCGTACAATGGTGCCGTTGCTCGCTTTGAAATCGTTGAGTTTGTTCATCAAAAATTTTAATTTTACAAAATTTGAAATAGATATTAAACCAAATTCCAAATTTGGGAATTTTGATGCCCATATTCGGGTGGAGATGTAGCCTTTTGAGTTAAGAAATAAACAAATAAATTGCAGTCTGATAACTTAAGTTTTATATTAGTATAAAACCTTAACGAAACATTTACCGTTAAAAAGACATTAAATAAAAAAATAAAATTGTAATATTAGGATTTACTTCAGATTTATTTTTAAGATATAGTTTAGTTTTTAGATTTATATCGAAAAAGAATTTACGACTAGAGATTTCTAAAAAAATTTAAATACTCAAAAATGTAAAATAATACAAAAATTTAAAAAACGATTCTGTATTGGGTACACAATATATGGCATTAGAAACGCCTTTTATTAGTGAAACTGTAAATATTCATAAAATTTTAAATTGAATAATATTTTAAATAAATATATTTTCTTTTGTAACAATAAGTTTCGCCTCTTTGATTAAAAAATAAAGATGTGTTTGTGATTAATACGTTGATGCCGGCTCGGAATTATACTGTTTAATGCTTGCGCCCTAATACCCACTAGCTAATTCTAATAGACCGAATTTCCAAAATTCTCACTGGCACGCGCATGGTCTGGCCTGCCGATAGGACCCAGTCGCATGAAATTGGAGAAACCCTTATTCGTTTTTTATGGCCATAATCCCGGTCGACGGGCAACTGATGCATATTTTCAATGTCGTACTAGGCGGCCAGGCACTCAAGGTCCCAATAGTATTTGGATTCCTGGTTCGCTGACGAAAGATACATATTGCCGGACTAAGTGGCCGAGGACAGTCGCGTGGTTTTCCAAAGATCGGTTTGTTTTTCCTTTGGAAAATCGCGGACCTCGGAGTGGGCTTTAGTTGGGTGAACATTGACCCGCCTCTGGATTTTTGGCGGGCCAGTTAGAAGTACCGAACCGCCCACGCATAGTGGAGAAAATCTGTGACTTTTTTGGAAATGAATACACCCCACTCGACACTTTTTAAATATATAGTGCGTAACCTAGTAATGAGGGACCATTTTCGAACATTTAGAAGACGACGTGAGTTTTACTAATTTTAGAGTTGACGGCAAGAGAGAAAGAGTACTGTTTTAGTGTGCAAGTATTCTGTGTGAAGTGCCTGTGAGGTGCTACCTCACAGGCACTTCACACAGAATACTGTAGTCGTTCGTTATGTCAGTAAAGTTCTAACATAACGAATTATCTGAGCACAGATTTCTTCCGGTAAGTGTAACGGTTGTAAAAAGTTTCTTTCCTTCTAAAAAGGCAGTTAGCATTTTTCATTTTTGCCCATTTAAATAATATATGTAATGGATATAGAATTCAGTGATTCGTCTGATGAATCCATATGTTGGTCATAGTCCCCTGTGCATGTTTAACCACTTCGAGATCTCACAATTGCGCCATTATTAGTAGATTATTATTAGTAGACAATTGCGCCATTATTAGAAAAGATGATAAATTAAAACCAGATACCGTTTTTTCTTACAATAGTGCGAAAAAGGGAGTTGATATATCTGACCAAATATGTTCCTATTATAAATGTTTACGGAAAACGGTAAAATGGTATCGAAAAGTTGTCATGGAGCTAATATGCGAGACCTCTTTAGTAAATGCGTGGTACATCCACAAAAAGTGGAGGACCAAGCGTTGCCAAATTTTAAAATTTAGAGAAAAAATTATTGATTATCTATTGAAGAGTGTTGAGAATCCCCTAGTGAAGAATGGATAGTAAGTAGACGGGAAAAAAAATTAAGTTCACACCAACGATCCGCGAGAAAGATGAGAAAAAGATGTAAGTGTTATAAACGCTTAACAAACTTAAAAGATACACAGTACGCCACAAACAAAACAAAAACGTAATGACCTTTTTGTAGCAGTTATCCGGATAAGCCGGCACTTTGTTTAAAATATTTTAAAAAATTCCATCGGTAACATAAGTAGTAATATTTTGTTATATTTAATGTATTGATTAAATTATAAGTTATATATTGTAAGTTATGGATTTGTTTATGTAAGTTGTGTATTTGTGTACTTTGTGTGTAAATTATAAGTTATGTATGTTTGATTATAAGGTAGAAATGTTAATGTATAATGTTAAATCAATAAAATTACATTTTGTACTACGTATTTTTTGATATGCAAACGTGGCCCATCTGTGATGCGTGCCGCCCCACGGAACAACCACCGGTGGGTCAGGCCACCCCATGGAACAGAAAACTGTGGGCCACCGATGGGCCATGCCGGCGTCAACGTGTTAAGCCGCAATGTGGAAAGGTTTGGTTTATTTAAGGAATAGGGTCTATGTGGAAACATCGCACTGTGGAATGGTATGGTGCAAAGCGAAAACGTGCTATCTGCCTAAAGTGAGGGTTCTTTCGTGGAGGTCTTTCTAAGGCAAACTAACTCGTCTTCATATTACACATGGGAAAAACAGCGGAAATGACCATGCAGCCTGCCCGGTAGTCTGGAATCAAACTCAAGTCGAACTATCAGTCTTCAGCGAATTAACCACTTGGTTGCTGGCAGACCCGCAAGCTGGTTTGACGGAATTTATAGCCACTAAATTATGAATGTATGTAGTCCTACATTCAAGCGTGTACTACTCGTAACCCGAATTCTGCATTTCGTGTTGGCTTTTTTATTTACTTTTTCCTTTGTGTGACCTATAAAAATTTTTGATTAATGAACACAGCAATTTGAAAGAATTGCCTCTTCACTGCCATATATAAAGTATTTTTGTCACTCGCCAGTGCATTATCATTCGGCAAAGCGCATCACTTTATTTGGGGTGCTAAATAAAACATGTTGAAAAATATTGTAAATAGGAGAATTAAAATAATTTTTACACGATTCACTTTCATATGCTGATGAGAAACACATTTTTTATAATATCGAAGATAAACAGAAAATCAAGTGGTGACAATATTTTTTCGTATTTCTAATTTTTTGTAGATTTTTTAACATTAATTCAAAATTGTAGTGGAAGAAATTTGCAGCTAAATGACGATAAAATTCAGGACGTGCGAGTTTTTAAAGCGGAAAGGTAATTCTAGGGGAAATGAGAAATATCTCTGGTTCAGAAATGAAATATGAATTAACAATATACAGAACTAAAACTTTTCCCGCGCTAAATATTAGGCAAATTTAAGCCATTGCCGTGGATGGAACACAGAAGAAAATGGGTGGCGACAAAACCAGGAGGCAACAGCGGATGTTATGACAACGTCACAATATTTTAGAATGTCATTCTCTAGCACTTTTTGATTCGAATTCTATACTCTAAAGAATACATAAAAACAGAAATACTTTAGTATTTTGTAAAAATGCGTAAAATTAAAGGTTTACCACATTTAATAAATAAGTATTTACATAATTCAAAATACTATTGAAGTACTATTTAATAAGTAATATAAATAAGAATTATTATTCTTATTTATATTACTTATAATATAAATAAGAATAATAATTCGTATTTATAATTCTGCTGGTTATATTTATATTCTGCTGGTTTACCATAATTCTGCTGGTTATGCTGCGTTTACACACAGAGTAGATTTAAATTTTGAATACTTTTGGATCGCATATTTCGAACCTCGCTGTATCTGATCTTTGAGGCATTTTGATTTTTATTAGTCTTAAGCCGTTGAAACTATAAAATCCCTTCATAAGAAATTTGTTGTCAAATTTTTCAGCAAACATATTTGGGAGAATTTTCCGACTGCTCAATTTATAGTTTCAAGGACACCTTTATAATTACCCCTGGTTAAAAATTCGGATTTAGGTAGTTCTTTGTTAGAACACTCATTCCATTAATATACTATAAATTCAGAAGAAACAGTCAACGGTATAAGTAGCATTTATTTACGAAACGAAGATTCCATGTTAGATTTTGAGTTAAAATCAAGTAATTGAATTTTGATTCTTCTTTTAATTTAAAATATAAAATTTGGGTCAACGAACGATAAAAAAAAGTGTCAGTTATTGTGGACGATTTGGCTCTTAATTAGTTTATATTATCCAGTTTTGCTAATGAAAAGGTATAAATGTATCATTAAATGCAAGATATCGTTGCATTGTATTGTGTTTTCTTTCCTTGCAGAACAAGCGAACATCTTTTTCGTAGCACTCTTCACGATGGAGATGTTCTTGAAGATGTACAGTCTGGGTTTTCAAGGTTACTTCGTCAGCCTCTTCAACCGTTTCGATTGCTTCGTGGTGATCAGTTCCATCCTCGAGATGGTTCTCCTATACACGGATGTCATGCCACCCCTCGGTGTATCCGTGTTGCGTTGCGTGCGTCTGCTGCGAATCTTCAAAGTAACCAAGTAAGTCCAAGCAAGGACACTCAGCTAATTGTTCTAAGTTTGGTCATCAAGAATAGATCTTTTGAATTATGTCAGCGTGCGATACATTTTGAAAGTCGTTTCCTCATTCAAAAACTTTATTAATTTTATTCCTTATTTTCAAGGCTTTAATGGTTCTTAATTTTCAAGTTTTTTAAACGATTCTTACAGAATTTAATGGGAATAACTTGGTTAAAAGCATTTAATGGAAAATGAGGCTTAGATGGGTTTCTTTACGAAAAGGAAAATGACCTAAATTCATAAACTGTTACATGTATTGTCGACTTTTGAAAGATAAGTAGGAACCGCTTGAAATCCTAAATCTCCTAAGTAATACTTGCATCGTATGCAGTATTGTGCCTTCTACATAATGTAGGCATAGCATGCAGTCATTGTAGTAATTTAATAAAATGCTAGTAACATGTGCATTATCGTTTAGTAAAAGTATTTGTGGAGGCACATTATTAGTCTGCAGTTTATTACTCTGTAGTATATGATATTTTAAGTACAAGATCACATTTCTGTTCACTTTTGCTTTACATTACTTAAAATGTATAAATTCTTTATATCTCATTAAATTTTTCAAATATTCAGAAAATATTTCAGAATTTTTTAAAGGATTTCATATAAACTGCTGTAGTGAAATGAAACAATTGCGTATTTAATTTTCTGGTATTATTATTTTGAATCCTACTATTGCATTTAAGCGAACATGCAAAAAATTGTAATAAATTGATATGTCGGGAAAGCCTGTGACCTAAAAAAACAAGCAAGAGCATGTGGTTAATAAGTTCTCATTAATACATTTCATAATTCTATAATGATAAACAACACATTCAGCGCATTTGAGATCAAAATTAAAATTATATTTTCATTAGTTATGTGATAGGACTGAAAGCAGAAAAAGAAAAATACAAAACCATTTAGATATTAACAGCTTCTAAGGCTACAAAACGCAGACATTTTGTGAAGATGTTAAACTAACATTATTGATTCAATAGTTTTAATCACGTTTAAACGAGGTAGAATTTGTAGTTTAAAAACCAACAGATTTTATTTTAGCCCTTTGCATTCTAAGACTACACGCTGCTGTCGTATCAGCGACTCGGTGGCTTTTGTTCGCCATAAAATTCATGAAAAAATGTAAAACTTAGTGCAGCTGTCGATACCAATACTTCAACTCGAACTACTATCAGCTTTGAGGATCTGCTTCTATAAGGATCTGCTAGTATGTACTATATTACATGTAACTTGTAGTTATGTCTATTCTTCAGAGAGGACATGTGAGTAATATTCTAGAATAATGCCCCTTATGAAGGGGCAATCGAGTGATAAGCTAGACTTTGCCGCCTCATAGGAGATAATGGAGTGTAAAGTGTTACACGATTCCTAATTCATTGATGAAGATATGTTATGAATCTAATATTTCCATGGCTTAGCCATACTATTGTTAATTTTTTGGTACTTTTTGGCCAAGTAACGTGCTTACATTCTTCCGAGCTCATATAAATCTGCTTTCCTTTCCTAGAAATTGAAGTTACTCATTATTATTTTTCAAGGTCTAAAAGCTGGTTTTTATTGTTTCTTAATTGAAAGCTCGAAGCAGTTGCTATGTCGTGGAAATCTGCTCCATTTTTCAATATACAAACATAAATATCATTCTTCTGATTGGAAATAAATCAGTGCCTATCGCTATACTGTCACTAGCAAGTAAACTTGCAACCTATCATTATGCTGTCACAGCTGAGTATACCCATATATTTAATTATGAAGGCCCATCAGTGGTTGAGCTGTTAATGCTACTGAAGACTAAAGTTTAATCCTGTATTCTATTCCCGGTAACTAAAATTGCATGCATTGCATGTGAGTTTTGCATTTTCCATCATGTATAACATAAATATCATCATCCTTCCGCATAGACAAATAGTCCTTACATTCTTTGCCTAATGACCAACCAACTCTGATAAACAAATGAAAGGGTTCAATTTAAAATTGGCACGACTAACAAAAGATTATTTATTGCTTCTGCAACAAGAAATCATATTTCTTATTAAACTGCATAAAGTTATTTTTCTGAAATATCCAACCTCAATTATGAAGTTTTCATCTTTTAAAATTCCCATACCGATATCTAACCAACTGCTATTTTTTAAATATTAAAAGCTATTCTGATCCCCATTATCAATCTGACACATCAAGAGCTACCCTGTATTTTTAGTGTGGAAGTCTTTTTCATTTACTATCCTATCCAAACTCGATTCTTTTATTGATGAAGTTTGGAAAAATATTCAAATGCGATCGAGTCGTTATCATGTGGTTCATAATTTTCGTTGATGACCATTCTACAAGAGTATTTCATAGCTTTCTCTGTACAGGTGCTGCATAATCAATACTTTACATCATTTCTTTTATCTCTTACAGATATTGGACTTCATTGTGCAATCTTGTAGCGTCTTTGATAAATTCTGTCCGATCGATAGCCAGTTTGTTACTTCTGTTGTTCCTCTTCATTGTCATATTTGCTCTGCTCGGTATGCAAGTCTTTGGTGGCCGTTTCAACTACAAAGACTTGGAAGAAAAGCCTCGCCATAATTTTGATTCATTCGTCCAAGCACTTCTAACTGTCTTTCAGGTAAAGTATTGACAGATTTTTTTTTTTTTTTTTTTTTTTTTTTTTTTTTTGCTTTGGAGATATTATGAATTTTATTTTTAGAAAAGTTTATATCTAACTTTAATAAATTCCATAAAATTAATTTCTTCTTTCATGATTTTTGTTTGAAATAGCATGTAAAACGTAATTGAAAAATATCTGGCAAAAATGTAAAAGCAGACAGAGAAGACCGAAATAAGGAAATTTTGTTATGGAATGTGTGTGCCAAAATGGCGCTTTGAGATAGTAAAAGGTGCTATTAAGCGGTAGCTAAAAGCGATCCCATGGTTTAAGTTGTCATTCCCCTTGCGAGTTTCGAGCAGTATGCGTTACTACACCAGTACACGAATGCAGAGCTCATCGATATGCATTTTACCATGAGGATCAGGCTGAAACGGAGCAGCTACTCGAAGGATATGCAACGAACAATTCCCGAGTACTCTTTTTAACAGCTGCTCTATTTTCGTCACCAGCCTCATAGATATAGTGCATCTTGAATGCTTCTTTTTTCGTCTAGAATTACGTACTTCTCGAAAGCCACACAAGGCATGATAATTTACGCCAGCAGAAACCTTCTCACCCCTCAACAGCGCCCTGTACAACCTCAATGTGCCATTTCTTTGTAAATTTATACATGTGTGTGCGTGCATACATGCGTCTTCGTATTCTAACGTATTTGCGTTGCTACACTACGAACATAATACTAATGAGAAATGTAAAGAAACCTTGCGTGAAATATCCATGCTTGAAGATTCACGCGCTTAAAATGTTTTCAGTAATTCTGTAATATTGGCTAATAAACTTGGTTGTTCGATCAAAATGACAAGATTGTTTTAAAACTTTATTACAGTATGCATGTATGTATGAACGCATGTGTGTTATGCATGCGTGTAGGCCTGTATGTACGCATGCGTGTATATGTAGATAGGTATGCATACTTGCTTGCTTGCTTCAAAACCAGAATCTGCTTAGTTGTTGTTCGAATCTGCTTAATCGACGTTCGTTTTAATATTTCATCAAGCATTTAGTTTTGAGAAAAGTTGACTTGTGATTTCTGCACAATAATTTTGTTACATTTATCACATGGGATGTATACATTTTTTTAATTTTTAGTACTGCTTAAAACATGAACAAATTAGTGAGATGTAATTTTGAGCAGAATCCAAAACTGATAGTTTTTACTGGACATGTGAAACGGCCTGTCAGAATAATTATCTTTTTTATCGTACTGTAATCATATTTCTTTAAGAATATGTAATTATTATATCTGCAGAGTTTCTATGTTTTTCTCCAGAATTTATTTTCACTGTAGTAAGGAGTTCTATCTTTTTCTGTCTCACTAGATACTCACCGGTGAGGACTGGAACGAAGTAATGTACGACGGCATCAGAGCCTATGGAGGAATTGGCTCCTATGGTGCTTTGGCGTGCATTTATTTCATCATCCTATTCATCTGTGGTAATTGTATCCTTTTTCTAAATCGGTCATAAATAAATTATTTTTCCATGAAGATAATTAGTTTGTAATATTTATAAAATAGTTCTCTGAAAATAAAAAAAAACCTGCAAAAACTTTTAATTCTATTTAAGGATGAAAAAACTTAAATTTCTGAATGTAGAAAACTGGTGATGAAAGGTTTATATTCGAAATCATACTTAGGTATGGTCCACCAGTGGCGGAGTGGTGGTCGCTGAACACTGGTAGTTGCGTCTCGGCGAACAAAGTGACTACATGCGCGTTTTCGTGGTTTCCCCATGTGCAACGTGTACACAAGCCAGTTTCCCTTAAAAGTCCTCCACGAAGGCATTCCTTACCTTAGACAAATAAACCTCGAGTGCTTTACAGTATTAAAATAAATTAAACCAAACCGTACCTAGGCGATGATGGTTGATTGCTTTTTCATCCGAACGGAACTGTTTCAATAAGTTCTAATTTATGGAAATTTTTCATCCGAGACTTTATCCATAAAGTACGTAATTTCTTTGCAGAATTCCGTGGAATTACGCAGTAGCTCCGTAAAAATTTCAAATCTCCCTAGAATTTCTGTACAGATCTACGGAATTCCAAAGCATCACCTACTGACTCAGCCCACCATTTAGCAGAGAGGATAAAACTATTAACTAAAATAAATAAATAAATAAATAAATAAATACTGAATGCTTTCAGATTTTCTATTACGCCTAAGGGGCGTTTTTTAACGTTTTTGTGTGTTATCTGCATTTATTAAATATCATGTTCTTCGCACTTAAACCAATCCAACAGCAATATCACAAAATATGTAAAAGAATATCCTATACAGGCTCACGCACTGGAAATAATTTTTTTTGTACAGTGTTGCCATTTTTCGCTTTGAAATTGTTGAGTTTCTTAATCAAAAACTCATAAATGCTTTATAAAATATTAAATACATAATAAACCAAATTCCAAATTTTTGGCTTCTATATGCCCATTTTCGGGTGGAGACGTACGTTATTGAAAATTTGATGGCTCTGGGTAGCTTTGTTTTATCACAATACGAGAAACATACATACATTTATACAAATTCTTCATTATTTAATTTCGTTAAATATAATGCAGGGCAAATATTTGGTGGCAACAATTTCAAAAATGATTCGCCATTTATATGGAATCGACGGAAAATGCCGAAACAAAATTAATAGCCCTTCTGAGCTAACGCTCCTTTGGGCTAAAAATAAATACATGATCAACTGAAATCGTCTATGGGCAATATCTGCGAAAGAAATAACTTTATTTAATTATGTTTTATTGATACTGTTTACAGGCATCCATAATTAGTGTCGCAATTCAGAAGTACTCGCTTTAAGCATTCGGGCGTTTATCCCATTGGGTGAAAATCTACCAATGCAGTTCATTTAAAATTTTGAAATTTGGCTTTCGAACCTTTGATGGCCTTCTCTATTATTCATTTGCTTTCAAGTATAAGTGACGCGGGACACCAGAAATTCACCATTAGTAGCACAATTATCTTTCTGCCATAGTAGCTGTTAAAGTTCACCCCAATTTTGATGGAGAATACCACATGAAAAGGTCCGAAGATCTCTCATCTATTTTCCCCTACAACCAAACTACTTAAGCTGATTTTCGGCTGGCTATGCATTTTGAATGCCTCTGTGCTGCACAGATACTGACTATCATCATGCCTTCTCCGGGATTGAAACCCAAGCCCAAAGATATAGCAGCCTGGAGCACTAACCAGTATACTGATGAGGGCAATAGTACATCAGCACAGGAAATGCTTTATATATGAGTACTGATCTGGTAGTTAAATCTCGTTATCTTATTTTATCAATATCCTCTTCATAAGAAGCTCGCTCTGTTATTATTACGTAACAATCGCATACTCGCAAACCTCCTCCTCGAAAGTATCTCATTATATCACTTGATATATTTAGAAAGAGTAATCGCGCAAGAAAACGCTTCGCAAACTGGATTTCCTTGAGTCGACAGTTACATTTACCAGAATATTTGTGTCAAAATTTCGACCTTTCAACGCCTTCTTTAGAGATCTAAAAATGTGAAAGTCGCTCAGAACCCTCTACGCAGAAATCTTTCACAATCTTCCGTGCAGTCACCTAATTCACCTTGAATTGATCCGTTATAGATCGAATGCTGATGCATCTATTCCCAAGAATAGTTTCATTAGCTTTTGCATAATTGTCATTTGTGGCAAGAGCGTGAACTTGTCCTAGGGTGGAAATAATCACTTGTTTGCTTATGCCCTTCCATAAAGATTCTTGTCTATCTATTACTATTATTTTCCAGACGAATGCATTGCCATACATTTTCAGCATCTGACGAAGCATTTCAGCTAATTGATATCCATCAGTACTGAGGAATTATATGACATGGTGATCTGATGGAATGGATTGTGTGGAACTCCATCTTTCAACAGTTATTCATGCAAAGATAAAACCTGTAGCCACATGATTTGAATTGTACTTGAACAGGAACATATACCATGATAAACCCCTACAACTATATTTTTTTCGTCATACCTAATGTTGCAGTTGTTGATAACGAACAGGTTTCAAATGATTACGCCTATTAATTTGATTTAATTTCGAATCCCGTAAAATGGGCTGGCTATATATGGAATTTTGGTGTTTGTGATGTCAGTATGAACAAATGTCTCTTGGAATGTTCTCTGCATTAAGCATTCCTCCTATTTAAGCGTATGATCTTAGTTGTGTCTGACATGAAAACAAAGGGAAGAGGCAAACGCTCTCATATGTGTGCTATTATTATCATACGTTTTTCATTCAAATTATTAGATAGTATAAATAATACTTTTCACATGTTGTCATTCGTATCTTTGAGATTCTAAGAATCAAAACTTTGGTATGCTTCTATGTAAATATAACTTAAAACTGGTACCTATTTCCAATTTTCTTTTATGCATCATTATGAAACACATTCATTTCAATTTACAAATATAATAAAACAGTGAATATTCTTGCTCTTCAATTTATTTAAATAAAAACTAACTTATTTCAATTGCTAAGGTGATCTGGCTGTTTACGCCAGTGCTAAATAACCGATGCGTTTGGAGTAGATTAGTTTTATGAGTACCTCTCTGTGACTGTCGCTTTTTAGTAATTATTATTCTCTAATGAATCATCAGAAACCATGTGTACGTACATTTTTATGTAATGCTGTAAACTTTGTAGAAAATGTCAGCACTTGTGTTAATTACAGTCAGGAATAGAAAACAAACAATTGCAAAGCATTCTGTTTTTCACTACAATTGAATTTTAAATTATACATGTGTTAACGGATATCTGCACATTTTCGCTTCTCAAACTGACATAGTTTATACGTGTAATTCCTAAATTCATTTAATTTAACGTCTTTCTGGTAAAAATATGCTAGGAAACTAGTTGAAATAGTTTATACCTGTAATTCCTAAATTCATGTAATTTAACGTCTTTATAGTAAAAGGTATTATGGGAAACTATAACCAGCTTTCTTTGGGCATTTTATTTTTGCTAATGCGATAAAAAATAATCAAGCAGTGAAACTAATTTTAAGTAAAACTCGAGAATAAATTATATTAAGCATTTTACATTACGTTCTGGAAATAGTTTATTACATGAATAATGGATTGCTTAAATAACTGTCTTCTTTTTAATGTAACTACTTGTTTACAATGTAAGTGTCAGGACAGTTTGATTAGTATGATACACTTTCTGTCTTTAATTTGTGATTTTCTGTGTATCAAGTATATTATGGATTTTAAGTTTGACTCAAACCAGATATCCTTCTAAACGTCTTCTTGGCTATCGCTGTTGATAACCTTGCGGACGCGGACAGTCTTACAGGTGTAGAAAAGGTAAGTTTTAAAACTTCCTTTTAAAATGCAGTAAATTTTAATTTTATTCACATTTTAATTTCATTTAACACAGGTACATGTAATCATGGACTATTGTGTGCACTAGTTGACAAATCAGAGCCAACTAAAAATTTTCTGTTAAGATCACTAAAACTTTCGTGCACTTTGCATCGTTATAATTAGAACAAACGCATAATGGATTATCTATAAATAACTGTATGCAGCTGTGCAGCAATCATTTGCCGACAAATAAAATCGAAAGTTTGGGCAACTGTAGATATTTTTGTGCAAGTATGATAGGAAGTGAAATGGATTATAAAAATTTTTAACCAATATGACGTAGGCTAATCTTATGGACAATTCCTCGCGTGAAAAGCTTTCCAGTTTTCTGTCATTCAATGTGATTTAGATGCTGAGACATTTATATTAAGTATTACCCGTAATTTCCATAGAAGGTAACTTGCCAATAGCAATAGTTATGTATTTTTTGTTGACAATAACTACCTAGTATATAAACTAGCTATTTGCAGCCATGTATGGTTGTAGCTGTTTTATAGTACAGTAAGACCCCGCTTAACGCTGTTTCGGTTTAGCGCTCTTTTATTTCAACCCGGGGATTCTCCGAAATTGTGCGCAGCGCTAGGTTTCCAAATAACATATCCGAAACAGTGTAGTTGTGTTTCTTGCTTGGTGGACGCATTTTTGTTATTTGAAACATTTATTGACATTATTAATACAGTGACAAATATTATGATCTTTAGTTTTTATCATGGGTGATAATAAAAAACAAGAAAAGAAAGCAACCAGAAAAAGCATTTCACTGGAAACACAAATGCAAGTGATTAGAAGATTAGATTCTGGTGAACGTCAACTCAAATTAGTGCTGCATTGATTTTGGCAACTTCAACAATAAGGACAATTCTTAAGAATAAAGAAAAAATACTGTCATCGGCAACTGCAACTACGTCAAGCTCTGCAACTAGAATTACCCGTTCTAGAAATAACATTATAGAGGAAATGGAAAAACGACTGTCTATATGGATTGACGACGAAATTGAACGCGATATGCCATTAAACCAGTCTATCATAATGCCTCATTGACAAAAAGGCAGAAAATTGGAAACCCAGAATAGACTGAATGATCTGACTGAGAATTTTATTTGTTTTTAAAAGTATATGTGTTTATATTGTTTTTATTTTTGTAAGAAATAAATGTTTGATTTTAATTTTTATTAAAAAAAATTATTAAATTTAATGCCTAACCATTTTTTATCCGTCTTCCCCTAACCCCATTATGTACATGTTAAGATAGCCTCGCTTAGCTCTGTTTCGCATTACGCTCTACTTCCATGGAACGTATCCCCCGAGTTAAGCGGGGTCTTACTGTACCTTCATTTTAAACGTTCTGTTTTGTTTTCATTTTCATAATAATGGATACTTCTCATTTGTCAAATATAATTAATGGAAATAGTTATCTGTATATATTGTTATCTGTTTATTGTATACTGTCTGTAACCAAAAAATCCCGACTGTAATAATTTCCATATATTGAAACTGTACACCATTCATGAAAGCATATTGTGAACGTGCATGCATGCTGATATTTAAATAAACTTCATGATGATTAAAGGCACATGAACCATTAATAATAAATGAAGGAAAATTATTTAAAGGAATCCTCTAATAATAATAGTTTCCTTACGTTTTATTTACTCCCCTTTACTGTACTTTTTTTAAGTGTTTACAATAAGAGGTATAGGTGAATCTTCGAATTATGGTAACTTGGCTAATTTTTGGCGAAAATTTGGCAACCAACCCTGCTAGTTTTTTTTTTTTTTTTTACGCCATTTTTTTAAACTTAACATTTTTTCCAACAATCTGCTAGCCGAATTACGCTTATGCTAGAACTTTTATGGAACAAAAGTGCTTAATCATAACGAAGATTAGGTGCGAAATTGGGAGACAGGGCAGAATCGCCCACTGCTTCGCGCGTTTTTAAGAATTGCACATACGCGGTATCCATGTACACGTCGACCTATTTTCACTTAAAAAATCATCCCAGAATTGCACAATCGATGTACACATCGACCTTACTTACTTCACTTAAAAAGTCAAAGAAAATTGACAAAAGTCCAATTCTTCTTACTCTTGTAAAAAGCGCCAAACAAATAGTGGGCAATTCTGCACTTTAGCAGCGAAATTGTTTCTAAGTGCTTATTAGCTAAAATCACGATCGGAATTTTCCGGAAAATGTCACATGACATGTCTCATGATCTCTCATTTGTCTGAGACAAAATAATCTGTGATTCGAACTGTACTTCTCAGATTATTGCTAAAGTCCTACCTTTATCGCCTTACCAAAATGTCCTTTATCGCCTTACAAAAATGTCGCCAAACTACCTGCTACCATATTCCAAAGATTAGTCGAGATATATTATATGTGTTAGCAAATTATCGCCAAAAGCGTCATGGAAATGTCAGGTATAAACTAATATGTAATTATTTGTGATCAATAATAGTTTATGTATTTTTCCCCCTTTCACTGATTTCCTAATCATATCTAGGAGAAAATTACGGGTTATTCCGGGAAAATGAAAATCTGCATCTAGTACAGCATTATTTAAATATTTTTCAATATTGATAAAACCCACAGAAATTAAACATAACTGAATTATATCTGTGTAATCTCTTGAAAGATTTTACTATTATGTTTTAGGAAGGCGAGGAAGAGGAGGAGGGAGCAGAAGCCCCTGCCGAAGAGGGCGAAGGCGATCAGGGCAGCCGGGAAGAAATGGACGATGAGATGTGCAAACGAAACCGACGGAAAAGTGAGGCAGTCAAATTGGACGGAGTGGCGATAAACCATGTTGCGTAAGCAAACAAATTCAATTTAAATTATAATAATCTATTTAAGCTTTACAGACTGGGAACGCACAGTTTAAACAGGCTAATAGGCACCATCTCCAAGTGGACCAGCTGCTTTGTCAATACAGTAAAAAGACCGTAATGCAAACAACTATATTAAATTCAGCAGCAACAGGAAAAAAAAAATTGTAAACCTCAAAATTAGTTTCTTCTTTCAAAACTGCTAGCTTCTTTGATGTTTACAGCAATCAAGCAGTTTTCTATCTACTAACTATAAACAGGCATATTGAAATTTATCTTAAGAAAAATATCTTAAATTTAATGTAGGCTCTATAGCAAGCGAACGGACGGCCTGCATGGACGGTTTCATGGTTTTCGCCATGTGTAACAAGGATATGACGAAAAACCTTCCTATTAGACACATAGCTCATTATAAGCATATATTCAGTTCTGTAAAGTACGTATGTCTGAGATTTCCTTCCTTTGAATGTAAAGAATTAAGAATGTAACAAAATATTTTTAATTTAGAGAATTTATTTGATTGTAATAATAATTGTTTTTAAAAAACATTTTGGGCATAGTATATGAAAAAAAATTTTTTTTTTTAATTTTTTTTTTATTTTTAGATTTGCTCCAGATAAAATGGTATGTATTTTCAAATTATACTTTTTTATATTTTTTACTTTTTTTCGAAATATATTCAAAAATTATTTTTTTTTCATGCTGAAAACTTCCAAATATTTAAAAATTTCAACATGAAACAAAAATAAATTAGCAAAGTATGTTTATTTTAACTATAAATTCAGTAACTGTCTTTCAAATTGATAAATAATTTTAACAAAAATAACTATTCTAAGTCCAAGTGTTCAATGTGATATTTATTGGGGATAACGTACACGTTTTAATTGAAAAATTTTAATTGAAAAACACCATTTCCTATTGTGTTAACAAAAGCCCTTATATGACCTTTATTTTTGCAATCATTTGTCATATTTCCACTATAAAAATACCTAAATGATGCAAATATTAATGTTGTGGCAGTTTAAAATATAGATTTAATAAAAAATTACAAAAATTTAGTCAATTTTGAATGTTCCACCAATCGCTATTGTTATATATATAGGAAAAGCTCATTATAAAAATATAAAGCACAGAGATGATCCCCATACAACAAAAAGTCTGTAAGATATTTAATTTCAAAATTTAAATTTTTCGTGTCATTCTTGGCTCGCCTTGAAGGGTCAATTACAACAGTGTAAATTAGAATAATTATATATTGACATTTTTTTCTCTCTTAAATGTCATTCAATCATATTCTTTTATTATTCTTTTATTATTTTACGTAATATTTTTAAAATTTCTAATTAGACTTTTGGGTTAATTATAAATTTAAAAAAGTCTCTAAACATGATTTTGCATTGTTTCACTTTTCATTGATACACTTCTTAAGAGTATATCTAAGACCACCGGTTGCGAAAGTAATGGCCACATAAGAACTTTTGTGGATACGGCTTTTTTTCTTACATATCATTCATTTAATTTATTATTCCGTGTTTACTCTGAGCATGTAATTATGCATGGTAAAAAGCTATTATAAGTGAGAGGTATAAGCTATTCTAAGTTCTTACTTTAAGCTATTTGTTTGATTTGGTTTTGAATCTGTATATTAGATTTTAAGCAATTATCAAGCTTGAAGTTTTTAAAATTTAAATGCTTTTGTGGGCTAATATCCAATATTTCTGCACTTGGTAATTTTTTTTTAAATTTGAAAATCTCTTAATAGCGAATTTCTTTAGCTTGTTTTTGTTTAAATTTTCCCTTTTTATAATTTTTTAATTTAGCACTTTATTTGCATGAGAAACGGATCATGCATAGTGTTCCCGTGGTTGCTTTTTTATTAGGAAGATTAGCATTCTGCTAACTTCTTTAAAATCTTTGGCATATCATTCTGTAGTCCACAGACGTTGTTGGATCTAGAAATGGGTAGATTTGCTCTTTTATGGTATCAGATGAGAACCATTTGCTCACTGATAGGAAATCTGTTCTTTTTTTATCACTCACCGCTCACGACAATATTAACCTTAACAGAAAAATCCGAAACGAGGGGTGAATCAAGAACGAAGCGAGGTTGAAGCAAAGAGCGGAAAGACTCAATGAAGAGTGAGGCTGGAAGAATCGATTCAATCAAACTCCCTAAACGACTTCTTTCAACTGTAGTTTTGAAATTCCATAAAAATCTCCTTTCTGCACACAGATAATAATAAAATTCTAGAGTAATTTTTTTTTAAATATAGGGAAATGCTAAAAATTAATTGCACTTTTAAGTTGAGAGGATAAACATTTTCTCCCCTAAAATAGGAGTCGGAACTTTCCTGGCACACTTTTAACAAAAGCTCCGCTCGTATTTCGCGAATTAGGCGTTCGTTTGCTCAGTAAAATGAGTGAGTTCTTGAAAGAATAGCAGATCTTATTCCTGGCTCGCTTCCAACAAACAAAAGCTGTCCTTGAACTGTAAAAGAGTTGCATCTCCGTTTTTTGGAGCTGAAGTAAATTCACTTAGCAAAGTGAATCGGTTCTTTGAATCAATTCCGCAGCTAATCGTCCAACTCTGGTTGGAACACAACGTTCTATAATTATCTGAAATTGTCGTTTTAAGGTTTTGTTTATCCTTATCTTTTCTACATTCTTAATTACATCGACTGCATTGTTAATGCATTCGATTTATTTTTATTTGTATATTTTAATGATTTATATATTTAATGAAAACAGTTGAATGATGTAAAGATCGTGATTTTTACTTTTTATTATGGTAATATATTGAATAGTAATAACACTTTTAAAATACTAATTTATTTTTTAAAAGGGCTGATATGCATTTTAAATTATTTTATGTTTTAGTATAATTGTATATTGTATTTAGTATAATAATGTATGATATACTAATTTATCATATTTATTAGAATTTCTTTTTATTTTGAAAGTGTACTTGGAAAGTTTTTTAAAGTAACTAAATCGAATTAGTAAAATAGTAATATATTCCGATTTTTTTCTTTTGTAGAATCAGGTTGAGATAAGAATCAATGAAGATGATAAAGGTAAGAAAAAATACATATTAAAAGAGCCCTAAAGCTTTTAAATAAAGGAAAATCATAGCTTGTGTTTTCAAAATAGTGTAAAACTGCGAAAGAAATTCTACCAAGGATTATTAGGAAATGAAGATTTATCACTTATAGCTATACCTGGTAACCTTTCGTTAGAAATAGGAAAACAAATTCTTACATATTTTTTTTTTTGTTTTATTTGTTTTCTTTGGAACTTTTCATTAAATGCGCCGCACAATTTTCTTTAGAACGTTATATGCACACCTGGATATTCCCAGCGAAGAAACAAAATTGTTTGATCTGCTCATTTTAATGGTGGTAAAGTTTTTCTATATCTCTCTATATTCTTTATAAAATTATTATCTCTCTTTGATTAGTTTATTTAAGTCAACAAAGAGCGAAACAGTATGACAATTTTTATGAAATCTTTATTGCAAACTTGTTTTGAAAAAAATAATAGCATTATTACAAAAGCATAACAAGAAGACATTTAATTTAAGGGTAGCCAATAAGCAAAGTCACAAGTACATTTTTATGTAAAATATTGTTTGGTGCATATTGTGCTATCATAGAAAACCATTTACTTACATCAATTTCTCTTGATTAAGTATTCCATGTTCAAGATAGATGATATATGTAGAAAATAACAATTGCGTTATGCTTCATTTAAAATACTCTAAAGTGAAATTTTTAATATGAGCAGGTAAAAAATTTTATTTATTTATGTAACGTCTGTTTAGAACAGTTAATTGCAAATGTGATTTGCACATAAAATTCCTGTGGGCAAATGCATAACTTGAAGCTCCATTGACCAATTGGTTAAAGCCATAGAATCCTCATACTTCGCTACAAGCTTTACAAGGATAAAAACACAATTCATATAAATTTAGTGAAGGGATCATACGTTTACCAAATATAAAACAAAACATATACGCAGTTAAATTATATATTTTAGTTATTTTTCAACGTAAGGATTTAGACACGTGCGAGACTTTTCTACCATGATGTCTTTAGTTTCAGAACTTTCTCATCCAGAATCTGTTTACAAGCATCTGCTGAAGAATACAAGCATCTGCTGAAGATCAACTCAACTGCTTTGTCCGAATCGAGAAATCCATCATCTGGAGAAGCTGCGGCAATCTAGGCTTCGCTACCTTTGATTTCCAACATATCTTTGTTTCTTTCTTTCAGATTTTTCTGTTTAGCTTCCTCCCGTCCAAACAAAAAAGGTAGGAACATGTTGTTACCACACTGTAAACTACAAACAAAAGAGAGATTTTTGTACAGTATTTCAGTCTGTTTTTATCAGGGTGACCAATAATTCAACAGAACTAGTTTTTGGAGTAATAGCCAGATTTGCTGTCCCACAGTGCGCAGCCAGTTATGCAAATTCGAAGAAGAGTGTAATCGTTGTGGCTTGCTTTACGATCTCTTTTAGTATTATCAGCAGTTGAACTGGCTGATGGCGTAACGTTTTAATAGTTTTCTTTAAAGTTTTATTTTCAGGAAGGTAAATTTGGTAGCAAAGTTCTGTATGTAGATATTTCTCACCTTAAGAAGATAACATTAATGTAATTTTATTATAATTTAATGATATCCCCCATAAAACGGGGTCTTTTTTGGTGGATAGCGAAGTCGATGAAAGATTTGAAATGTAATTGTATTTTCAATCCCAGCTATAAAGAAAGATAGAAGATAAATCATTGCACCGAGGATATCATTGCGATACCAAAACATTCTTAAAATAACTTTCAGGATTTGAAAAAGCTTTCATAATCGGAATGGAAGAATACTGGGGATGAAACAAATTATGGCCCTAGCATTTGTAATGCATGGACTTACGGGATGCTGACGATAGGAGCTTGCTGGCGATGCTATTATAAGAGAATGAGACGTAGCGAATATTTTCTAGAGCGTTCTAAAGAAATCTGAGAGAGAGATGCATTACCATAACTATTGGCTAAAAGAACAGCCTTATTCTTTCGTGGGTTTTTACTTCTTTGTACGAGGTTAAGGAAGTATTGTACTCGCCAAAAATTTCGGGTATCACATTTCAACGAAAATATCCATTTTGACCACTCTCGAATCCATTTGAACGATGTTTTTGCATGACATTTGTACGTACAGACAGAATAAAAGACTTTTTTTCCTAAACCACATTGTAAAATGGATTTAAAATAGATCCAGAAGAGATTGTTTTGTGACATCTGTAATCTCGCATAATTCAAAAACCGAGTAGTATCAGAACGTTAAAGCTTTGTATATAGGACTTCTATAACATGCATTGTGCACCTCCTTTTTGGTTCAATCTATCATACTATTATACGATAGTGAATTATGTCAGTTTCTGCACGAAGTTCAGTGTCTTTTTGCTGCGGAACCAAAAGTACACTTGCATTTTTGTGCACCGAAAAATCTGTCTTTCTGCCCTCTTGCCGAATTGTTTGTTTTTACATAGAAATTCTAATTGAAAAAAAAAAATTGATTGCTTTTAACTGTATTTGGCTTTTTAAAATTTTCTGTATCTTATAGTTTTTATGAAGATGTTTTGAGTTCTTATGTATTTTTGCCTTTCCACGAATAGAAAACTGATTTTATGAGAAATATTATATCTGTAATGAAATTCGAGGAAATAAGTTGAAATGAAAGAAATGCAGCCAAAAATTTGTATAATTTAGTAGGCCGTAGAAGGAAGTTATTGGCCCTTATTATTATTATTATGGTGTTCACATTCACATCAGATTGTATTAAATGTTGTTACATCAATCCCCTTCTATGTCTCTGTCCACTACCATCATTCGATATCGCTCTGATAAGAGGACTTCGATATTAAACTTGACATAACTGGTCTTTCTCCATATGGCATCGTAGGAAACATTTTCAAAGAAATGCTAAGTAGCGTAATAGCATTTTCAAAGAAACATTTTCAAAGAAATATTTTCAAAGAAACATTTTCAAAGAAACATTTTCAAAGAAATGCTAAGTAGCGTAATAGCATTTTACCATCTACGAAGAAGACTCATGTTTCCTGTTTAAACGTCCATGATGATTTACTTGCATGTGAAGGAAGCTGGCCATAGAAACAGGTAGTTTAACATGCATGATGGGGTCCATATGGAGCAAATCTTTAGAATTGTGATGTAAGGAACCATTAATTACGACTCAACGATCGCTTTTAGTTGTTATTTTGCGAGGTCTAATGATATTTAAAAGTGAATGTAGAATATACATAATGCCATTTAGTAGCCAAGTATAATCTATGCTTGGTATCCAAAGAAATGTTCTACTGCAGTTAAGGTCCCAACTTCCATGCAGAAAGTATTCAATAGTTTCACACTTTTTTCTACTTTCAATATTAAAAGCGTACAAATCGTCCAGAGAACTTATAAATCGTCTCATTATGTGTGTATCTGCTCCGAATAGATGCGATAATCACAAACATTCAAGACTTTATATGGGATCTAAACTCATGTCTTCAGCTTTGTAGACTGTATCGACAGTAAACTGTTATACACCTAAGCGATTGGTCTCAAGGCATGATATCAGACGTTTTAGCAAAATGTGCTGATACCTGTCTTTTTCAGTGTCCTGAAGATACAAATTTACTTGAGATAGTAATATTTAAACAAGATAATGCATGGCTGTTTACTACTGAGAATTGCTTACTTTATTGAAATCAAATAAAACTTGATTCCTGGCTACCCAGTTTACAGTTATTATATCGATTTCATTTTCCAATCCGTATTGTATAAACCCATTAACTTATATGGGATGTTAAATAATTTATATTCTTTGGTAAACAGGAGCCATAGATCGATAAACTAGAGCAAGGATGCTTAGAAAATAGTAACACGTTGATTTGCCATTTAATTAGCCCCCCCCTCTTGTTATACGTGTATTCACTCTCACAGTGTTCTTATATCGAAAGATTTTTGTCCCTATTAAATTCTAAAATTTCTTAGCATTTATAGTAGAATCCGCTATGTTTGCAATTAATTTAATTCGACTAGTCCTTATAGATCAAATAATATCAATGCGAATTATGAAAAACTGCAGAATACTAATGTAACATTTTGGTACCTGATAGATGATTGGATTAGTTGCGTGAGTATTTTACAGTGTTCAGTATGTTTTATAGTATTCAGTAGAGTAAATAAGAGGCAGTTCTTTTTAGCACATACTTTCCAAAAGCATCTTTTCTCTATGCATGTAGCGTCAAGATCTCTCTTAATAATAAAAGTAATTAAACTTAATGTCAGCAATGTACATCTTATAGAGAAAGAGGAAGATGGTGAGAAAGAAGGAGACGAAGAAGAAGAAGAGGAAGAAGAATGCGAGGAAGATGTGGGATCTGCAATCGGTTCTACAGGTGCCAGACCACGTCGGATGTCTGAATTAGATATGCCCAACAAAATTCTTCCTATTCCAAATTACAGCTCATTTTTCATCTTTTCTCCAACGAATAAGTGAGTTTAAGAATTTTCATTGTAATTATAATGGTTGTTTATATGAGTATATATCAAATGTACAACAGTAAATTAGGGAAGTCTCACCAATATATTAACTACAAGATACTGCCAAAAGTCTGAAAAGTTTTTTTATGTTTAAGAATCGGAAAGTATAGTTTAATAGTATCTTATTAATTTTTTGAAACAGGAAAACTTTTAGTAATTTTTTATTTGGAAGTGACAAGATTATCTCGACAGTTTTGATACTTTCAGATAAAAACCTATGAAAAGGCTTCTCAAATTACGGTCGCCAGCGGCTAGTTTTCTCTCAGTGGTTGTGCAATTTGATAACACAGGCTTGAGCAATAGAAAATATAAAACTTTCCAAAAAAATAAATAATTAAACAGTGGTTAATATCGTTAATTAGACTAAACATTAAATCCTGTTCCTAGTATAATCTGGCGAACTGTCGCACCAAATGGCCATCAAAAAGCATTTAAATACAGTCTGTCATTTATATGCTGATTTATATGATTTTATGTAATGCATTTATATGCTGATTTATCTTTTTATATATCTGATGTTTTTATATATCTTATTTCTTAGTCTAATTGCATGAATTCATAGTGTTGACCATTTAGAGTGATTTGTCTCTTGCCTTATTATGAGTGAATGCTTTCAGACTTCGTGTTCTTTGCCATCAAATCATCAACCACAGCTATTTTGGCAACGCAGTGTTGGCCTGTATCTTGATCAGCAGTGCTATGTTGGCGGCTGAAGACCCTCTGAGCTCGGAGACACCTCGAAACAAGGTAAACATACTTGACATCGTGCTTTTGATATTCAAACTTTTGTTGGATACTCAGTTTGTTTTAAAAACTGAGATTATCAGAATCTACAAGGAATGGTGAAGGATTTAATTTTCAGCATACGTTTTAATTTTCAACATTTTAAAAATGAATATTCTTCTAGTTACATTTTTGTCTGATTTGTTTCTGAGAATGCTTCCATATAAGCAACCCGTAATTCAACTTGGCCGTTTATATAAATTGTATGAGAAATACCGAATACAAGTTTATGATACTCATTGCAATAAACTAATCGAAATTATGTAATTTTGTTATAGACCTATGCTATTATATTATAGACCTATGCTATTATATGTTATAGACCTATGCTACTATATTTGTTATAGACCTATGCGATTACGTGTATTCATTAATTGTCATCTTCTGCATTATTGCGCCAGTTGCGTCAGTGTTTCATTTCTTTTAATGTATAAGTGTTTATTGTTTGCCTATCTCATTAACCCCTTAGACCAATATACATATGTATCCAATGTACCTATACCATCAATGTACCTATGTATGAAACTTTTTATTAATTGTATACTGAAGCATATATATGCACACGCCCTTGTTTGGCCACGTCAATACCACATATTCTCCATTAATATATTTCCCGATGCAGCCCTTTCAGGAAGTCGCCAGGGTTGTGTTGTTCTAAATAGGTGCGGGTACCGGACGACACCCGATTTGTCATATTAAGCCGTCCGGGTGTCCGGGCCTTGCATTCACCTGTCACCTATAGACCTATGCTGGAAATTCAACATTATCAGTTTTCTAGGAGGGCGTTTTTATGTTTATAAGGGAACTTTGCTAAACTGGTATTCAATACAAAAAGAATTATGTGAACTTTTACTATTTTTTTTAATTTTAGAAATTATATGCTGAAAACGATGAAAGCCTTGAGTATAATTACATTTTAAGAATGTTTAATTATCCGAACTAACATAAATGTTCGGTTAATCCGTTTTTAATACGAAAGCCATGTTTCGGGTATTCTCCACTTTTCAACAAAATAAGCAGAAATATCGATACATTTCCTCGAACATTGCATTCATTAATCATAATAATCGTTCTGGGAAGCTTTAATTGCGATCCCTTATCATAAAGATGCCGGCACTAGGGTGGTCAGTATTCACCAAAGAAAGAATCTTCACAATGGTGGCCCTTTATCTAGCATTGATTGTTATTAATTGTGAGGATTAAATTTTAACTTGAAATTTGCAACCTTCATTAAAGTGATAGAACGTTATGCGAATATGATTTTAATTTACTGCTCTGATTAATAAAGCAAGCGATAATCGTGCCGCCCTAGCAATGTCCGAACTTAACAGGGTCACATGAAGATTTGCTTTCAAGTAAAGCTCCAACATCTCTACTGCATTGTCATGCCGTAATTTTGACTATATTACCCATGTCATCTTATGAATGAAACTTTTATACTACATATTTGATTTGGTTCAACTTATTTCTAATTTATGCTGGAAATTACTAGTACGAAGATGACGCCACTGGGTATAACTTATTAGCAGCCGGGCAAGCTGATCGATTCAAAGACAGTTTTCACGAGGGTTGCGAACCATCATATAAATATGTACACTAATATCGATGATGATTGTTAGTGACAACTCTTTGAATAGTTAAACAACCTTTCTAAAGGAAAAATTAATATAAATATGTTATTTTATGAATGTGTGTTAGCACTACTCTCCTTACTGATTATGGATCTGCAACAAAATGCTTAGCAATAATATAATGTTTATAACAAATTGCGAATCGCAGGTGGCATGTGTCATTTTACTTTTATACTGACAATGGACAGCCATTCACTGAGTTAAATTAGCATCTCGGCCAAGAAATTCTATTATCAGAACTATTTTGGAAATTTGAGCTTCATGATTTGCTCCCTGGATCTGTCCTTTAATGTCGGTACAAAGAAGATATTTCTATTGAATAACGAGCAACTCAATAGGTTAAAAGATCAAGGATTATTAACTGAGATAAGGCACATGCCTTGTTTAGTAGTATTAATTTTTCACTATGTAAACACTTGTAACTTATTTCTGCTAAGGGCGGAGACAGAGGGTGCATTCATTTTCGTGAATCTGAATGAATTTAAGAAAAAGAGAGGTAGCAATAAGAAAACGTGAGAAAATGGCAATAAATTTGAAAGTTGTTGTGGGGTATTTAGAGAGTGAAGTATTGTATCGAAAATTCATGCTTGTGAAATAATGAGGAGAAACGCAGGAAAATTTCCATTTTTTCTTATTCAAGAATAAAATGAGGAAAATATATACCAAACCTTGTAAGGATCCTAAGTTTTACTAACATTTATTTTATTTTAAAACTGCACTATCACTTCTTATTTTCTACTTCCGGCCAGAATTAAATGCTTGTTTATGCAAATGTCTTGCTAACGCCCAAGTACTTAAGTTGTGGCTTTTTGCCAAGCGAAAGAGAGAAGGAGTTTTAGGAAGCAAACCGCTTGCCACTGTAGTTTTACGAGTTTTCACTCGGTTGCTGGTTGCCTTCAAGGCCAGAGGTTTAGCCCTCTTGATATTTGCAAACGTATCGTAGTTTCAGCAGCTCGGCGTACTACATACGTACCTTTTTTAAATAAAGGCCAGTCTTAGTGCTAGGCATTTGTATACTAATTAAAAGTTAGCTTTTAGTTAGAGTTTTAGTTAGTAGTTTTTATATTCTTACGTTCAGACCACAAGTGGTTGGTCTCTGTATTCCAAAGTTTCGGAAATACCTGTAAAGTATTGATAATAAAGAGTTTCGTATACCCTTCCTGCTTGTGTTGTCTACTTCACACCTTCCTGAACATAGCTTGAGTAAGCTCCCTGTTCCTATTCAGGACCATTCATGTTTCCAAAGCAAATCAAGAGAAACACAAGTCCTGACAACCTCATCGTATATCTATTCTCCTTCTGGCGTTGTCAAATTTCTATCTGATAAAACAATATGCTTTAAGAAATGAAAAATTCTAAAATCTTCCAACAGATTTAAAAACGAGTTTCTTAAAAGTATAAACAACTGCTTACAAATATTGCTACAGTAGTTAAGTTAAAAACATTGTTAAGTTACTACAGTAGTTAAGTTAACTTAAAAGTTTTTTGTCATACTGCTAAACTTCCATGTTTTAATCCTTCACTGTTTAGTGGTCAAAGTTGAAACCAAATTGCCTGCTTTATTCAAGTTTTGCATTCTGCAATACCTGCTGATTGTTAGTGAGTGCTGATTGTTAGTGAGTGCTGAGTGCTGATTGTTAGCACGTGCATTTTGGAATATTGTTACAAGAAGAAATAAAGTAATACGTTGTCTGGGGTGTCCATGATATAAATCTGAACTGCGAAATGTATGTCGCGAGATTTCCTGAGATGCCCCATCTTACTGGCAAAATGTATTTGGATAAAAATGAAAAATTTGGTGACTGGCAAAATTATGATTGATGCAAATGAAAAATTTGATAAACCGCTTTTTATTGCATTAAGTAAATTTCGTTTCTGATGGTGGGTTTGGTAGAGAAGAATGGTATAATGAAAATAGAATAGTTTTGATACTTTTCTATCGCATCGCTGCAAACTCTGTGTTTATATTCTTCATAACTCTTAAAAAACGTTTAAAGAATTTCTTTACGGTCTTATATTTCTGGGTATAGCTTTGATTTTTTTTTTTTTTTTTTTTTTTTTTTTTTTTTTTTTTTTTTTTTTGTTTTGTTGTTGTTGTTGACTTTAATTTCGACTCCTCATGTTCCATAAAATATACCACAAGGCTTACACTTGTAACTTTTATTCTATGAAAATTGTAGAAAAAAACTTTTGGATCCATTGTACCTTTGTTGAGGTCAGATATTCTCTGTTCCAAATAACCATATAGATTTCATCATTTCTATAAAGACTTCCAGTGAGAGACAAGAACTCGGATGAAGTTCCATGGCTAGCTATGCTAGAGCACCAGCCCTTTCATTTCCCGAATTATTTTAGTCCAGTGTCCACGAACATGAGCAAAATGAACGTCGATATCAAGAACCTGCAAGGTCTTAATAATAACCTGAATTTCAACAAGTTTCTGTGAAACCTTAATTCCTGTAACAGCAGTAGTAGTTTTCTGTAACAAAATGAGCCACTAGTATTAAAACGCGATCTCAAACCACTTAAAGAGTTTTAAATCCATTTCCTAGCAAGAATTTAGAGCCTTGTTGATACGCATTATATTTAGGTTTATAACACCAGAAGATAAATTGTTTCGGTTTTGAAGGTATTTTAACTAATCGATATTTTTCCAAATTTCGAATCTGTTACCGCTACAGAGTAGGATACAGCAGATTCAGATACATTAATAGAAGATGTTTTCCATTAAATTCTTTTTATTCATTTACCTTCGACTGATTATTATATTTAATTTTTTTCAGATATTGAATTACTTCGACATCTTTTTTTCACCGCCGAAATCACACTCAAGGTAAGCAAGCAAATTCTCATTTCTTTTCCAAATAAATAGTATTCCCTCCTTGATGACGAATTCATTTTTTTATTTATTTTGGATTTGTTTATCCACTTAATAGCTGTCTTATAATTTCAGGCAATCACGTACGGTCTCATCCACAAAGGCTCATTCTGCCGAAGTGCTTTTAATATATTAGATATTCTCGTGGTGTCCGTGTCTTTAATTTCCTTCGGTTTTGAGTAAGTAATACGTTATTTATTTTTCAAGTGCTTTTGAAGCATAGTCAGTGGTCTCTTTCCACATTGTGTGTTGGCGTTTTTATAACATTTTGTGTTACCTTTATTTATTAAATATCATGTTCTTCGCACTTAAACCATAAAATTCAGTTCAAGAGCAATATTGCAAAATAATTTTAAAATGAGCATATCTTTACAATTTCCAATACACAGTCTCGCGCGCTTTAGATAAAAATGTTTTTTTCTGAGCAACGTTGCCATTGCTCTCTTTGAAATCTTTGAGTTTGCTAATCAAAAATTCGTTAAAGTTTTACAAAAAATATGAAATCGATAACAAGACAAATTCCAAATTTGGGCTTCCAGATGCCCATATTCGCAGAAGGATTACGTCATTCAAAATTGGATAGCTCTAGGTCCCGTTGTTTGATCACAATACGAGAAACATACATACATTTATGCAGATTCTTCATTATTTAATTTCTTCAAATATAATACAGGGCGATAATATTTGGTGGCAACAGCTTGAAAAGTGAAACGGACATTCAGAGTAATTCGACGCAAAATCGCAAAACGGAAACAATAGTCTCTCAGCGAAAAAGCCCCTTTGGACTAAAAATCCGATGATGCAGATAAAAAAAAAATTATTATAGGTATTTAGTGCTATATTTGTTTTCCGGTTAGTTTGATGTTCCGCTGAAATTTAATGTCGTAATAAACCTTTAATGCTTGAACACAAATACAGAAGATTTTTTTATATAAAATACTTTATATTCATTTTATATATTATATTATATAAATATAAAAATATTATAATAAATATATATAAATATATAATATACATAAATAATATAATATAACAAATATAAATATAAAAATATAATATGACTAATATATAATATTATATTTATATTATATAAATATAATATTATGTACAGCAATCAAAACACGCTGTCATATCCGAGGTTCATTCCCCAGGATGCGATGTTTAATGTTTTATCTAACACTGCAGTCTTCTCACAAATTAACTTTTAAGGTTGTTTAATGGCAGGTAAGATATGAATGAAAATCTGAGTATTTAAAATAGGACCATACAGGTCTTAGAACGTGCAATGTATGTAATGCATGCATATAAATTAAAAATTTTGAAAGAGAAATTATTTTATCTAAATTTCGTAGCAAAATCCTTATTAATTATTTTAAATATACAGCTTTGCTCTGATTCATGGATTTTATATAGAATCAGGAATTTAAAACATTTGCCGTGACGTAGAATGTTCACTATCTCTATACCAAATAAGCTTTTAAGGCTCTTAACATCATCTCGGGTGGGAGTGAAAAACTGAGCTTCTAAAATTCTAGCATAATATTAATCAAATTATAGGTTATCGTCTGAAAATTGTCAGTATTTTGGGGGCAAGTCACATTTTCCTCATATTTATTTTTTGTGTACCATTTTTTTATTTTATACTTTTGCTTTTTACACCCGAAGTTTATTAATGAGAAGCATAAAAGCTTTTTTAATTAAGTCTTAAGAAAATGAATGATGAATTTCTTCGTTCTGTATAAATGTTTAATTTTTAAAAGCAGACACTGTATTTTAGATATCATTAAAAGGTTGTTTTTGGTAGTGACTTAGCTTTTAAATGAGCAAAAACAAAATTAACATGTAGTATGTATATGTAATTTTATTGAAATACTGCGAATAATTCTCTACAGTGATCCATTTTCTTTCTCTTTTTAGTAATGGTGCAATTTCAGTAGTAAAAATTCTTCGTGTTTTAAGAGTGTTACGTCCTCTACGAGCTATCAATCGTGCCAAAGGTCTAAAAGTAAGCTCTCGGTACTTTACTGTTTTACTTTCAAACGATTTCAGTTATTATATTGATTAAATATTTTGCATATTATGTTAATTGCCTCTAAACATTTAGATTTTGTTAGATTTGTATTTCTAATAAAGAAATATGGTAGTATTTTCGAGACAACTATGCAGTTGTGCCCGTCTGAAATAAACAAGTTCTTATCAATCAAAATCTTTCATTAGTTTTTCATTACCATAAAAACAAAAGAATAAAATATTTATTACTAACAAAGGAGGTTACTCAACACTTCATTTTTTACACTGACTGTTATGCATTCACGAAACACCTGTAGATACGGGTACTGAAAATAGTCGGCATTCGTGTAGTATGCTGTGGATATTAATATCTATTCTAATGGGCATCCATGTAGTGACAAGTGGGCATTAATTGGGTGTTTGTATTAATGATTTGTATTGTTTACAACGCGTCTTCCCCTATCAAAAATTTCAGGGATATACACGCGAATAATACACGCGGAATTTATCTTCCCGGAGAAGGCAGGAATGCTTGTAAGCGTACAATGTCTGTTCGGTATTGGATATTTAAAATACTGGCGAGCTGAAAGCCATTTTGAGTGTTTGGTGGTAGGAAAAGAGAAGTTCGAGATCCTTGAATCCGTCCCTCGGGGTGTACTCCGTCAATATCGGGACATTACTGTACAGTTGGCGCTGCGAGATTATACCTCTGAGACCATTTGGTGAAGCTCTGGGATTAAGTTCATTTCAACCTGTAATCTGCCTCGAAGAGTTGTTTCTTGTATCACCGCAACTAATTTGAGTTTTTCACTAGGGACAGCTATATAAAGGTTTCGGGTTTTTTTATTGGTATTCTTTGTAATTTTGAGAATGGAATAAATCACGAAGAGCTGAGTCAAAGCTTTACGGTAGATGAGAACGAATTGTGCTAATTTTTTGAGCTGAAGCTTCCTTTGTACGGAAGGGCATACTACTTCCATTTTGCGGTCAAGAAATTATGTATTTGCAATTTAAGGACGACTGCGCAGTACTCTTTTTTTTTTTTTTTTCAAATGCTCAAATTCCATCTAGATACCTGAAAATGATTCATTCTTTTTAGTTCTTAAAGTTTCTAGAATCTTTAAGATTACTAGGATCAAGAATCCCAAGAAATTGACCGTATTTTCTATGGAAATTGAAACCTAGACGTAATATGTTCTTATATTACAAGATCTCGTAAGAGAAATGTTTTATTTTCCTTACATCTTAAGCATGCTTTTAAGTTTCTTTGCACTGAAGTTATTCAAAAAATGTTTTAATCAAGAAATTATATTTACTTTGCCTTACATATTCACAAAACTGGTTCAATTTTAGTTAATGATTTTTGTAACCAAACTCTCGGTAGACTGGCAGCGAACTATCGCTAAGCCTAAATAATAACTGAGCCTTGGGAAGGGTTGTAAAATACCTTTTATTTAAAACTTACGAAGAAGAAAAGACATACCTGGTGCTTACAAGCTCAACCAACACTTATGGCGAGATAACTTAAAACAAAAACAAGTTTAAATGCAAAATTGAAATTTAAATAAGCTAGTAGCCAAACGATATTTATAGCAAGTATGGCATTGTTTTATTTATGAGTATGCGCAACAGTAATGCGCTACTGCATTCTCAGGATTAATTTAGATTGTACATAGCGTATTTAATCGTAGTTATCAGTAATAATGAATATTTTAATTGTGTAACATAATCGCTGTATCTTCTGCAAAATATATTCATTATTTTTTGTTTTATTATTTGTTACTTTTTCCTTTTTACTTCCTTGTACGAAGTAAAAAGGAAGTACTGTAATCGCGAAAAGCTTCAGGCAGCATATTTCAACAAAAATATCCACTTTGACCGCTTTCGAATGCAATTTAACGATGTTTTGCGTGATATCTGTACGTAAGGACAGAATAAGACTCGTTTCCTCCAAAAAAACTAAAAAACTGCTTTAAAATGAATTCTGAAGAGAATTTTTCGTGACGTCTGTACGAACGTATGTACGTACGTATCTCGCATAACTCAAAAACGAGTAGCCTCAGAACGTTGAAATTTTGTATATAGGACTACTATAACATGTCGAAGTGCACCTCGTATTTTGGTTTCAATCGGCCGCGCCAAATGTATATAAATATATTTACAAATATATCCACTCTGTTACCCGGCTCAGTGATCTCAGTTTCTTTACTCTTATATGTTTGTAAATTGTACATTTTTTCCTTAAAAATGATTGAATTATATTGTTTTTATCTTCCGGTTAAGGATTTTATGGCTTTAGTAAATCTGTGTGCAATATTTTTAGAATTATCAGCAATTTTAAAGTTGTTTAATTGCCGCTAAGCCTGTTTTTAATGGCGGCCATTGATGTTTACATTTGAAACAGGAGACTAGCCGATTTGTTGCCAATCTAGAGAAACTTAGCGTCGCAACAACAAAGCTAACGCATTCATTTATTATTGCCAATTAAATCATGCTTAATTCTTTCTGGAATTTTTTCGAGGAAATAGGCGTTTGAAATTTACTTTGTAACTTTTAATATAGATATTTTGAGATTTTATGTATTTTTGCCTTCTCGCGAAGTTAGAACTGAATTAATTAAATGAGAAATACTCAATCGTCTGTGAAAAACTGTTTCTTTTTTGTTTTATTTGCTTAATTTCTTTTATACATCTTTCTAGCTTTATTATAGTACTTGAATAGAACATGTGGCAACGATTAGATAATTCTTTAAATGATACAAATTTTGTTCATTCTGAGTTATAATATGAACGAAATATAATACTGTTAAGTGAACCTAGCGCCAGAGTGTCGCTATGGTAAACAAATAGAGTGAATTTTAAAGAATGCACTTATTCTATTGTGGTTTATGCGCTGTCGGCGAAGTAGGTATAATTAAATCTAATAAGGTTAAACAAAATGCAAGAAAAAATGCGTATAATTTAATATTCCGTACAAGGAAGTCATGTGGTGTACACATCAGTTTTTTTTTTTTTTTTTTTTTTGTCCCAATGAAATTTTGCTTTGGTATGACATTGAATTCCACACTGTTTAAACAAAGACGGATGCCAGCTTGGCAGACTGCCTTTGTACTCATACTTTAAAATTAATTCATTTAAAAATTTTAAATGCATTAATTTCAAGGATTTTGAAATGTTCGTAAAGATATGAAGAGCATAAAGTAAGGGTATTCGTAAAACATACGTTTTAAAAATTTGATTTTAATGGGATGATTAACCTTTCGGAAAAACATCATGAGAAAAATGCATTACCAGTTTCTAAAACTCTATTAAAAATTGTATGTTCTTATTGGAAACACTTATTTTTTGTCTTTATAAGCTGATTTTATTATCTGAAGTTTATTTCCGATTTCATCTTAAGATTTTTTTAATTTCAGCATGTCGTCCAGTGTGTCATCGTAGCTGTCAAAACCATAGGAAATATTATGTTAGTCACATTTCTTCTCAATTTCATGTTTGGAGTCATTGGTGTTCAACTTTTTAAGGTGAAGTTTCTTACAATTCAAGTTACTTTCCATTGTTTTTGAAACACATCCTTGGATCACATTTAAATTTCTCTGTGTCCGTTTTATTTTTATTTTAATTTTCACAGGCTATTTTGTAAATGATTTTGTTGTTGAGTTAATTGCTAACCTTTTGCCAAGATTAAAAGTCATTTTGTTGAAGATTAAATGAAAACATTTTAAATTAAATTAATGTGATAAATTAAAACTTCTTTGAAATTACTGGTATAAATAAACGGTACTATCGTATTTTGGCGGCGACCAGTTTCGACAAAACAAAAATTGTCACAAAAGAATGCAATTTAGCGTCAATAATGAATAGTGTGACGTCACAATTTAGAAGAGTACCGTTTTGATTTTATATAACTCTGATCCTGAGTAAGCCAGGTTAGTAGACGGAAGTAAGTTTTTTTCATGTCTTCGAAATCATTTTTAAAAAATGATTAAATTGGACTACTTTCTGCACAAGAGCAAAACTTTCAAAGTTTCTTGAAAAGTTGTATTCACGCGCCTATTCAAAGCATTCAAAGACTATGGAATTTCAAAATGGCACAATGAAGATCAACGTGAAACAGCGCAATATCACTTAGATTCATACATAAGTTAATCTATTTGGTGCCGACTTCATAAAGAAGGCAACAATTTTCTTGCTATATATAAACTTCATTAAGGATTTTCGGCATCAAAATGATTGGCATTAGTTTGAATGAATTTGTCAGATAATCTCAAATCATAAGATCATATTAATTAAAGTGTTTTTTATATGCTGTGTTCGTACATCTCTGGATTATATATTTAAACAAACAGTCGTCTGTGATCGTTTATCTACATAAAGAGCGATCTATTTTCTCTAACCGCAGCCGAAAAGTTTGATGCAAGTATCGCGGGATTTGCACCAACTTTTCAAAATAATAAGTAACTAAAATGAAGTAATGCTGCTATATGTTAGAGTTCATAAATTTGTGTTCTAGAAGAATTAATTGCTGCCATGCTTATAGTAAAGTATCCATATTAAATTTCGAATTGTACTGGAATTTTAAATACCTGAACCAAAACTAATCTAGGTGTTTAAAGAATGAATTGAGTTATCTTTTTTTCCTGTACACCAAATATATGAGTTAAAAGTTAAGAGAATTTTTATATTTGGTGACTTTTAACCCTTAGCGCTCCGCACATTTTTTTACCACTGTCTGCCAGCAACTCCAGCACATTTTCGCATCGGAACGAATGAAACAGAGTCTTATTTTAAGTGAGAAGAATTACATGTGCTTGTGAATGTTTTTAATTTTATTTATTCTATGCATACATATGCACTTTCTTCTTGCAAATGAAAGATAAGTTTTAAATTTTGTAATTCACCATGGTGTGATATCTTTGGAAACAATCTCCCATGTGCATCCTGGGTTTACTTAAGCAGTCACATCAAAGTCTTCCTGCGAATCTTCATCTTCACTTTCAATAATTCTCATCCGTCGTTTCTTTGGTAGTATGATTTCGTAACTAGTACTTAAAGAGTCAGAATTAAAATCAACATTGTCTTTTAACTGTCAATATCTTTTAACATTTGAAAATCAAACACGTCTTCACAACCACTCAACTCTAAATTCTCATCATAATAATTACTTTCTCCATATTGCTAACCATAATAAAGGTTAAAAAATGGTTTAATCATAACAGTACAGAGACTTAGCACGTTTTAACTACAGATAACAATTACCAAAAGCAATGATACCGCGGAATCTTAAGTGTAATCATGCTAAAAACATTTGGCTCCGCAGCAGAGCCTGCGGAGCTGCGGAACAAATGCCGGAAGATCCCGTTGCAGAGCCAATGGAGCTAAGAACATTTGGCTCTATAGTGGAGCTTACAGAGCTGTGGAACAAATGCCAGATGGCCCCGCAGCAGAGCCAACGGAGCGCTAAGGGTTAATAACATCTGATATGACATAGGTTAATATAATACAAAAATGTATGGACTCATGGTACACGTACATGTAGAACACTCATGGTACACGTACATGATCGTGCGCAAAGCACATCCTCATCGGCGAAGGAAGCGTAAAATATAGGTTCCAAAATTTTACAAAAAGGAGGCTAGTAAGAGGTGTGTGGTCCCCATCACAGTCATATATTGCTGACCCAGTGCGACATCAATCCCACTTCTACAGCAACACGGTTTTCAGCTGCTGGAAGTTTTGGGAAGAAAAAGATGAGTTGCAGTTGGTCTCCCAAGAGCGCTCCACACATATTTATATAGGGCTTAGATCTGAAACTCTAGCTGGCATATACATCTGGTTAATATCCTAACTTTTCACCAGATAAGCTTTATGCGTCTTTCAGCCTTCCTATGCTCCACCATAATCCGAATAATCCAGTCCAAACAGGAAGATCAGCGAAGATGAATCTGTTCTTTTCAGAAAAACAAAGGATCTAATTTTAAGTTATATAAGTGATTTTTCAATTACAAAATTTTCATTTAAACAGTATTCTTATTCATTATGCTGAAATTAAATGAGAAATGCTTTTCCGCAAAAATGTCATCTTTGTTTATTTCTCTCAAAATAGAGGTAGAAACGTTTCAAGGTAGAAAATCCTATCCGCTCTTAATATATTTTATTAGAGTATCGTATTTTATGTATAACATACTAAACAATATCGTGACTACTCGCTTTTTAAACCTGAAAAATTGCTAGTTCTATAGACCTAGACTAGTCGATTGTATAACCGATTGTTCTGCTCAAAAGAAATCAACAATTAAGAAGAAAGTTATTCTCTGAAGGGTAATAAATCACCATTACAATCTATCTCATTAAATCGGAAACTAATCCAGGAGCTAATCGCAGATGATATTTTCTGATCAATTTACGGGACAATAAATAGCATTATTAAAATATTAATTAATTCTAAAGGTATATTTTTCCTACAATGGTTATAAATATGAGTTTAAAAATAATTGTAATAAAAATCAGTACGGAGCATCACCATTTCAGAATAGGGTGAGTGAGTGAGTAAGAATTTATTGGCGCAAAACCAAAGATGATTAAAATGCGCCAAACACAGGATGGAATGATTACAAATGATGAAATTAAAATATAATAAATAAAAACCAGTGGACCATTTCAGAATAGATTCAATTAACTTAATACTTAAGCTTAAGCTCTTGTTTTACCTTTTAAGGCCGCAGATGGTTAATCGTCCTTGTTTTCAATTGAACAAAACAATCATATCAAACTAATAATTTACTCACTGTGAACTTGTGCAAAAATTTAATCGGTTAAAACTAAAAATGTAACAATTAAATCACTGCTATTTGTAAGGAGGAATCCAATCAGTTTTAATATATACAAATCAACTAATAAACTAAATCCGTAGTAACCCGCCTAGTAATTAATTTTGACCTCTAAACATAAATGCAACTAACATGTATGAACACTATGAAACCAGCACCGTAAACTAGACTGATTAATTACTAGAAATCACAGCTTCTTAACATTGAGACTCTTATCTTCTTGATGTACACTTTCGCTCGCTGTTTAAAACCCATCTATCTTACATTCTTGATAGAAGTAATGGAAGAAATAGGAATACAGGGGAAATTTAATATAAAAAATAACATTCTTATTAAGATGAGCCTGTCGGACCTGCCCTTCCTCGGGAGCATACAATTAGACCAGACCTCTAAAAGACAACTAATGACTTTCACCGTCTTATAAATACCACAGAGACAGAGAAAAGTTGCAAAGAACTCTTTTACTTTATTATTAATTATTAAGAATTTTCCTTGTTAATCTATAAAGTTTAACAGACGGCTTCAGGTCGTGCTTTTAGAAGTCAACACTTCTGGTTTAAAACCAAAGCTAATGGATGAACCTAAAATTAATGAAGTGTAGCCTAAGGGCTTCACAGTTTAATTAGCACGAAGCTGGCTCTTAGCGCAAAGTCGGCGAAGTACTTAGCACGAAGTCACTTAATTAGCACGAAGCTCTTAGCACGAAGTCACTTAATTAGCACGAAGCTCTTAGCACGAAGTCACTTAATTAGCACGAAGCTCTTAGCACGAAGTCACTTAATTAGCACGAAGTCGGCGTAAACAAACCTAATGGCAAGAGTAACTCAACGCCGAAAAATTCTAAGCGCTAGAGGATCAAAGTTAGCCACGCCACGTGGCCTTCAGGCAGGCAAAACATGCTCTGATTTCGCCCTCCAAAACCTTCCTTTAAGTACTTCCTTCTTTCTACCTAATTTGAATATCGCGCGCGCTGGAAGTTTACATTCTGGCAGGGAAAGGGAACGAGGCTTGGTAGAAAAATGATTTAACTTAAAATAACGGGTTAGAAAATTAAAATGAACCTTACAAACCTAATAAATTAATAGCTCAGTTTTAATGCTTAAAGGCATTGTTATCATCATCATCATTATTATTATTATTCGAAGCCAAAGATGAACGCAAATGACAAAATTCTATGGATTTTTTCCCATACAATTCAAATCTGCATTAGTTTTCTGCTTCCATGACCACTGCTTAAAATTTCTGCACTTACATATTAGATGTAAGTAGATGTAAAGAAAGAATATAATTGTATTTCTGGAAGGGAGGGAAAATGCAACTGTCCTTCCTTACAGCTTTAATCAAATTCTAGTAACACATGAAAGTTTAATACTTTGAATTTTATGAATTATTTTCATGTAATATTGAAGAATTAAGATTTAAAACTCATGAATTAAAAATGTTCTTTTCCATTAATAATGTTGTTAATAATTTTTTCTTTATTCTATAGGGCAAATTCTTTTTTTGCAACGATGGTTCAAAATTGTTCGAGAAGGACTGCCAGTAAGAAAATGATTTAAATTTTGTATAATGCATGAATGCTTTTCATGATTTTCAATTTGAAGGAAATGTAAATTAATATACTACGAAGTGGAAAAGAAGAAGAATTATTATTTAAAAGAAATTATAATATGGCTACTGACGCGCATTTGATTAGATTTTTAAAATGTTCAGTCAGTCAGTTGCTTGAATCATGATGTTACAACAGCAAATATCGGAAGAAAATAAAAAGAATGGGTTACTTTTTCATGTTTTCATATTATAGAGACTAACTAGGGTTTTTTTTAATTACATTTGTAACGTAATCATTTGTAACGTAAATAATAATTTGTAACGGATGAATCTTGTAATAATTTGTAACGTAATCATTTGTAACGTAGATAATAATTTGTAACGGATGAATCTTGTAATAATTTGTAACGTAATCATTTGTAACGTAAATAATAATTTGTAACGTAATAATTTGTAACGTTTTAATTCTTTACTATTTCATATCTTATATGGTTTTATTAAATTATAATTCAAATAACACCATTCTTTTGCATGTTGTAATATTTCCTGCCTTAATTTAGCGTGTAAAGTTTAGCTCTGTTGGTTATCGTCCAATGTTAAACCTTATGTAGACGTTAATCGACTTATCTCTAAGTCCAAAAATACCACAGACATTTAAGAAGGGTTTAAAAGATCCTTTGTTTAAAACTAAATGTGTTGAACAGGAGACACTCCAAGTGCTTACAACTCCGCCAGCATTTATGGCGAGAAACTCAAAGTAATAAATCAAATAGCTTAAATTTAAATAAACTAAGAGCCAAAAGCTACATAGAGCAGTTTAACGTGAAGTTGGCTCAGAAGTTCACTGGCGTAAATTTCAACTATCGACAATTATAATTGGAGGCCGAAGACAGAAACTCTTATCTAGAATAACAAACTTGGTGACGTGGGCACGCTTAAAAAAACACGCTCTTTCTTAACAATCCCAAACCCTCTCTTAAATACACGAAAACTAATTTGCATTCTGGCGCGAAAATAGAAAGACGAAGTGAGAGTATAAATTCAAAACAGAAAACAGCTGGGTACTGAAAAGAATCTCACTAGATGATTTAAAATTATAGAGCGAAAATGAGACATAAGTGGAAAGATCAAAATTATACGTGATTTATGTTGTATTTATCTTAGGATCTCTTTTTTAATTATTAAATCTTTTTAACTCAAACTGCTGTTCTGAAATAAAAAAGAAGAGTTTTTACAAGAAGGAAAAACTGATACTTTTAAACTGTATATACCATATAATAATCTAAAAAAGCTTTTTATTCATATGCTGGTGAGAGTAACATTTGAGATACAAATATATTGCTCTCGAGAAAATTTATAGTAGTATACATCTTTTATTCATTCTAACAACGAGTAAAGACATAGAATGGAATTCTTTAAATAGCTTCCAAATATCCATTTTCTTTCGAAATTATACCAGAATATTTTATCAAAGTCTTAAGGAAAGACGACTTAAAATAAATATTTCATTTAATATTAGCCACATTTTGTATGAATATTATAACTGAATTAATATTTTATGTAAAATGCAAAATTTTGAAATTGTATAAAACGCAAGCAACTGAATCCTCGAATAATTATATTTCAGAGGAGAATATATCATCTATCAAGGTGGAGATATCACAAGACCAGTTGCGGAACTAAGAAAGTGGGACAAATATCCTTTTAATTTTGATGATGTGGCTAAAGCCATGCTCACACTGTTTACAGTATCAACGTTTGAAGGATGGCCACAGTAAGTACAATAAGTTGATTTTCTTCCATCAATAAAACTGGTGGTGATTTACTTAAAATTAGCCCCCTCCCATTTTGGGGTGGAGTTATAGTCAGGTATTAATTTCTAGAAGCATAAAATAATAAGTTTTTCTTCATTGTAGATTCTTACATATTTCTTTTAAGTGTAATGTTCTTACGTATTTAACGCCTTTACTTAATTGAAATAACGACAAAAAGAGATGTTCAAACTTTTTGCATAATTATCTGTAAGATACTGGGACTGAACTGTTCGACAAGGTTATATTCCTTTTAAATGCTAAATAAATGAAATAAACAGCACAGTAGAGTCATCCGACGTTCGCAGACATTTATCATCGCTCTGCCAACGACTGGATTCCTTTGAGTAGTTTAGCGCTGTAACGATCCGACTTATATGATATGATATGAGGGACGCAGCCCGACTCTCCTGCCAGACTTTACGTCGCCTTATGGCCTTTTTGCGATCCGACATTATAATTTTGCTGCAACAGAAGAAAATGCCATGAATCATGCCAACGGCCAACGACTAAGTGCTATTTAAATCACCAATCCATTTTATGGGCGTAGAGCTTGTTTAGATGATGCTTTGGTCTTTGTTCGCGATCCGCATATTTGTTGATTTCTTATAATCGCCGTTCTGTGTCCATTTTTTATCATGTTAAAGTCCGATAAAAATTATTTCCCATTTATGCGCAAGGAGACCAGAGCTTGCAACTCATACTGCCATGCACTCTTGGGCATGGCTTTCCTACTTTACGAATGGCATGAAGGAATCGGTCAGTAGTAATGTTTTAAAATAACTTGAGTTGTATCAAGCTTGTGAATCAACCCTAAATTTCAAAGATCATATTCAATATGTTACAAATAAGGCTAACGCTGCTTTCATTGCTCTCTACTCATTAATTGGAAGAAACTCTAAGTTAAACCTCCGTACCAAGAAAAATATCTACATCTCACTTATTCGCCCAATAATCCTCTATGCAGTTCCAGCCTGGGCTACTGCCCGAAAAATACACAGACAAAAATTAAATATTCTTCAAAACAAAATCTTACGTAGCATAGTGAACGCACCCTGGTTCGTGCGAAATTCTCAAATTCACAAAGACCTGGATATCAACCCAATTCACGACCAAATCCTAATTTCTGCACACAACTTCTTTGAAGATATGAGAAATTCTCCCTATGAAGCTATTAAATCGCTTACAGACTATGACCTATTGAGAACGTAGTGAAAAAGACCTCGAACGGTCCACCACAATTCTTAAGTGGTGGTAGTGTATATAATGTTAAAAAAAATTTTACTATTCCTTTGCAGTTACTATTCAAGAAAGATGAACTTTGCAAAATTAGGACTTTATTTTTCATCGATGAATTCTTCGTTTTACTACTTATTTAACCAAGATTTTTGCTTTTACTTTTTATTTTTACTATTTTGTATCGTGTGTTTTAAAATCAAAGTTCGTGGTAACACCAAGTCCTTACTCTCACTCATTAGCCCTAGTGAGCTACATGACCTCATTTTCGCCTTTTACAGTTTCCTATTCATTTAATGATTATATCGCAAGTTTAGAAGATTTTCAAGTGTTTCAAAAGACATAGGACTCTTAAATTCACAAATAGATGTTGCTTTTACTATGTTCGAACTTTATTTATTGCAGAAACTACAAAAAACTTCATTTTTTCGAACTCTGACTCCTCGACCAATCTAAATGCCGGACGCTGATCACGTGTTTCAGCTCTTCTAGACTTCTTGACTCACGTAGAAGCTTAGACTTTCATTTCGCCTCTCTCGCCACCATTTACGTATAATATCACCCATGCTATGCCATAATATGCAATTTAGCAAAACTTATTTTGTGAGTATCCTCATTTATTGATCTCGCCTTCGGGCGCGGTGTATTTTTAAATACACCTCTTAAATTTTTACCTTTATGGCCTATGGTAAAATGATAATATACTGGTAAGAGCTGCTAGTAGCTAAAGCCAGCAGTAAAGATATGATCCAAGGTATTGATTGGGACAGCTCATTTTCAAGTGTTAAACACTAGCAAGAAATTTCATACATCACCGACATATGGTGCGTTCATTGATTATACCTGTGCACATAAAATATTAATGTTTGGTGCCACGAGTGAGGCGAAATATTCTAATTTAAACTCATATAGTGCAAGAACTCACATTTGTGAATTCTGCATGCATAATTTTCTTGAGGTCTTGTTTAACAGCACAACGTAACGTCTGCTGATGGTCTTGTACCTAAGCTGATTGGTGGTGTAAGCTGGCATTACAGACATTACAAACACGAAAATAGATTAACGTTTATTGCCTGGCACCTGTGTTTCCTCTCTACCTTGCAGTGAGAAATTTCAGCAATTTTCTCTGACCTTGAATGATTATTAGTCTTACTGAAAGTTTATAAATCAATATACTACTACTTCTTTTCTTACTTTCTTTCTGGCTACTTCTTTTTCAAAAAGTGTACTTGGGGATGATAACTGCAAAACATTTTTTTTTCCTTTGCAGACTGCTCTATGTCGCCATTGACTCCCGCGAAGAGAATGAGGGGCCTTACTACAACTACAGACCCATGGTTGCCGTCTTCTTCATTATATATATCATCATCATCGCATTCTTCATGGTCAACATCTTCGTCGGTTTTGTCATCGTCACCTTTCAGAATGAGGGAGAACAGGAGTACAAAAATTGCGAGTTAGACAAAAATCAGGTACATGTGCACCGTAAAATATTTACAGCTAAATATTTCTTACTAAAAATCTGTTTTTTTATAACGAAACTTATAATTTTTATATTTTGACTGGATTTATAGTCATCCAATTTTATGTTTTCTTAATTAGAAACTCTATATAATAAACTACACTGGTGTGCAAAAATTAAGGACGAAGTCGAAAAATTAGCATATCAGCTGAACGAAGAGGCAGAGCGGACAGAAAGACCAATCAGGAGATTAAGTAAGGTGATGTACGGTAGCACATGCGCAGATATGCAGGTAGACGTAATGGGGGAGTGTCTGAGTAGTATAAAACATGTTGTCGGTGTAAGATCAGTATTTCTGGCAAAGAGATTGCAGGCCGCATAGCAGTTAAAATTACACCGAGTTGCTAGAAATGGCGAATAATCAATCTGTTAGACGACATCTGGATGCTTTTACCCGAGGTCGAATCATTGGGAAGTTGGAGGAAGGCCGCAGTGTGACAAATGTGGCTACAGAGTTCGAAATTGCTCACAGCATCGTTTCACGAATTTGGAGACAATTTCAAACTACAGGAACAGCTATCCGGGGGTTTAGTAGTGGTTGTCCACGAGGAACCACACCCGCAGATGACCGGTATATTGCCTTACAGGCCAGAAGAAACAGGCGGCAGAGAGCGGGAGAAATCGCTGGACACACGACACAGGCGACTGGACGACCGATATCGCGTTTTACCGTGGCCAGAAGACTGCACGGTGGTGGTCTGTTTGCACGACGCCCTGTACGGTGTGTACCTCTGACGCCCTGTACGGTGTGTACCTCTGACGCCCTGTACGGTGTGTACCTCTAACGCCTGCCCATCGGAGAAGCGTTCTCTGTGGTGCCGGGAACACCGGAATTGGAGAGACAATGAATGGGGACGAGTACTCTTTACAGATGAGAGCAGTCTTACTGAAGTTTGATTACATGTATTTGTATGTATTCATGTATCAGTCTGAGTAGCGATTCTCATCGCATACTCATCTGGAGAGAGCGGGGAAGCCGCAATCATCCCTCGAACATCATTGAAAGGGACAGGTATGGAGGTGGCGGTGTTCTCGTTTGGGGAGGCATCATGCTTGGTAGTCGTACAGACCATCACATCTTCGACGCAGGTTCAGTCAACGGGACCCGTTATTGTAACGAGATTCTTCTTCCATATGTGCGTCTTTTTAGAGGCGCTATGGGTCCGCATTCCTTTTCATGGACGACAATGCACCATGTCATCGCACAGTAGCTGCCGAACAGCTCTTAGAGAGGGAGGATATTGAACGTATGGATTGGCCGGCACGATCTCCGGATCTCAATCCCATCGAGCATGTATGGGATTTTCTAGGCAGACGCTTGGCAGCTCGTACCTTACCACCAGTAACGATTCCGGACCTTCGATTGGCGCTGCAAGACGAATGGGCAGCAATGCCTCAACTATTCATTGAGACCCTCATTCTCAGCATGGGCAGACGCTGTGAAACCTGCCTATCAGTCAGGGGAGATCATATCCCCTATTAAAGACCGGACATTTCTTGCTGGACACCCATCACAGAGATGTTTCGCCCTTCAGTCGCATTGCGCTCCATGCTACTTTTTCAATAAAGATTCTTTTTATCCCTCTGATTTCTCTTTTAGTAAGTGTTGCTTACATTACTCATGTCCTTACGTATTGGGGATCTTACGGTATCAAATGTGTTGATTTCGAAAGCTTTTGTACAAAGTTATATTGAAGAAACCGTCTCGTCCTTAATTTTTGCACACCAGTGTATATATTTCTATCACCAGTGTATATATGTCTATGTTTCATTTTTGCGTATTTTAAATTCAGCGAGTTTATAATTAAACAATTACGAAACTCTATTTGAAGGGAAAATTCTCCTCTCCACTTTTCTTTTGTCTATAATCCAAATAATACCATTTTCACCAGTCTGATGTTATGGGACGTAGCGACAAATGGGAGTACTAATCTATAATTCTGCAATATAATACCGCTGTCATATTGAGTCGGATTTGTGATCTGCGGGCTACTTTCTGTTCTCTGAAGGGAATTATCCTCTCAAAGGTCATTATTTTAATAATTTTGAAAAGATTTAAAAATCCGTAACCAGATTCATAAATAACATTGCATAAGATGAGTTGCGCGATGGAATTAAGCACGTGCGCGTGTCTAATAATGAAAGCTTCATTCAGACGGGGGCGTAAAGGGCATAAGTGGTTAAAGCCGAGCTCCGTTGCCAAGGCAACCAATCTGTACAACGTTACAAAATCTGGTTTAGGGCTCGTGGCATAGGGTTCAAAGTTTTCAACTTTACGCCGAGTTTGGGATAAGCGTCGACCAATCAGAGCGAAGCTAAAACGAAGCGGCGTTCTACAGAAGATTTCGCTGTCACAAAACAAGCGGAGCGAACGCGGGAAATCAATCGAGCAGGAGAACTGCGCGGGAAAGTTGTAAACACATCCACGCATGCGCAAATTTAATTCTCTCATTGGCCACGGCTTCCACCCCGTTCTCGAAAGTGTGAACGGAATTCCCGTATTTTATGCTCTTATGACTACGCCTCTATGCTCTTTACGCCGCCGTCTGAACACAGTCTTACTGAGATTGTATTTTGTTGTTTTGAAGTCAGAATGTTGTTTTCTCTAAATTTTGATTGTATTGACTAAGTCATAAACTTTGTAGACGCACTGTGTATACGCATAAATATATGCGATTAGTTAATTAAATATTATTCAGTTAAACAACATAATACGTTACGTCAAGGCATTTTTAGTAGTTAATGTTTTTTAGATTATGTAATGAGCCTTTTTCTCTTTGCAGAGGAATTGCATCGAATTCGCTCTAAAAGCAAAGCCCGTTCGACGATACATTCCCAAAGCAAGAATTCAGTATAAAATATGGTGGTTTGTGACGTCACAGTACTTTGAATACACAATATTTGTTTTCATCATGGTGAACACTCTGACGCTTGCTATGAAGGTGAGGTAGGAGTTATTAGGAATACTTTCAGTGAATTCAAACGTAATTCTTATATGTGCCTTTTTTTTGTCTTCCAGTTCTATGAACAACCAAAACTTTATACGGATGTTTTGGATGTGCTAAATATCGTGTTTACTACTATATTCGCCCTGGAGTTCGTACTGAAGCTGATGGCATTCAAGTTTAAGGTGCGTATGATACGCCACGAAACTGCATTTATTGAAATTTATTAATTATTTGAATTGTAATTGTGTATTTTTCTCTTCTCAGAACTATTTTGGAGATGCATGGAATGTGTTTGATTTCATCATTGTTCTTGGTAGTTTTATTGACATCATTTACGGTGAAGTTAATGTGAGTATAATATATAAATACCATTTTTCATTTTTTAATATTCATGTATTTGTATGTAAAATTTACATACTACATATGTAGGTAGTAGTGCTTGTCTTTCTGCTCAGTCCATGTATTTAAAATTGTAAACTTCTGTCTAAAAATTAATACGGTATATTTAAAATAATCACATATACTTAATACTTGCATAAACCATAAAAGTGCAAAAGTAAACATTAAAACACAGCTTCACTTCCACGCGACATCACTCAGTTTATAGCTGAACTGATTTATGATAAGAATTCAGCACTCTGAAACTCGCCACGGCGACGTTAAGCAACAGATATGTAGAAACCCTATATGCAAGTTACCGCTAACATTTCTTTTCTGCTTGTCACTGCTGCCAATGCCAAGCTCCCCAAAAGTCATGAAAATCATCTGGAATAAAAATTAAATAATTTTTAAATTTACATTTTAAAAATAAATTACGTGAACAGATATACTAGCAAATTCAAAGATTCTTTTACAAGTTCCGGATTCCATAGGTTTCATTTCCTGCTAAAAGATCATCATTGTTTTAGGGTAATAATACGTCTTCATTTCTCAGACGACGGAAAACAGTATTTATAAAACGTTGAAACCAGAGACATGCCCGGATATTTTTTCACCTTAAGCAATTGCCAGTCTTATCAACCAGCTTTTCTTTTCACATTATGTACGTATATTTTAAGCTAAATTTGCATACTTCTAAAAAATATTTTCATAAGTATTCTGCCGCTGATAATAGAGTCTGTCTTATGTTTATTTAATTCAAAGTCGAAATGCATATAAATGCTATCTGTTTAAGGAAAGGAAAGGAGGTTTTAGAGGAGAACTTTCTAGGGTAACTGAAAGAAAGTCGTCCACGAAGGCATCCCTTCCCTTAGGCAGATAGCCCTCGAATGCTTTATCGTAATCAAACAGTAAAATAGCCGAAAATATACAGCAAAATTGCTCCAAAACTCAAAAATAGAAACTCGAATTAGAAATATTCTCATTGATGTTTGTGTTTGTTTTTTACAGCCGAATTCTGGTATTATCAGCATCAATTTTTTTCGTCTTTTCCGTGTCATGCGACTTGTAAAGCTGTTGAGCAGAGGTGAAGGTATACGAACCTTGCTGTGGACATTCATCAAATCATTTCAAGTAAGAAAACCATTTATCCTCTTTACTGAAGAGCCAAAGCATTATGATCACCTACTCAATAACATTATATCACCTACTCAATAACGCGTTGCGCGACCTTTGGCCTGCAAAGCAGTTGCAACTCGCCTTGGCATGGATACCAGAAGTATATACTTGGTAGATGACTGGAGACAGGTTGTACCAAATCTCTAAGCGGTAAAGCAAAGTCGGGATATTCCTACATGGTAGCGTTTAAACTCTGAGCTGTCACTCCATGACATCCTAAATGTACTCTGTTGGGTTAAGAACCGGCGCGTTAGGTGGCCAAGACATTAATTAGATTTCATTCTTATTCTCTTCGAACCACGCCAACACATTTCGATCCTTTTGACATGGAACGTTATCCTGCTAGAAGATTCCATTTCCAGATGAGAAACACATGTAAGCGTGTAACTGATCCAGTTAGGTTCAGATAATCTGCAGCTTTCATTGTATGCTTGTTCTACCATAGCTGAGGATCCCTGAGCCGCCCATGAGAACATCCGCCAAAGCATAATACCGCCACCACCAGCCTGTGTATGATCTGCCGTACGGAGGGGGAACAACTGTTCGCCTGGAAGACAGCGTACTCTGATACGACCATCGACGTAATGAAGGAGAAATCGTGATTCATCCGACCAGGCAATTGTCTTCCACTTATCCATATTCCAGGCTCGATAGGCCCACTGTAGGCGTAGTTGACAATGACGTTGGGTCAACAGATGTACAACAGGGGGACATCTTCTGCATAGTCCCATATCCAACAGTGTGGTCTGAACTTGTGTGTTCCGAAACGTTTGCACTTGGACTACGGCAGAAGGTGAACAACCTACCAGTCTGGCAATTTCGGAGATACTCTTTCCGATTCCTCTGGCCATTACAAACTGCACTCTATCAAACTCGCTTAGATCAGCAGCCTTTCCCATCACTCACAAACGTAAGTGCAAGAATGTCTCCTTACATTCTCCCGCAGTAGTTAAACACCATTCCTACTTAAGCACGTGCCATCCACGTCATCCAGACGAGTTCATTGAAAAATGTGGGGATGGTCACAATGTTTTGGCTTCTCAGTTTATATTTTTGTTACACATCAAATAAGCCATATTTATCCATGTTTTTAATTTTTAAATTTATTCACATGTAAAAATTGGTTGTTAACACGTTTGCTGCCGAGCGACCTACGATATAACTCGTTGTTAGCAGCGAACATGTTAATGCTTAAAATAATCATCTGCACTGCGACCATCCAAAATGCAGTAACATGAAGAAAGCGTGCAACATGCTTAATAATCTAGAACCATGTACAAACCTCGATAGTATATAGAAAGGATTAGTATTAGAACGCATATGCAAATCATATGCATTAGTAACGCTACCTAAAAGTATTGAAAAAGGAAGGAAGTTTAGACCGTTTCAAGTACAAGTTGGGTGTTTTGGGGCTGTTATTTTGGGTAGAAAGCTTCAGTATGCGTAGCCGAAAAGAAATAAAAATCCTTCGCGCAAACTTGAAAGCAAAATAGGTTTTATAGAAACTTCGAATCATCCTCCCGTAAAATCGGTGCTCGTTTTGGGCGAAATGAAACCACAATGTTGCAAATATACATAGAATGGATGGGTGATAGAGCAACAAATCGACAGACGGAAACGCTTGCATCTATCTGGAGCACATAACGAGAAGACAGGTAACCTAGGTATATCAGTAACGAACTGCACAGCAACATCAAGAACTCCAGTATGTTGCACAGCAACTTATGTCAACGCACATCATTCTACGTTGTCTACAGAGGTGAAATCTTTTCAAGACGTCCATAGTTGTGATACTCGTTGTCTATGCAACCGATAAGCTGCAGCGATAGTGCGTTGAATGGTACACATAGACAAATAAAACCTACCACATTGCTTTAGCAACATATGAAAACTGAAAGAACTAACATATCCCGAGCGCGCATCCAAAGCTTTCTTTCAACGCCGAGGAGAGTTGTAGCAGTTTCTGCCAGCCAAGACAGCTACACAAAATATTGATTTCTTCTTGTTCCATAAGTCGAACGAGACTGTAATTTGAATAAATTCACTCTTAAGCTTCATATTATCCACTAAATTCGGCTTGATATCTCTTGTTCTTCTTAACATTGCATTTTGGATGGCTAGCAGTGTATTTTAATGCCTAACTCATTACAAATGTGAGCTCTTCAGATAACGTGAAATCTAAATTCCATGTATGGCTTGACAAATCATTTATATAATTATTTTTGGTGATTGTCCCTTATTCTTCATCTCTCTTCCAGGCTCTACCCTATGTTGCTCTTTTAATAGCTATGCTCTTCTTCATTTACGCAGTTATCGGTATGCAGGTCAGTAGTATTTCCGTTTTCTTATATTATGCACTTATATTTCCTTATTATATTCTGTATATAATATATAGCAGAACTAAACTATAATATTTTTAAGGCAATGAAGTTAATGTCATTTAATCCTTCCTTCGCTTTCTTTATATTTGGAAAAAACTAAATGACAGAAAAAGTGTTAATATCAGTTAAGTTCATGATTCTGTTGTTTATAATAAATTTAGTGTGAGAACTAATTTTTTATTTGTTGAATGAACTTCCCTTCTTTTAAAATTTAATACATTTCTTAAAAACATATCAGAAATTCATACTAATAAAGCACGTAATATTTTTATAGCTATCTGTCAGATCCTTATTAGACATCAGACTTTTATTTTAAGGCTACTTTGAAGATTTCTGCCTTGGTAAACCCTAGCGACTCCGCATCAATATGAATTTGTTTCCTTGCAGAGCCATGACTAGGTATTTTTTCCCTTGAGGCAAAAATGTAGATACACTCTCCATTGTAATCGAAGTAAATATCTCTACATATAATAAAAGAAAGAGTCTGTCTGTGTGTGTGTGTCTTTCGTTGGCACTGCGCGTAAGCTAATAGACCCACGGCTACGAAATTTGGTACATAGGTGCATCTAGACAAGAGCCAGTAACAACCTCGAAGCGATTTTCGAAATTCGAATTCGAATTTTTATTTTAGTTCTTGTGATGAAATCGCTGCTTTTAAACATAATGGCTATGAAATCGAGATTTTACTCTACGCATTCCATTTTCACATCGTCATGAACAAAGGCATTTAGATCTTTACGATTAAAAAATCGTGTTTCAATAAATCGTTGAAAACGAATTTATTTAACAGATGAGGAGCTTAACCCTCTCAAAGGGGTTTTTTCTAAAACATTTTTTTTTAAAAATGTACAGTTTATGTTTTTCTTTGACTTTTGGCCCCGTTAAACGTTCATCGTGCGACTGCTTTTATAAAAATTTTGGAAAAATGATGATAGTTTTTATTTTTTAAAAATTTTTTAAATGACGCTTCCAAGTACAATTCTCACAATCTTTAACAATGTGATTTGGCAACATTTCCTTTCTTATTGTTTATAGATTTTTGATGATTCGCATCATTTTGAATAGTTTCTTTTAGATATTGGTTTGGCAACATTTTTCCTCGATTTCTTATTCACTGTTTTTAAGAGATTTATAGAGATTTCGTTTATATATATATATATAATACATTTTATATTTAATAAATAGGTAACACACAAAACGTTAGAAAAACGCCCCTTTGGACGTAATTTAAAATCTGAAACCTTTCAGATTTAAAAAAGATTTTTTGGATGAAGTTGTTTTTTAGAGTAAAATTCTGCGCAGTTTTTAAATTTAACGTTTGATGTACCCTTCAGGCATTTTTCCTGTACATTTAAAAGCCAGACGAAGGCTGGCAGCCTAGCTGCTAGTATCTGTATAATTTTCTATTCAACAAAGGTCATTTTCTAAATCATGCTGTAACTCTTATATTTTAATATACCTTTATAGACTCATAGAAAAGTACATGTAAATTATTTATAAATATAAAAGTACCTTTCTGATAAACAGCAAATAACTTTCAAATAGTATAAATAGTAAATGATAAATATAAAAAGTACTCGATTAATATAAGCTCATTTTTAATTTAGTAGTTCTTGTTTTGAATGAAGTAAAATTGACAATAATTGTTTGCAAAATCGACATGATTATTTAATTCATGTTCTATAGAAAAAATAGTAATATTTGAATGTTTTCTTTTAATAGCCATGAGAAAATTTTGCACAACTTTATTATTATTTTTTTAAGTTTGTGTGGAGCTCGCTTTTAAAATAATAGTATCCCTTTGAATGTATCATTTTAAAATGGTGCTTCTCTATACGTATTGATATTGAAAGCTAAAAACCATAATTTAGTTTTTAATATAAAATATTTAATATAACATTTTGCAGCCAATTTGCGCCTCTTCTAAGCTTTTCCCTGAAGCAAATGCCTTATTTTCTTTCTACTGAGTTTTTAATTCGCTGAATGTTGCAAACATGACTTTCGATTGAAAGACAAAACAAGGAAGATGTCTTTCAGAGCATTCTTCTTTTAAATAGTTTACCTCAAAATAATTTTCCTGTTTTTATAGGTTTTTGGAAAAATTGCTTTGGACGACAAAACGGAGATTCATCGCAACAACAATTTCCAGACTTTTCCTCAAGCAGTTTTAGTGCTATTTAGGTAAGTTTCATTTATTTATGCATTCCTTCAGGGCAGAAGCGTCGTTTCTAATGCACAGGATGTTCTTTAACTCGTGTATTTTAGGAAATTTTATTGTCTATTCAATGATGCACTTATTTACAAAGCACGAATCTACATTATGTTGCCATGCCAGTAACACGCTGTCGATGATGGTAGGAGAATATGATATTTTCAAACCTTAAGTAGGCCTAGCAGATGTAATCTTGCAGGTTTTGTAAATTTTCTGTACATAGGAAAAGTAATTTGAATAATCGTCTAATAAATGTGGCAGATCTGAGCTGTTTATAAGGCAATTAAAACACCTTCATTTTTCTAGGCTTAGTTTTGAAATTGGCGTTTAATTTCTATGATGTGGGACTTGGGACATTCTTAAAATGTTCATATATGAAATATGTTCCAAAAAATGGGTAGCTAGATGTAGGCTGACATACCAGATAACCGCGGAGCAAAAACGTACACTGCATCGCATAAACCGGATGAGGGTTAAGCATAACGAAGGAAAATAGCAGAAAATATATGACAAACATGTTAAACTTACATCATTAACTTTGCCTGTATAAAACGATAGGCTCACTTATAATAGAGTTCAATGTATTTCGCTATATTTGTGCTAAGAATATTTCTCTGGTGGTCCTCTTGCATTTTGTCATAGAACTTCTTCCCTTGCATAATACAGTTTTGCATCACAGTTTAATCTAACTTTCATCGTCCTAATTTTTAACTCGAATTTCTCTATTACCCATACATTTTTCATAATATAAAATATTCTTTCAGCATTTCAAAAACATGCCAAAAACATTATTTCTGTTATGTATCAGGAAAACGTATCAAACACAGGAATGTTTTCTCTCTCTATTCTACGAATAATCTAGCTTTAAATCGCTTTTAAATGCCTATTTTCCAAAGGCGATGAAAATTGCCAATTTTTTGAACGGATATAGTATGAAATTAGAAAACAAAAATTGCTCGTTTTGCTCAAAAATACCAATTGAAAATATTAATGATGCATATGTCTGGGAAGTTTGCACTTAGAACTATAGGACATTTAACTTCTTCAAAACCATAGTGAATGTCATTTGCCTGTTGTAGGAGGACCATACAAAATGGTAAATTTTATCATCCTAACTAATAATAGTGAAAATATTTCATAAACTTCTTTCTCTTGTTTTGAGGTAATTAGTAACTGAAACGTTTATTTGTAATTAATATTTATAGAAATAAAAGCTACAATCTTCATTTTGTATGCATGATAATTTTATGTCTTTGTTAGGAAGAATTTTCAATGAAAGCTTTAACATTTTTGGAATAAAAACTGGTTAGATGTTGATGCTTACAGTTCTAAAATAAGTGTTAACTGTTCAAACTATCGAGATATGAAAATTATCGGTCGGTAAGATATCAAGAATAGAGGTAAAAATTTTACCGTTTCAGAAGATATACTTTCTTCTCCTAATACAAAAAATGGATTATTTTTATTAAATGAAGGGAATCTACTCATCACACAAAAAAAGAATTTTTTGTAATAATAATATATTTTTAATTCGCTACACATATTACTAACTAATATACATAATACACGGAGGAAAAATTATCGATTTCATTTTTCATTAGATCATCCATTTCTAGTTCTATAAAGGTTCTGATATTTTGAGGTGACGCGCATGCATAAATCAGGTGATGGGAATCTTTTGGCAAGAGTCTGAACAGTAAGAAAATTTTCGAGAAATTTTCCAAATAAAGATTTCTTAAAAACGCTCAAAATGTTGTTTCTTTATTAGCCAGATTCCTTAACTTCTTAAACAATTAAAGCACTAGAAACATCATAGTTATAAACTAAATGATAATTTTGTCTCCTGCCTAATTTAGCCCCTTCCCTTGTAATAAAATCCTTATCTGAAGGAAAAGCTGGTTAGCCTAAATTCCAATCAGTCTTAGGCTAAGAAGCCGTCTAGTTTGTCAGATCCTTGAACGCTGAAGGTTTAATCGGGTTTAAAGTCCAACACAAGGACAGCCTGCATGGGAGTTTCGTAGTTTCCTCTAAGTGTAACATGAATAGGAGATAGATTTCTTTTAAAGTCCACCATAAGCGCATCCCTTCTCAGTCCATTTCATCTTAAATTAATTGAATCTGTTTTAAATTAGCTGGGAATCGGTCATAGTTTCTCTTCTTCCGTGCTCTTTAGGAACACTGAACTAAGGCCGAATGCTTGTATGGATATTGTTGTTTATAAAAGGAAGTAAAACGTTTTTCTAGATAAACGCCATTTAATTCAGGTATACTAGATCCGTTGTTTCGAGTACGATGTATGTTTATTTATTTATGTGCGCGAAATAAAGGCATACATTCTTAACACTTCAGATTTTATCTCTTAAAGAATACTATCACTGATCTTATATTAGTGTAACTCGCATAAAAAATTTTCGCATAACCTTTTGCGTTTCACGTGCTCTTAGTACGTCCAGCTGACAATTGGAATATCTGTAGTTCAAATCCTGGCGAAAGCACAATGGTTCTCTTAAGTTTTCTGCCCAAACAATTCCTAATAATCTCCAGCACTCAATCCAGAAAATGATAAAAAAAATCAAAAGTAGACTGCAACACGAAAATCACTTCCCTATCTTTCTTGCTTCTTTGTTTTTGTATTTAATTACCTAGGGTATTTCAAAAAAGTACATGCAACTTCGTTTGTCAAGATTGTCGTGGCCAATGACTGTAGGTTTTCTTCATCCTTTATTTAGCGTCAGTTATCAAATAAACTTGTATTTTTTATACGTTTTATTTACAGTAATGCAACACAGTAAGTATATTTTACATATATTTCTCACAAATATCTTCTCCGCGTGATCCATTTTTGCTGTTTTCTCTGCATCTCGCTAGCTCTGGCGTCCTCGCTGTTAATAGCGAACGCCAGTGCCTAACAAAGATAAATAAGGATAGTAGAGGTATTTTTATTATCCTGAAACTACAAAAGTAAAGTATGAAGGTTCAGTACATATTATGTACATTATTAATTTATTGTGAGCATTGTGTTTGCTGTTGTAGTACATTAATTATAAAGTGACTTTTCTCACTTCAGGTCGGCAACAGGAGAGGCGTGGCAAGACATTATGATGGCCTGCGTGAACGATGAAAATGTGAAATGCGACATGCGTTCTGATGACAAAGATAAACTGTGTGGCACTGACATTGCCATACCATACTTTGTTTCCTTCTACATTCTTTGTTCTTTCTTGGTGAGATATCTGTATAGTATGTCAAATTTCGTTAAATATTTAATAGAACTAACATGATGCTGTTGTCTACAATCGCTATTTTCTTCACAGTAGATTTTGTTGTATGCAATGTCATGCGTATGCTCGAGGTAATAATTGTTAGAATAAACATAATTTTTAATGCCCAGGTTGCTAAAAATTATTCAATTTCGTCATCAAGACATTTCTTTTATGTTATTAAATATTCAGGAAGCCCTAATAAAAATTATTGCCTGCCTTACTACTGCCCAGATGATGACAAAGGTAAACTGATGACAAAGATAAAACTGTGTGGCACTGACATTGCCATATACCATACTTCGTTTCCTTCTGCATTCTTTTTTCTTTCCTGGTGAGATATCTGTTGATGAGATATTCTTTCCTGGTGAGATTTTGTTGTATGCAATGTCATGTGTATGCTCGAAGTAATAATTGTTAGAATAAACATAATTTTTAATGCCCAGGTTGCTAAAAATTATTCAATTTCGTCATCAAGACATTTCTTTTACGTTATTAAATATTCAGGAGACCCTAATAAAGATTATTGCCTGCCTTACTACTGCCCAGATGAGATAGTGGTTAATGACGCTGCCTGCCGTGCCAAACGGGGCTTGTTCGAATACAGGAGAAGGCATGGATATTTGTAAGTGTGTAGAGGCAGCTCAGCAAGATGGGCACTCAAAACGCACGCCAAACACGGCCTTTGGTTAGGTTGGTGGTAGAAGACAGGAGTGGGAGACCTTTCAGACCGACGTCCGGGGTGTTCTTTCTCGAGATTCCATATTGGAACGAAAGCTTAACTGTTTGTTACGTAGTGAAATGCTTCAATCACCAGTGGTACTACGAAGGTGCTTTCCTAGCTCCTACTTGTATGCTGTATTATTTATTATCTTAGAATTAACAAAATTTTTGAAAGAGCTTCTTATTAATGGAAAAGGCAATTAAAATTGTCTGAATAATAGCCTTTTGTTCCCCGATTAATCAGCAAATAGCTATATAACAATGCAATTTAAAATTAGGGAAAAAAGTTTTACATTGATATAAATTTGAATAACTCAAACGGATGCCAATCCAAAGTTGCTTTTTGGCTTAGTTTTTAATTTTACATTCGCATGCTTCCCTTAAAATTACATATAAATTACTTTTTGCAAAATTCATATGTAATCTAATACTAAATAATCTATAAGAATAGCCTGGATTAGCCGTTTCGGAGCAGACTATATAATTTTATTTCTACGTACATTCATTTCTTAATATGCAAATGCCAGTTCTTTATGGTTTTCGATTATAGTGTGATCATAATTTCTTTCGCTTGTTCTTTGAGAGAGAGAAACAGCTGGTAAGCAGCACGTATTCATCTTGAGCTCAGTCACCTCAAGATGAATAAATGCTGCTTATCAGCTGTTTTTTTTTTTTTTTTTTTTTTAAAGAAAATATTTTGTATTAAAATGGATCTTGTGTGATATCAATAGGCCAAAAGACTCAAAAGATTCTATTTGCGGAAATAGTAGATTAGCATTAATGTTCATATTTTCTGTGTGAAATTCTGGATCGCAGAGAAGTAATCTGACCAAAAAGAAAGTTGTGAAAAGTAAACTGAAGAAAAATATACACAAAATTTCAAAAAGATCTTCAATATTTAAAAAAAATTACTTTTTGAGCAATTTGGAAACAAAATGCTCGGTGAAATAGAATCATCTTTTTGTTTATAACCCTGCTGTTCCAAAATTTTCTCATGATATCATAATTATGTAACTTAATAAGAGTCGCCGTACATAAGAGCTATACTTCAGTAGGAAGTAGGAGATACAAAACGGTACTGAACTAGACCCGGTAGGAAAACTGTTATTATTCAATGGTTTTTCACTACGTGAACATCGTTCATGGCCGTTAATGAATGTTCAAGCTCAAACGTATGACAAGAAGGCTGCAAAGTCTGATGGTATTTCAGAAGGAGAGCATTTATATTAAAGATGGTAATCATAGACTAAAATGAACAGATAAATTGTAAAAAATTTTGATGTGAATAAAGTTAACGAAATCAAATAATTGTCGTAAAATTTAAGTATTTACCGACTTTACATAACTAGTTAATCTTTTACTGTGTAAAAATATTTTATCAGAAAGAAGAAACTAATTTATAAATTGCAAAACGCATTGCTACAAAAACTTCTTAGTTATTCCCTCCCTTTTTTTTTATTTATTTCTGGCTCAGAGATTTGATCAAATCTCTGAGCCAGAATGTATACATTTCTGGTATAGCAAACAATGAAGTTTCTTATCTTTACAGATCATCAACTTATTCGTGGCCGTCATCATGGATAATTTCGACTACTTGACGCGAGACTGGTCTATTTTAGGTCCTCATCATCTGGATGAATTTGTTAGGCTGTGGTCTGAATACGATCCTGATGCCAAGTAAGATTTTATTTTTTACATTAAAAGTGTTTTAGAGTTGAATGTTTTTGTAATGATACGATGCGTCACGATATATTAAAAAAAACATATTGTTGTATTAACGGATCCACGAAAAAGCACTTCTTTGCCTTTCATATCACAATAGATTACTGCTTGTTAATATAAAAATGTGACTCGTTTAAAAATGTCTTCTTAAAAATGAGTATTCTGTTTACAAACGTTTTCATCATTTATGATGAGGAGGTAATAATTAAGTGAGAGCGTTGGACAACTGAAGATCTCTTAGCAATCCCCAGAAGTCAACGGTGGGAACTTGTTGCCTAGTTCCGGCTCCTGACTGGACACGACTGCTTGGCAAAGCACCTCCACTGCACTGGAATCTTTTCGAACCCTGGTTGCCATCTCTGTAATGCAGCAGATCCAATGAACAGAGACCGCATCTGTCAATGTGCATCACTTCTTGGCGATTCTGAAACAGAGCTTTATGGGCATCCTAGAGAACTTTTGAGGCAATGACTTCACCCACTTTTATGCACACCTTTTATTTTTTTGTTTGTACTTTTGTATTTGCCTTTTCATTAGAAATGAAAATAATTGTTTTAACATTGTTCTGCTATGATCATGCGTCATTTCCGGAACTTTTCTCTTTGATTCCGTTCTCCGGACATTAGACTGAATGAAATGAAGTTCGTGAAAACAAAAATAACAAACTTAGCTCACCTGATGTTCATGTGTCCTGAAGCGCAGATTAAATCTTCGAAATAAAATCTTATAAGGCATTTCTCACGCTGCGCGCATATTGCAGAGGTTCGATTCCCGGCGAATTCGTTGCTTATTTTTCATCACGCTTGCTTCCAAAAAATAACCTAATACCTCTACATAGTGAGGACGTTTTCGTCATTTATCCGTTAGTAAGAGGAATGCGTATTTACCACACAAATCACATTTATTGAAATTTTGACTAAAATAATAAGCGACGAATACATTAAAGATGTATATAGACACACAAGAGAGAGTAATAATAATTACGAATAGAAAAATAAGGATCATGGGATACCGATTTTGGCTGTAGCCCGCTCGTGCCTTAACGTTGCTATGGTTGCTTGAAGAAATGAGTTACCGAAGATATTTTTTAGAACGTTAGATTAATTTACAACAGTTCAATGAAACTGGAGTACTTGGCAAATATACAAGTGCAAATTTTAAGACGCCGAATGCACCCAAATTCAGGAACTTTAAATGATTTCGAAGTAATCAAGAGCAGAAGTGAGTGAAATTTAAAATTTTTCAGTGATCTTAGAGCTACTGATTTCAAACATTGAGGAGCATAGAGCATTAATGAAAATAGAGTGGAATTCCAAAGAGAGCAAATGGTAAATATTCCTCTGACTGATGTATTTGTTAACATATTTTAACCGCAGTATTTGTGATCATATGTGTAATCCTAGGAAAGTATCTGATCAGAGTAATTGCTGAAATAAGAAGTTGTCTGAAAAAGTATTAAAGTAATAAAGAGAATTATAATAAATAAATAAAATAATATCTGGCCAAATTATGATACAACTTAGCAACTACCGAACTCTCCCATTTCAGCAAAAATTGCCTATCAGGAGCTTCACAAGGTTGATATTCGTGATCAGCAACTGTAATGAAGCGACTATAATACACTGGTGTGCAAAAATTAAGGAGACGAAGTCGAAAAATTAGCATATCAGGTGAACGAAGAGGCAAAGCGGACAGAAAGACCAATCAGGAGATTAAGTAAGGTGATGTACGGTAGCACATGCGCAGATATGCAGGTAGACGTAATGGGGGAGTGTCTGAGTAGTATAAAGCATGTTTGTCGGTGTAAGATCAGTATTTCTGGCAAAGAGATTGCACGCCGTATAGCAGTTAAAATCACACCAAATTGCTGCCTCAGCGAGAAATGGGGAATAATCAATATGTTAGACGACATCTGGATGCTTTTACCCGAGGTAGAATCATTGGGAAGTTGGAGGAAGGCCGCAGTGTGACAAGTGTGGCTGCAGAGTTCGAAATTGCTCACAGCATCGTTTTACGACTTTGGAGACAATTTCAAACTACAGGAACAGCTATCCGGGGGTTTAGTAGTGGTCGTCCACGAAGAACCACACCCGCAGATGACCGGCATATTGCCTTACAGGCCAGAAGAAACAGGCGGCAGACAACGGGAGAAATCGCTAGACAACACGACACAGGCGACTGGACGACCGATATCGCGTTTTACCGTGGCCAGAAGACTGCACGGTGGTGGTCTGTTTGCACGACGCCCTGTACGGTGTGTACCTCTAACGCCTGCCCATCGGAGAAGGCGTTCTCTGTGGTGCCGGGAACACCGGAATTGGAGAGACAATGAATGGGGACGAGTACTCTTTACAGATGAGAGCAGATTCAGTCTGAGTAGCGATTCTCATCGCATACTCATCTGGAGAGAGCGGGGAAGCCGCAATCATCCCTCGAACATCATTGAAAGGACATGGTATGGAGGTGGCGGTGTTCTCGTTTGGGAGGCATCATGCTTGGTAGTCGTACAGACCTTCACATCTTCGACGCAGGTTCAGTCAACGGGACCCGTTATTGTAACGAGATTCTTCTTTCATATGGGCGTCTTTTTAGAGGCGCTATGGGTCCGCAGTTCCTTTTCATGGACGACAATGCACCATGTCATCGCACAGTAGCTGCCGAACAGCTCTTAGAGAGTGAGGATATTGAACGTATGGATTGGCCGGCACGATCTCCGGATCTCAATCCCATCGAGCATGTATGGGATTTTCTAGGCAGACGCTTGGCAGCTCGTACCTTACCACCAGTAACGATTCCGGAGCTTCGATTGGCGCTGCAAAACAAATGGGCAGCAATGCCTCAACAACTCATTGACACCCTCATTCTCAGCATGGGCAGACGCTGTGAAACCTGCCTAGCAGTCAGGGGAGATCATATCCCCTATTAAAGACCGGATGTTTCTTGCTGGACACCCATCACAGGGGATGTTTCGGCCTTCAGTCGCATTGCGCTCCATGCTACTTTTTCAACAAAGCTTCTTTTTATCCCTCTGATTTCTCTTTTAGTAAGTGTTGCTTACATTACTCATGTCCTTACGTATTGAGGATCTTACGGTATTAAATGTGTTGATTTGGAAAGCTTTTGTACAAAGTTGTATTGAAAAAACCGTCTCGTCCTTAATTTTTGCACACCAGTGTAAATGCTGATTTCAATGGTCTCAGAAACACAAAATGTGGGCCGTATACAAATGCAAATATATACATTTTGTTTTTAATGAAGAGTACAGTTACCGACTTTGGGGATAGTTTTTTTTTTTGGTGGGCTTATTGAGAGGCATATATGATAAGGACTGATTTATGTCCAAAATGAAGCACTGAGGTGGAATGATGACAGTTTAGGTTTCAGTATCATGGAAGACGTGGGTAATAATTATTTCTGTTGGTCTTAATGGTATCCAGGTTTGTCAGCTTATTCCAAAGAACCAGGACCATTCCATTTGTTCAAATATTATATCCCGAAGGTTGTGCCATGCATCAGGATGATAATGCTCTGGTTTACCTAAATTGTAACAGAACCGGTTCATATCATAAATTTGGGAATAGTGACATCTGTAAAATGTAAAACTGAGTTTAAAACATTTTCCACATTCAACATAATTCTCTAATCTCTGTGTGACTGAAAACTGTTTGGGATATGCTAGAGGACAGAAGTTGGAGAACATTTTCTTCCTGTATCTTAATGAAGTCTCTGTTTTATTTGCAAAATGGCTAACGTACCTTCAATGATTAAGCAAAACTTGTGTCTATCACTTCCAAGAAGATTCAATATAGTATTGGCATCTAAAATAGGATTTACAGCATATTAATGAATTATTGTATTATAGATACGGGTGGTTCAGTTCCATTGTTTAACCCCTATAGCTAAAATGAAGTACGCATTAGAAGTATTTTTAATTTTATATAACCATCATCACTATGATCAACTTAATAATCCCTCACTAAAATAATAGCCTCTACAAAATGCAACAAAAATTTTTATTTTAAATAAACATAATATAAAAAATAAATCATCGAAATAATTTTATCATCATAAAATATGAATACCAAGAAAATAATTTTACAATAATAGAATTTAATTTCCTCTTGATAATTGTACTTATTGTCAGTAAATATTCTTCTTCATTACTTCATTCTGAATCAAAGTGAAATGTTATATTCTTCTTGGAATTAGCCAACAAACTACCGATATAATTTTGTTAAATTTTGCGTCAGTGTTTGATTTTGACATCTGGAAAATTTTCATTCATTTGCCAGAATTTATATTCCTAGTTAAGTAATTCTCTGGTATGCAATGTGCAACAAACTTTGAAAAAGAAATGTTGTTCTGAGATATATATGCTCTACTTTTTACAGACACATCAGGCTTTCCTTTTTTGTGTGGTATATGAAAAATGCGCTCCTTAGAGCAGATGTACGATTTTATTATTTATTACTGTTTTTATATGAAAATTAACTGAAAAGCTCTCCTCAGTTGTGATTGAACGTATTTTGTATTTCTAATATTAGACTTTGGTGGCATTGAAATATACAATTTTTACAATTATATTTTAAAAACATTTAAGTAATTTTACAGGAGAAATTGTTTACTGCAAACAACTCTTCCTTTTTTAATTACAAATTAGATTCTTTATTTTTCAAAGCTTTTAAGCATTGTGCATTTTAATTATCGGCTTATTCAGAGGCATATATGATAAGGACTGATTTATGTCCAAAATGAAGCACTGAGGTGGAATGGTGACAGTTTAGGTTTCAGTATCATGGAAGACGTGAGTAATAATTATTTCTGTTGGTCTTAATGGTATCCAGGTTTGTTTACTGACAGAAAACGCTTAAGGCTTGACAAAAGAAAGCATTTCCAATTTTTTCGACACGTACGATATATTGCAGTTTTTAACAAAGATGTAGTCATTTCATACGACGTAAAATCGTTTAGTTACCTTTCAGCTTTAACACTTAATTTCTTATAATTAATAATAAAAGTCATTTGAAAGCAGTATATCTCTTCAAAATAACAATTTTACACATATTGAGTGCAGTAAGAATATTTATGAAATTATTGTAATATTTCTATCATTGCTGTAATTAATAGGCAAACGTTACTCATGACATGTTTCGTGAGTTCTGCTATAAAATTCCCATAACATCATCATCATCATTTCAATGAAAAATATATTACACAGATGACATTGACAAAAGCTCTAGTTTTCTGTAGTACCTTATTATAATACATCGCATAATAAAAATATTTGCCTAGTAGAATGGATAGTTTTGAAATGTCTCTTTCAGAGGAAGAATAAAGCATTTGGATGTTGTCACGCTGCTTCGGAAAATCTCACCACCGTTAGGTTTTGGTAAGCTGTGCCCTCATAGAGTGGCTTGTAAGGTAATGAATTTTTAAAACCCTTTAATTTATTATTTATTATGAATGCTCATGCCTTGTTATTTCTACAATTCTGATGTTCAAATTTATCTATAATTCAATAATTACTTGTTTATTAAATATTTTAATGAATTTGCTTAGTGCACTAATGCAGTTAGCACAGAAATATGTAAAACTAAGGGGTTTTGTTAAAGAATTTTATTATGCAAGTTTTTGGTTATACTTTTATCCACTAGAATGCGTTTTACCAGAAATGATGTAACAAAATATCTGTGATTGAAATTTTAAAGTCAATTTCTTGCATAACAAAAAGAAATGTAATAGTCACTTCGTAATGTTACGCGCTCTCAACCTGCACGCAACAATAGTGGTGACTGCTATGAACTGGAAAGTATACACAGTCTTGAGAAGGGTTTAAATCCCTTTTTATTCAACTTTAGAAATTACAATGTGTGCTCTTGACGCTCACAACTACGCGGCGACCCGGCGGTAAAATAAAAAAGAAACTAAAAAATAATACATGACTACTACGAGGCTCTCTAACGTACTACCTAACCGCGTTCTAAATACGCTGAAATTCAGCAAACTTCTGAATATTACGTTGAAAGATTACTATCTACCGAGGCAAGCACCAGGCCGAACGCGTGTTCTTCAATTTCTAACTAGCCACCTCCACCTCGTGCAGCAAGAAAGCCACTTTCGAACTCGTTCCCTTCTATTTAACTCAGATTACTTCCGCTGACATTTGAATACTTTGCGCGTTCTACTAAATTTACATACTCTGGCATTGGCAATTCCAGGGAAAGTAAGGCTTGAACAGGAAAGATATTTTAACTTAAAATAAATATAAACCCTACAACCTGTTTCTCGGACAGCTGGTTGTATACAACTCTAAAATAGCTATTACAGCATTTCGATTTTTCCATCAGCTTAATGATATGAACTATTAACCGATGCATACAACGCCTACTGACAGACTTCGAACTTTCCATTTTGGACTGCTTCGGGGAAAATTAGTAAATGTCACTACTATTATTCCGATTAATCGCAGAAAATATTGTATATACCTTATATTATAATCTTTGTTTCATTCAGTATATTTATATGTGATCTTTCCTTGGTGTTACGATTTTGCTTATTACATTTGTTGCAAAACACTTAGAGCTAGATTAACAATTAGGTAAAATAAACATATGCTTAAGGTATCGAGAAAGGGGGCACCACCGAAATCTTAAGGAGTCTAAAAATCTTAATCCGTCCCTGGAAAAAAGTTCACAGAAACTCAGAACATGAAACGTGCAAATGAATCAATAAAAGAATTTTTCTTTCTGTTACAGGTTGAAAAAAATTCTAGATTTTCAAAATATAAGATTTAATAAAAGATCGTCTGTCATGTTTAAAGAATAATGAAATAGGCAAAATGCAGTAATTTGACGAAATAGCAATATATGTTCCATATACGGTTACAGTTGCACGTTTAAAAGACGTTATCATCAAAGAGGAAGCAAGCTTTGTGAAATTGTACATCGAAGTAGCATTCCATATGAGACTAGTTGTAAAGCTATTCTTGCTGTAGATGTTCCTAAAAATTTCCTCCGTTTTCATGAACTCCAGATTTTCACCTTATCCATAATGCTTTACTTTGTTATTATTGTCTTACTTACTTTGCTCATCGTACCCGCTTTACTTTGTTATTATTGTCTTAAAAAATTATTAGGAAAAAAAATGATTTATACAGATGGTCATTACATTCAACATTAGTGATACTTCATTTTCTGAAGCAATTGAAGGGGCTTCTGGTCGCCATACAGATATGTACAAAACAAAATGCTTAAAAAATCTTAAATAGTCATATAATTTTGTTCTAACTGTATAGACTGAAACTTCAGTGGAATGTGGAATTTTTAAATGCTTATTAATTTTTGAATTACCCTGTGTATGATACATGATTTCGTTCTCTGATGTCGAAGTTGATGCTAAAAGTGGCAAAAATAATACAATTAAACAATTTGGTAGTATAAAGCATAATCTTTACAGACTTTGTTCAATAATTTAAATAGTCAGCAAATGTTTATTTGAACCAGACAGTTTATAGAATAGGAGGCGTTTATAGGTTAAAAAATGTTTTAAATAAAATAGCATAATTAAATATTCGTCTCAATTATTCAACTTCCAATTTGAAATCAAGGAGGCACCATTTCCTAAGAGCCACATTTTTATATTAGTAATATTTTAGAGAGAAATTTAATCATCAATTTATGACAACTTAAGTGGTCACATCAATTAAACGATGTATAACTGGAACATGAAAATAGGATAGGTAAACGTTAAACAATTCTTACAGTATTATGTTTCTCAGAATAATAATAGTATGGGAGTGGTAATAACTAAATATAATAACAATGCTACTCAGGGATCAAGGACACTGCTACTACTGGAAATATATGTTGTGTCTCGGCGAGTTGAAAAAATTTTATTAACCTTGGAAAATCATACTTTTGTGCATGCCCTGTATTACACATCTGCGTTGTTATCAAATTCATTTCCAACTCAGTGTATCAAGTTTGCATCTGATCACAGTGTTTCTGGATGGATGAAGCCAATGGTTATGAAACGCAAACGCTGATGTTAACAAATTCCTAAAGAAAGAAATCACATGCTTTAAGACCTGGTTGATGGCCACACATGATTGTGGTTGTCTTGATCTGCAATGTGTCCTGTCCAGCTTAAATGAAGAATACAGCTGAGATACAGTTCAGTTTTGTCAAAATCCAGAAGAGCTCTTCTCTCTGTAAAATGCAATAATCACAAATAGTATGCGGTTAGAGAAAGGAACAGCCAGTTTTCGCACATGTCCAAAAGTTAATTGCTCCTCATTGTTGTGTTCAAGAAAGGAAAAGAGCAACTTCTCGTGAGAAACTGCAGAGAAAGCGTTGGTGTTTAAACAGTTATACAACTTCGTCTTTATTTTAAACCGTTCTTTAAATACAAGATGATTTAGTGCGTTGTAAATGTAAGATAACTATTCGAAAATGAGAAAGTGAATTCAACTTTATTATTTGATAAATGGTTAAGTAGAACTTTCATCTGTTTTCATAATATACGTAAGTATTTATGAGTTTAATCCATAAGTACTTACGTATATTACTTATATTATTTAGATTTATCTTTGTTACATTGTTTACAATAAATGTCGTACATTCTGTGGAAAGGAGGCACGCGTGTAACTTCTTTGTTAAGATTGTTCTTTGCTGTTGCTTCTTGGTGTCTCAAAGCTGAGTTCTTAATAATTTTCTACGGATACCGTCTACTCAGAATTTAGTTCTGCGGCTTTTATCACAATTTGAGATAAAATCATTTATTGATATTTACAAGTTATACTAGTACTAGTTATTAATTTTTTTTCATATTAAAAATACTACCAATTAAATAAAAATTGAATTTTATCAATAAAACATGAATTCCAGGAAACATGAATGTTATGCTTGTGACAGAACATTCACCACTCCATAATTCATCGAGATTCTTCTAAAGATAAATGACTATATCAGCAGCTTTAGTTTTCAGAGGAACCGTCACCTAAGCTAAGTATGTTGCTAAGCAAAGGATATGTGTCTGTACGGAAGATTTTCAAGTATTGAATTGTAAAGCACTGAACTGCTTTCACCGTTTTGCAGTATAATGAGATCCACCTGTATAGCAATGTCTGCATCAGCAGTCTTAATTTAATAAAGGACTGTAATCTGATCTGATATATTAATCTCTTGCAGGTTTCTGTACAAATCGTGCGTATCTTCACGTAAATGTTTCAAGTATTCAACATACGTTGCAAAATCACTGTAGTACATCTCAAATTCAGTAATATCATGGCTCTGGATAGTATTATTCTTGAGATTGACACTATGTCATATCAATATGACAATGATTATGGTAACTCTCGAAGGTCTCGAAGATTATGGTAACTCTCGAAGGTCTCGAAGAATATGGTAACTCTCGAAGGTCTCGAAGAATATGGTAACTCTCGAAGGTCTCGAAGAATATGGTAACTCTCGAAGGTCTCGAAGATTATGGTAACTCTCGAAGGTTATGGTGTATGACCCAATAGACTATGATTACAATAAAAACTAAATCCATTCTATGCAAGAAGAAAATCCGCTTTTTTCCCCATAATCTTATTCTGACAAATCCAGTCTTAGGCGGCATGCCCTGAGATCATTGTGAAATAGCTAAATCTACCACCGGAGTTTAAACAGCTGATATACTAATACCTCAATAGATCAACTGCCCTACTATCGGCGCAGAGTTATTTTCCTTGAGCACAGTTAAAGTGTAACAAAAATTCAGACATGTGAAGAAATTAAAATTAATGGATGCTCTTTATATGAAATCGTCGTAACGGTATTTGCTTTTTCATTTTTCAGCGATTGGTGTCTATGAATATGCCCCTGAACAGCGATGGAACTGTAAATTTCAATGCAACGCTTTTCGCTGTCGTTCGGACATCGTTGAAGATCAAAACGGAAGGTAGGCTTTGGATGTTGTTTTGAAATTTTTTTAATTTAGCTCTCTCATTCTGAGTGGTTGCAAATATTTAAAATAATCTTTACATATTACAGGTAACATAGATGAAGCTAACGAGGAACTCAGAGCGATAATCAAAAAGATATGGAAAAGGACAAATCCAAAACTTCTTGATCAAGTAGTTCCACCTGCAGGTACAATTTTAGCACTGTTTTAATATTGTAACGAACATTTACAGGAAGAACAAATAACATTGGGGTGTGTCTAGGATTTTCTTTTGGAGTGGAGTAACAAGAACTCGCAGATGATAAGACGGAGTAAAATTATTTAAACATAAACTTATGCGACTTATCTCACCTATCTGCCAGTAATTCAGATGAAGTTCACGAATTTTACTTTGGCGAGGAGCGAAAAATTGCGTCTGTTATTTAGGGCACCTTATAGATGACAATACGACTTTGCCAACTCCCCTATTTTGAAAGTTCCGCCACTATTTTGGATGAGAATCCTCCGGAAGGCGTAATGGCAGACCGCACATTGAGTTGAACAGTGTTAAACGAATGTCGCATACTGCGCATGCCCAGAAAACAATTTGGCTTTATTACTATGTTGGCGCGATTTGAAAAGAAGATAAATAGGTATATGGTAGATGTACCGCCATCTGATTGTAAACAAATCTGGCGTTTCAATCTTCGTAGAGTATAATGTAAATGTAAATTAATTACTGTTAAAATACTATTTTTTGCTGTACTCCTCAAACAACTGAAAGCTGAATTATTGCGAAGTATGTGAAGCAGTGTTTTGCATTCAAAATGTAAAATTATACCTATGAAATCTGCACATTCTTTTGGAACTGTACAAATTTTCGTTCAGAAAAAGACTGAATTAGGATATATTAGTTGAAAATTTATTCATTATACTTTTAAGCAATAAAAACAATTCAGGATTTACCATACATTCCATTCGTACTACATAAAGAACACGAGAATATAACTGCTTGCAAATAACACTGAAGAAATTTTACAATTCCTTAATGCTAGTTATTAAATTCTTGAAATGAGAAATTCATTAAAATTAAAATTCTTATTCATGAAATGAGAAAATAAAGCGCGATATACGCTAACAACTAAGCGAGATACTCCAGTTTCAATACTGAATTTAACATGCAAAACAATTACATTTAAATAACGATTATTACGAACATATGTTAACAAATATTAATGCACTGTTATTGACAAATTACAATGAATATATATTAGAAAAATAAGCAAGTGCAATCGGTATGGACGTTAAAATAACTAATAAGCAAAGTTCCACAACATTACATGTATGTATTACATGTTCGAATGTTGTAAACATCATTCAAACACACTCGACAGCCATGGTGATCACGAATAAGCTAGCGTAGGGTTGCTTAGTCGCCAATATTTCTCCCCGCAACAAAGGTACACCATCAAGCATGCGCAGTAAGCGAAATTTGCTTAACATTGTTCAACTCAATGTGCGGTCTGCCATTACTCCTCCGGAAGCGACGGGAACAAACGGCACAAACATAAATTTAAAATATGTATTTATTTTAAATACAAAAAAACTCGTTTCGAATGCTTGCAAACAACATAAGTAAGAGTTATGTTTATGAATTAGCAATTAAAAATAAAAATTACATATATATATATGTGTGTGTAATAATAGCAAAGAAAATGATGAAGCAGCGTCGATGCGTAATAGCTATATAAGATGTATTGTAGATCCATATTGAAGAGGAAGAATTCCGATTGCGTAGTATGCTAATATACTGACTGAGTAATATCTAAAACACTTGACAGTTGAGGCAGTTTTAATTCCATTTTTATTTCCAACTGACATATGTAGCAACTATTTGCTTGGCACTCTAGTCGTGCCTATTCAAGAAAATTTACATTTTTGATATTGTTGCGATAGAGACAAAAGCTAAAGTGTGTAGTTACCCAGTATGAAAGCACACGAAGTGAAAGGTTTTGGTTTGAGTTAAAAGTTTCAGTTCCCAATTATTACGTCATCAGCGCTGCGCCATGGACCTTATAAGAAATAGACTAACCCAAACGGCTTTTTTCCCTAGTCTGAGGCGTTGCCGACTGTCACCTTGATCACATCCGGAGAAGTAGGGACGACTTGCAGAAATTTAACATTGGTTGCCTATTGCAGCGTGTATAATTGTCAAGAAAAATCTGGTTGTAGCGCCTCATTTCACAAATTAGATTTTCTACATATTTTTATTTTTGAAATTATGATTGATTTTTAAAAATTTCGCATATTTATCCAGCATAATTAACGTCCCAAATAATTATAAAGCTATTACATGCTTTCAGGACTGCATATTTTTTTAGCTTTTCCTATGCTGTAAGGAAATTTGTAACTACTTCTTTTAGAAAATAATATTTTAAATCTGAACTAATAGAAAATTTCAAACAAGCAATTTTCTCTTGCAATTTTTATATGCTTTTTATTGGTGTAAATAAGTAAAAATACTAAAATATTTAAAAAAACGAATTTTTGAAAGTTGTTAAAAATCTAAATTGTGCTGCTTTTTTTTTTTTAAAATTATAGATGAGTATTATAGCACAATTCTATAAAGGAATTTTATTTCAATTATATTTCATATACATCATAGTGATAAACACTTTGACTCCTTAAAAATGTTTATACATTTAATTCTAATATTAAAATTGTATTTAACCGTAATAATTAATTTTGCTTGTATTTTATAGTGATTAGTTTTTTTTAAATTTATTTTTAGTTCTGCATAAGATTTTTTTATTTACTGTTAATTTAATTTATTAGCCTAAAGGGGCGGTAGCCCAGAAAGGCTGTTAGTTTCGAAGCGGCATTTTACGCTGTTTTACTATAAATGTCCGTGTCACCTTGCAAATTGTTGTTACCAAAAATTATCGCCCTGTATTATCTGTAAAGAAATTAAATAATGAAGAATGGGACAAAAACGAAAGTATCTAGAGCCATCCAATTTTGAATAATGTAATCCTCCACCCGAACTTGGGCATCTGGACGGCCGAATTTCGAATTTGTTTTAATCTATTTCATATTTTGTAAAACTTTAACGAATTTTTGATTAACAAACTCAACGAGTTCAGATCTAGCACTGTACGAAAAATAACAGTTTTATCTCCAGTGCGGCAATTCTAAAGATATGCTGTTTTCAAATGTATGTAGTTTACGGGCGAAGAACATGATATTTAATAAATATAGGTAACACACAAAACTTTAAAAAAGGTTCCTTTGGGCTAATATAAAATCTGAGTGCTTAAGATTTTATTTTTTCCTTCATTACGCTCAGAAAATTTTATGCTCCGAATTTATGATATTAAAATAACTAATCCACTTAGTGTTAATAATTTAATGATTATATAATCAAATAAATATGATCGTTTTGTAATGTACTTATAGTTTGGAAAATCACTGCCTGAAAATGTTCATTAAAGTAAAAAAAAGTTATCAGATCTTGTTTAATTTGACCTTATTTATTTCAAAGCAAAGTTCTATACTATCAATCATATTTTATTTTACTTTATTTTTACGTAAAATTAAGTTCATGAATTTTGTGCTTAGAGTTTTTACCGTTTTACCAAAGTAAAGATGTTTGTACAAGAGTCACGCGTAAAAAAAATGGGCGAAATGCAGTAAAACGTGCTTTGATGAGATATATTAAATCCTATTTAGAAAAAACTGTGGTTTTCATAATCTCATCACTATACAACGTATCACACTTAATACTTAAAAGGATTTATGTGATACAAACGTCGTAGGTTTCAGTGTTAAAGTAAACCAGATCGTCCCTACTCTTTCTTGCCGACATGTCGGTGACGCGCGCCCCGCCCACTGGGTTAGTCTATCTTTTATAAGGTCCATGCGCTGCGCAGGCCGTGTAAAATGGAATTGTCTAGAAATAACGCAGTCCAGAAGTTAAGATTTTCAGAACAGAGAGGGAGAATTAAAGTTTTGCCATTAGTTTAAATTATAATTTGGATTCACATATTTTTTATCTTGCATATATATAATATATATATATATTTAATTATAAAACTATGGAAAATCCATCTAAAATACTTTATGACTCAAATGAAATACCTTTTCTTTTTTCTCTTCTGCATCACATATTGGTATGATGTTTATTGAATTAATGAAGAATTATTTAAATTCAGAAAAAGGAAACAGATAAATAGCCGAAAATTCTAAAACTTAAATTGTATGACTGAACTAAATATGAATACAGTCTTGCCAAATTAATTTCAGAAATGAAGGAATAATACAGGCTGGTTTTAATTTTTGCTATCGCTGCCGTATATCGTTTAAGTAGCAGGCATCTGTTTCTTCATTTGCTGTAAAATAAAGGATGATAAGTAAATTATTATTCCGAGAAAAAATAAGAAAAGTTAGATCCAGAAGTAACTGTGCTAAAGCTATTAATTTCCTCATTTATGTAGTATCTAAAACATCATTCTTAAGATGATACATCAATGTGGATTTTAACTGTCTCTGTGTTCACGCAATGTTTTGGCACACTGCCACAAAAAAAGCTACTGGAGCTTAGAAGATAATCTTAGTAATTAGGAAACAAAAGGGAAACTTCCTGTAGGTATAGAAATAAACAAAGAAAAATGTGTTTGTAAGATAAAAAAATTCTGCATCGGTAGTTTATTTTTAACTGATTTTTTTAACTCAGTGAATCAACAAAAGAAAGACATAAAAAAAAAAAAGGAGAAATTTCTTAGAATTGCTGACTTCGAAAGTAAGAACGTTGGTGTTGAATGATATGAGATATTTAAAATAACAGGAAGACAAGACATAGGATCATATATCTGTATGTAACTGGTCTGTAGATAACCTTATCTGATATGCTTTAGATATGCTATTCCTTTTTGAATCGTATTTAATATGTCGAATCATTGGCAAATGGCACTCTGAATATGACTTCTTTCGCATTACATTTCAATTATAGCTATCTTTTTCGACCAGTATGTTTGGAATTGTCTAAGGCTGGACGCTAAAATATATAGAATAGCATCTATTAAGCGTTAATTTAAGTTGTGGTTTTATTTCGAAGGATAAGATTTTCGTATTTTCATGTAATGATGCCGTACGCATTAATCAATTTGGATGAAATTGTAATGGATTCATTTTAGGATTGGAACACGTAATCTGTTGGAACATTTTCCGATTGTTTTGAATTTTAGATTTAATATCAGAAAGAGACCAATGGGAAGATCTGTTACCTTCTATGAAACCTATATCATGCAGTAAGCATCTTTCGATCAAATGATTCGATGATGCATTTACCTTTGCAGATTAAGCCTATTAAGCACAGGTTGCATAATTTTGTTGGCCAGCAATGTTTCCAATCACTCATCAATATAGAGTATCAAGAACTTAAGGGGGCATCGGTTATGTATCTCTCAGCAGTCTTTCAAGTTACGGTAGGACTTGGTTATATTTGCCTTATTCAAGTGAAGGGTGTCCGCCGATAACATCGCGGCAAAAACATCGCGGACGAAAACGTCGCGGAGAAAACAACGCAAGGCGAAAACGTCGCGCTACAAAATATCGTGGGAGAAAACATCGCAAAGAAAAAGCATCGTAGTCCTAAAATATCGTGGTACAAAACATCGTCGTCGAAAACAAAGCGGTTCAAAAACTTCGCAGTTTAAAAACATCGTCGTCGAAAATATCGTGGTAAAAAATAAAGTATCTACAAATCATCGCATGACGATAACATCGCAGACATGCTTTTTTCATACATGCTTTTCGCAAACATTCTTTAATAACTGTAAATGAATATTCCCATAATGATTTGTGAGCGCAAGATGTAAAGAATAATAATTTTTACTTTCACATTTTTTATTAACTAATAAATTTTTGCTGAAAATGTAAGCAGGAAACTTAAGCTTAGAAAATGAAATGCAACGTATAGCTTATACTTTACATGAAAAATTACCAGTAAAAACTTTATAAAAAATGATTTATTAATGACTTTGTTAGTTAACTATGCCGGTTTAAAAGTCTATTAATTGCTATAAGTTGCATTAATTTGCTATGCTTAAGTTTCCTTCTTACCTTTTTAGAAAAAATTTATTAGTTAATAAAAAAATGTGAAAGTAAAAATTATCCTTTTTTCCATCTTGCGCTCACAAACCATTATGGGAATATCCATTTACAGTTATTAAAGCATGTTTGCGAAAAGCATGTATGAAAAAAGCATGTCTGCGATGTTACCGTCATGCGATGATTTTGTAGATACTTTATTTTTTACCACCATATTTTCGACGACGATGTTTTTAAACTGTGAAGTTTTTGAACCGCTTTATTTTCGACGACGATGTTTTGTACCACGATGTTTTAGGACTGCGATGTTTTCTCTTTGCGATGTTTTCTCCCACGATGTTTTGTAGCACGACGTTTTCGCCTTGCGTTGTTTTCTCCGCGACGTTTTCGTCCGCGATGTTTTTACCGCGATGTTTTCAGCTGTAACCCAAGTGAAGGTAGCAATGAAGTGTTTAAGACAGTGCTCCGCAACCTTTTCTCACCTGCGACGCACAAAAAAATCTTTCTGGGATTTCGTGGCACACCAAAGAGTTCCGAGTTATCAAGGAAGTGCCGAAAAATTTCAAATGCTGACAACTTACAATCACACACACAACCACACAACAGTGAAATATATAAAAACATTTAAAATAGACATTATTAAGGGAAAAAATTGTCATTGTGTATTAAATACATGATAAAAAATTGCAAAATGTCAAATACATGTATTTGATTGCGGCACACCTATATTCTACTCATGGCACACCGGTTGCGGAGCACTGGTTTAAGATACGTGAAGAGAAAAAACAAATATCCACGACTAGCGTTTCAGCATGCCTGCCGTTTAAAACAAATAAATAGGTGTGTAATGGAGAGAATGACGAACACTGAATTAACTCTTAACTTCCTCTTTGATTCTGAAACAGAGTCCTTTCATTTGGGTCTCATTCGTTCTAAAATAGTGTCCTTTCATCTGTTGTTTCACTGTTAACCACGAGGATGTGTCTTGGGCACCCCATCGAACTTTGAAAAATTTGTTTTATAAAATTAACTGACATTAATTGCATTGAAATAATGAAATGCGAGAAAATCTTTTCAAATGATTTATTATACTTCCAAAGATTCCTTATTTTCTTCACAAAATGAAACCGATAATATTCGAGCTGGTGGGTCGAATATTATCGGTAAAGTCACTAAACATTGGTAGTTCGGTCCGAGGTTCGAATCCCGTGAACGGTCTGGTTGCATAGGCGTTTTCTTGGGTTTCCCCATGTGCAAACTGTATACGAGCCAGTTTGCCTTAAAAAGTCTTCCACGAGGGCATCCTCTCTTTAGCCAGATAGCCCTCGAGTACTTTTCCATAATCGAATAAACCAACCGATATCATTCAAAACAGCCTTTTAAAATATTAATAACTGCATAATATCACTAGGTGATGACTTTGGATCCCTTTCAAGTTATGAAAGGATTCAAGTTATTATGGCATTGTGCAAAGGGACTTAGTTAAGCGTATGCATATTTCTGGAAGATGTAGATTGCACAAAGACAAACCAAAATCAAATAACAATACAAAGTCGTAAACGCGCTCGCTGTTCGTCCATGACAGTTCTCATACGTTCCTTTGTTGAGGATACCGTCATTTGCAAACCTCCCTCAGCGGCATTAATTTGTCTTTATCTTTTATGGGTTTGTACAAAGACTATTGCATGACATCCCCGTTGAAAGTGATGAAGACCTAAAGCATGCTTCCCTTACTCAGATGTCCGAACATGTTAGGGATTTTCCAATATTGCACATGATTCCTTGCCCAAATGATGTCAAGCGTGTGTCACATTTCATGCTTCAGTTCTGAATATCTTTCGTAACTTCAGTGCATTTCGCAAAAGCCTTGTAATTAATAAAAAGCATTGTATTCTTTTACATGCTGCTCTTTCGTTCTTCTCTTCCTCATTGAACTTAACACATAAAGATGACATTTCCAATCTTGCCATTGCTAGACGATTCCGATTTGTCTTCCTGCAATCTAACTGTCCCAGAAGTTTGCTTACGCTTACCTATATTTCTTTTGTGCTGAAAACAAAATGGTTTCAACCTTACCAAGTTTGTTATCGAAGTTATTTCATCATAATTCCAAAGAAAGCTACCGTAAAAGAGGCAGTCTTTGTGACTTAGATATAATGTTTAATTTTCTAAAGTAATCTTCTTTCTCGTATTGTGGTATTTGAACGTACATTGTTATATTGCAGCGGATGAAGATGTGACCGTTGGCAAATTCTATGCCACCTTCCTCATCCAGGACTATTTCAGGAGGTTCAAGAAAAGGAAAGAAGAGCGCGAGAAAGCCATTGGAGATGGAACAGACGAGGGCACAGTCGCTTTACAGGTATTCGTAATCTATCTGGTAACAATAAATCACCTTTTCGAATGCTAACACTTAGAGTTTTTTGAAAACAACCTTTCTTGAAACATGCTTATTTCTTTTTTAAAATCGTAATAAAATTGATCTTATATTCTAGAATGAAATATTTGCTTTGAAGAAAGCTAGTTTAACCCATGGCTATTGAAAAAAAAATTTCGAAAATAACCAAGGCCCCATATACTTTTTATTGAATAGCAATAACTGAAACTAATAGCAACTGTATTACTTATGTATGGTTTACACCTTCATTACTTACAAGGTTACATAGAGAAAAAATCTGATGTGTACACCACATGACTTCCTTGTACGGAATATTAATTATACGCAATTTTTCTTGCATTTTGTTTAAACTTATTGGATTTAATTATATCTACTTCGCCGACAGCGCATAAACCACAATAGAATAAGTGCATTCTTTAAAATTCACTCTATTTGTTTATCATAGCGACACTCTGGCGCTAGGTTCACTTAACAATATTATATTTCGTTCATATTATAACTTAGAATGCACAAAATTTGTATCATTTAAAGAATTATCTAATCGTTGCCACATGTTCTATTCAAGTACTATACTAAAGCTAGAACGATGTATAAAAGAAATTAAGCAAACAAAAAAGAAACAGTTTTTCACAGACGATTGAGTATTTCTCATTCAATTAATTCAGTTCTCACTTCGCGGGCCCACCAGCGGCCGAGCGGAAAAACGCTGAACACTGGTAGTTTGGTCCGAGGTTCGAATCCCGCGAACGGGCTGGCTGCATGGGCGTTCGTGGTTTTCCCCATATGTAACGTGTATACGAGCCAGTTTCCCTTAGAAAGTCCTCCACGAAGGCATCCCTCCCTTTAGGCAGATAGCCCTCGTGTGCTTTGCCATAATTAAATAAATAATCCAATCTCACTTCGCGACAAGGCAAAAGTACATAAAAACTCAAAATATCTCTACTAAAAATTACTAATTATTAAAAATTAAATTACTAATTATTAAAAATTAAGTAAATCTTAAACACTTATTTCCTCGAAAAAATTCCAGAAAGGATTGAGCATGATTTAAACTGCAATAATAAATGAAGGCGTTTATCTTTGTTGTTGCGAAGCTACGTTTCTCTAGATTCGCAACAAATTCACTACTCAGCTTTTTCAAATGTAAACAAGCAATGGCCGCCATCAAAATAGGCTTAGCGGCACTTAAACAACTTTTAAATTGTTGATAATTCTAAAAATATTGCATACAGATTTACTAAAGGCATAAAACCCTTAACCAGAAGATAAAAACAACATAATTCAATCATTTTTAAAGAAAAAAATGTACAATTTACAAACATATAAGAGTAAAGAAACTGAGATCACTGAGCCGGGTAGCAGAGTGGATATATTTATAAATATATTTATATACGTTTGGCGCGGCCGATTGAAACCAAAATACGAGGTGCACACCTACATGTTAATAAATGCTGTCTGATCAGCGAGTCATGATTAGACAGCATCTGCCAAGTGGAAACAAATACCGTAAGGCTTACTATAGTTAAGGGCGGCAGTCCACTTGAGCAGCGTTCAGCAGTCCTATATACAAAATTTCAACGTTCTGAGGCTACTCGTTTTTGAGCTATGCGAGATACGTACGTACGTACATACGTTCGTACAGACGCCACGAAATATTCTCTTCAGAATTCATTTTAAAGCAGTTTTTGGAGGAAAAGAGTCTCTTATTCTGTCCTTACGTACAGATATCACGCAAAAACATCGTTAAATCGCATTCGAAAGCGGTCAAAGTGGATATTTTCGTTGAAATATGCTGCCTGAAACATTTCGCGATTACAGTATTTCCTTTTTACTTCGTACAAGGAAGTAAAAAGTAACAATACAACGAGCTAGAATCGGTAATAAAAGAGCAGCAAAATGCTTAATTCAGCGAACTCCAACGCATCATCAATTGCACATCCCAATCAAATGTAGCAGTCTTCCAGATTTTAAATCTGACCAGGGCGATCGTGCTGCATAAGGTTTATAGGGTAACTAGCCTTTTCGATGTTTACATAGTAAAACGCAGTTACTCCTCGAGATATACGACTTCGGTTCTAGTCTATCAATGAAACGTAAAAGCCAGTCACGTTAAATATAGTCACATAATTATTTTATCTCAGTGGCTTGTAAAAGTTATGTTTGCACTACATATTCTATATTTTATTAAGCTATAAAATTCTTCCGTTGTCTTTTTTATGTGTTTGATGGAATAACACTTCAATTTCCTTCGAGAACTACTTGCGTTCTATACTTGACTAATTGATTCATTATTTGGTGTGAGAAGTTTTCGGCGTTTTTCTCCTGTTGACATGACAAATCATTCATTACGAAATGTTTTTTAAAAAATGAGAGACATGATACTATTCCTTTAATGCTTTAATTTCAGTGTAATATTTATGAGACGTTTGATATATTAGAAGAATTAGCAGATGGTGTATGAAATCTTCGAAATGCTTTTAACTGTTTCTGTATTTTGGGAGGGGAATAAGAGATCAGTAATTTTAACACCGAAAACCTGTTTAAAATTAAATAATATTTATTTTGAAGACTTGTGTTAAAATTCTGCTATTATTTGACCATTAATAGATATCCGTATCATGCTGATTGGCAGATATTTTGAATATGCAGGTAGCAGTATCCAAAATGTCATGGGAAAACATTGGACCAGTTTTATGATGTCTGGACAATGCTCACTATAAACCTCACAATCAAATGGCTTTTCCCCCCCTTCTCGAAAGATGAAGCTGTTTTCTTTTACTTAGTATTTTTACATTTCTAACTAGGGGAGGTATTCTTTTTTTCAGTACAGGAAAGAACCACCGAGTGTAATAAAAAAAAAGTTTCTAAATTGTTTGAATTAACCCTACCCAGATATACAAAAGCAAAGAATGTCAAGTACAGATGCAAAGCCAGAAAAAAGGGTTGATAAAATGAGGCAAAACATTTCAGTTACATTTCAATTTGTAGAAACGAATACGAGGCACATTAAAATGATTTATGCTTATAACTGAAAGGCGAGAGCGATGAAGTTTTTGATACCTTATTGAATACAATAAGTGAAAAAAAATTAAATATTTTTCTTGAATTAAAATAAAAAATGAAATACAACGCTGTTATTTATCAATATTTAATATAAAAAATTAAATATTTTTCTTGAATTAACATAAAAAATGAAATGCAACGCTTATTATTTGATAATTAATATTAAATAACTAGATATTATTTAATAATAAGTTTGTTTTTTAAACTGCATGATATATTTTTTTATAGAATGTCAAACTTTTTTCGTCTAAATAAAATGAGCTATAGTTATAAATGCCTTATGGACTTATGATAAAGTACACCAAAGTGGGACGTAAATTTGATCTATGTTTCCTTTTCAAAGTTTATTAAGAACCTCTTTTAACACAGATAGCAATGAAAAATTTACTTGAACTAATTCAAAGAATAAAAAAATAATATTGTAGTCATAATTAGGATTTTTTTCAAGCAGGAGACAGGAAAAATGAGCAACGCCTTCGCCGGAACTCGAACCACGGGCCTCTCGAATATGCGCCGAGCGTGTTGACCATTACACTACAAATGAACGCTAAGAAGGCGGGAGAAATACCTGATAATATAATATTTAAAGATTATTTAAAGCCAGATAAAGTTCTTGTATTTGAACTACAACATGCGTTTTGTCTTTGCTGTATTAATTTATTCTACCTTTTCTCACAATGAGGAATTATAAAATCTGTTCTTTGTTTCAAAGGCCGGACTTCGTACCCTTCATGAAGCCGGACCCGAGCTTAGAAGAGCTATATCCGGCAACTTGGAAGAAGATGAATTTGACGATGGTCCAGATATTTTACCAATGCACAGGGTAAGTCACTTCTATTTTTTTTTTTTATTCTTTTTGTAAGAAACAAATTTTCCAGTTAGTTGCGCTCTGTAATCGTTGACAACAACAATAATTTCGTAGGTAAATCAAATCAAGGAAGCAAATAGCTGGTTTAGAATTTATTTAATCTCCCATTTAATAGCCGTAGATTTTTTAATTTATTTATTTCATCATAAAACTGTAGAGAAAGTTAGTACTGATACTGACGCATTATCTTAGATTTTCTGAATACCAGTGCTAAAATGATGCTCTTTTGAAAATAAATATCTAACTCGTGTTCCGTCTTAATCGGTACCTAATCTTATATCTTGACAAATACACTCATGTCCATAAATTAAGGATAATGCAAAATCAGGCAAAGGAAGAGTTAGAAGCAAAACAAATTTGACTTATTTGTAAAGCTTATTTATTAAACAAAAAGGTAAAGAGCCAAAAAAGATGCTATATGTTTGATATTATTTTAAAAAATAGCGATTTTTTCTCCCTGTAGCAAATTACAAAAAAAAACTTATTTACAAAAAACCAATATTACATGGTTTGTATGATTGTTAATACATTGTATGTCTCCCAGATATAATACAGTCCGTACAACGCCTAGGCATGCTGAGTATCAAATTATCGATCTGATCTTGGGGGATATTACACCACTCAAAAAAGCAATGCTCTCCGAAGTTCCGGTAGACATCTAGGAGGAGGTTGACGGGCTGCAACTCGTCGGCCAAGCATATCCCACACGTGCTCTACTGGATTCAAGTCCGGTGAAAATTCTGGCCAGTCCATACGGGTGATATCCTCCGATTGAAGTCATTCGCTTACGATGTTTGCACGTTGAGGACGGGCGTTGTCATCCATAAACACAAATTGTGCGCCCATGGCGCCCCGAAACAAACGTACATGTTGTTCCAAAATGACGTCCCGATAGATTTGGCTTGTCATGGTTCCAATTTGAACATGCAGGTCAGTTCTGGAGCCCAGAATAATTTCCGCGTGACTCCGAATTATCCTTAATTTACGGACATGAGTGTTTATAAAAATTTATATACATTTAACAAATTTACTACTACAGATGTCTGAACACCTTTGCATATCTATTGAATAATTTGATCGAGGTTCTTTTAATATACGACGTGATTCCTCGGAGAGAAGACTAGGTAAAATCTGTAAGATGATGTTATTCTTGGATGAGGGCTTGCCCTGAAGGTTCTTGTTATAATGGGAGTTGAATCCTATTTATCAAAGAACATAATACATTGCATTATAAATGGATACGTTATTTAGTTGTAAGCAAAGCATAAAATACTACATTTAAGTACCTAAACTACTGTTTGACGAGGTTAAACACTACTTTCTTCTTCAACTGTGAGTAAGAAAACATTTTATTTTAAGTTCCGTCTGAACCTTTGCATATTTACAGCTGAAGAAAGTACTGAAACTATTATATGTTCATTTTATTTACCTTACTGGCTTACCAGTGGCAAGTGGTTAAAATCTCTGAACATTAGTAGGTAGGTTGGTTGGTAGGTTGAAGTGAATAGGACACCAGAAACTTCACCATGGATCATACATGTAGCGCTCCAGCGCAGTATCCATCTTTAGAAATAACCCCAACGTAGTGGCTGTCAATTCAAATTCCTGAGATTGAATGGAAGAGGGTGATCAGCTATTGTTGAGAATGAAACTTCTCTTGCACTGTGCTATCTCTTTAGGTCTACTTGATTTTAACACCGACGAACGATCTGGCTGCATGGATGTTTTCATGCTTTTCCCCATGTGTGTGTGTGGCGAACGAGCTGGTTGCACAAGAGTTTTAATGGTTTCCCCCATGTGTAACGTGGAAACGAGCTAGGTCTTGGAAAGCTTTCCACGAAGGTACCCATTCCCTTAAGTCGATAGCCCTCCCGTGCTTTCCCAAAACTTGCAAGTATGGCAATTACGCTGATTTTTGTTTTTGACTTCTGAATTAGCAAGGAATGCCCCCTCAAACAAGATGAAGCATCCACCTGCATTTATTGTCAGGAAGATCATGTCAGCAGTTATCGAAGTTGTCGATATTATAGAAGGAAGTTTGAGAAGAGATCCGAGAGAAAGCCCACCGCCAAACCTAAAGAGTTTGTCAAGTTAGACGATGAATTTCCCATACTCCCAAGTAAAGTGCCAGTAGCGCCAAGAAGAAAGATAGCACTTTCCCGCAGTGAGAACTCCAGGGAACTTATTCAACCGCCCCCAGAAGATCTTGGAGAAGCAGTCAGTTGGCTAAGAGATAGAAACGCCAGCAGCTTCCTGCGAAGTATGATCGATCACATAGCAAAAATACGTGCTGCAAAGTCTACTGCCGAAAAGTTAACTGAGGGATTTAGAGCTGCAATGATGCTAGTAAAGATTGCGGATGATGAAAATTAAAGATTATTTCTGTGCATCTTAGTAGCACTTTTTCATTATTATGATCACGGCCATCCATTATTGCAACGTTTGTCACTGGTTCTCATGGATGTGAGATTTATGTAACTTGAGTTTTTTCACCTGTTCGATTTTATGTTCCGGTTATTTTTTGCACATGATTCGAAACAACTTAGCCGTTCTACAAGGGGTAGGGTTCCCGTTAACCCAGGTACCCTGGTGCTACACCGTTTCACTAGAGGTCTTTCTCACAATCAAATAAACCAAATCAAAATCCATGTTTGTAATGAAATGAGTCGTTTTCCCTTATAAAGACCTCCGTGAATGCATCCGTCCGGTTAGGCAGAGAGCCTTCGTGTACTAGTTTGCCATATTCAAATAACCTTGAACATTACACTGAGTTCAGTTTGCTATATTTTATCCTTTGCACACCTTATATATCAAAGCCTTTATCCGCTATCCCTTTTATAAAAGATTCATAGATCATTAAACAACAGTTTATCAAAGACTTAGTGGAAATATTAAATCTGTGAGTATATATTTTTTATGGCACTAACTTCTCTTCAGCATAACTTTCTAAAACAGAAAACTGCGCCTGCTGCAGGCTGCAGCGGCCGATGATATTTAAACTGATATATTAAAAATATAAATATAACAGTAGTTTATTAGACTTAAACACTTAAAAACATTAGCAATTTCATCTCGAATCGGTACGCAACAATTAGAGAAGTTGTTTACATGAGTAGTTTTTTATCCTAAGACTTTCAGGAAGAATCCCTTTTTTTTTTACCCGCCCCCCCCCTTTTTTTTTTTTTCACTGGATTGCTTTCCTGTTTTTATATCGTATATCATTGTTGTTAAGTAAAATTATTCCTATGCTGCTGCTTTCTGAAGAATGTAATTTTATTCGGAAAATTTTAACCGACTTATTCATTTCAATATTATTATTGCTAATTAAATTGTTTCTGTGTAGTTGCTCCTTGATGATTTTAATACTGTATTAGCGGGAAATTTTTCACCAGGTTGTTCACGTCTATATATCTTTATCATGAAATTCATTTTTATGTAGCTGCTTTTTGAATACTTTAATAGTAACGGTCAAATTTTAAAGCATTACAATGGAATTTACTGAACAGACAATACTTGAGTCCTTTTCCATAACTGGTTACTGACCCATTTTCTTTCAAATATCGTTACTGTTTTACAAAAATATATTCTGCCTTTTTTAAAAAATCTCTAGTATTAATAGCAAAATATTAAACTAGCTTATCTCCTTATCGGTATTACGCAAAATTACTTTTATATAGTTGCTTTTTGAAGAATTTAATTTTAAAATATAACTAAATTACTTTTGTGAATAATACTCGAGTGTCTTCCTCTACGCAGTTTCCAACTTATTCCTTTCCATGTAACATTATTGTTACGCAGAATTCTGTGTAGCGGCTTTTGAGGAATTTAATAGAAATATTTTAAAACAAAGCAACTAAAATAAAAAATAAATCTATTTATGAACACTTTGAAATGTTCTTGTACAGGCAATTTTAACCTGGATTGCCTTTTGGTATGAATGAAAATTTAGGATATCTAATGAACACACTTTTATTCTTTAAGAAATTTCTTTAATTGTAAAATGTGAGTTATATTACCATATATCTCACATTTCCTTCACTTATTATCAAATAATTCTTATAAATATATTTGTAATATATATATGTGATGTACCAGCTTTTGCCCGGAATAAATAGAATGCTGAAGAATCATAAATGTAGTTGTAGCTTAAATTATCAGACGATAAGTTTAAAAAACAGGATCCATTTATTATTATTCAGGAGAAATAGCAGTTACAAAATCATATTTCCGGAGTAAATAAAAAAGAATTACTAATAACTTTTTGTATGAAGTTTACTGCATCGTGACACTTAAGTAAAAGCCCCCGATATTCCTTTGCGAATCCTTTTATAGCCTCTGGAAAGGCGGAGCTTCCAAGAAATGACGTCAGCCTCGTCAGCCAATCCAGTTCGCTTTAAATATTCCAGAACATTCTATAACTGTACGTGTAGAAAAGGCGGGAAAAACAACTTGACTACGGGGCTATGGATTTAATTCCACGTACTTTCAAATAAGAGACCGTCGCCATTAAAAATGAAAAGAACATACAATTAGAATTTTAAGTGTATTCTTGACTATGGAATTTTATTATTACATATATACCGGGTGATAAAAAAGTCAGTATAAATTTGAAAACTTAAATCACGGAATAACGTAGATAGAGAGGTAAAAATTGACATACGTACTTAGAATGACATGGGGTTTTATTAGAAAAGCAATAATCTGATCAGAAAAGCAATAATTAGCATAACAAATGAAGACAAAGCAAAGATGATGTTGTTTACAGGAAATGCTCAATATGTTCACCATCATTCCTCAACAATAGCTGTAGTCGAGGAATAATGTTGTGAACAGCACTGTAAAGCATGTCCGGAGTTATGGTGAGACATTGGCGTCGGATGTTGTCTTTCAGCATCCCTTGAGATGTCGGTCGATCACGATACACTTGCGACTTCAGGTAACCCCAAAGCCAATAATCGCACGGACTGAGGTATGGGTACCTGGGAGGCCAAGCATGACGAAAGTGGTGGCTGAGCACACGATCATCACCAAACGACGCGCGCAAGAGATCTTTCACGCGTCTAGCAATATGGGGTGGAGCGCCATCCTGCATAAAAATCGTACGTTCCAGCAGGTGTTTATCAGCCAGGCTGGGGACGATGCGATTCTATAACATATCGGCGTACCTCTCACCCGTCACGGTAGCAGTTACAAAAATAGAATCACGCATTTCCTCGAAGAAAAAAGGCCCGATAACAGTACATTTTTTGAACTTTTTTGGAGGGGGTTCTAATAAAACCCCATGTCATTCTAAGTATGTGTGTCAATTTTTACCTCTCTATCTACATTATTCCGTGATTTATTAAGTTTTCAAATTTATACTGACTTTTTGATCACCCGATATATAACATATATATAACATGCATTTCTGAAGGAATGCCAAAAATTCTTCCAAGAATTAAAAAATAAATTTATCCAGAAAATGGTGGAATATCCAGAGGAAGAATCACTCTGTATAATATAAAATGTTTATTTATTGTCAAGTAAGACAGCCTTTCTTATTCAGTTTTCTTTTTCAGAGAAACCATATGCTGTTTGGAAATATTTGGGGAAAAGGCAAAGGCCAGCAAGGTCTGAGGACTCATGCCGCCAATGCTGCTCGATCTCATGCGAAAATATCACCTGCCAACACCTTGAACATGGTGAGTCCTCGCCATGCGATGACACCAAACCACTACGTACTCGCGGGAGACCGCGATATGCAGTCCAGGTGAGAATTTAAAACTGCCTTCGAGGATTAAGTACTGCAGTTATATAATATGTGTAAATGATAAACTGGTGTTGCTTACATGACTGATAGTGATTTAATATTGATATATTTATAGCTTTCTTTTAATTAATCCGATACTCAAATGCTAAAATTGCACACGAATGTATACAAATCTTTTCAAAGTTGAACTGCGCCATTTTGAATTAGGTATTTGACAGTTTTCAACAGTTTCAGGTATTCGTCTCATTTTAAGATTTGCTAATATCCGGAGGAAAAATATATTCTCTTTTCTGTAAGGGAAAAAGATTTCAAAAGTAAAATTCAAATTTTATTGAAGACGTAAGAGCTAAGAAACAAAAAGCATGTTTCTTTTATGAAATAGTCGTGTGGGCTGTGGAATGTGTAAATTAGTGGCATCATAGTTAGCTTTTATTGCTATGTATTGCCAGTTAGTATTGTATTTATCATCAATAAAATCAGTTGATGAAAGCGAATCTTTAGCTACTTTTAAGATAAAAAATTTTTAGAAGACACAAAGACTGCCTAATCTTTCACCTTATTTTAATTATTTTAAAGAATTTAAAGCCGCACTAACTTTAAAGAATTAAAGCCTTTAAATTTTAATTTAAAGAATTTAAAGCTTTTTTCTGTAGTTTATAGATTTTCAATTTTTGCTTGAGAAATTCCTCAGTGGGATTGATTACTTAATGTATATAAAATCAATAATAGCAAATAAGATCTTTGTTGAAAACATTTATGGTTTCGATAATATGTTAATTTAGTTTACTAAGTATTCGTATGATGTTAAAATTGTATTTCATTTTAAGGTTATTCTCTTGTACGTTTAAAATTTAAAGATATGTATATATCACGAAAGTAAGATATTTTTTCTGATACCTGTAGCTGCTGCAAAATTTTTATAGTGTTCCGTTTCAGATACATTTAAATATCTTTTCTGTATATCAGATATTAAATATGCTTGCAATATTTGTAAATTAGTATCTTCAATTCTGAAAATACTCTTCAGGTGCAACAGAATAGGTGTTAAATGCAGTTGCGCATTCAAGAGGTTTGAGCAGAGAAATTCATTCCTTTGTCCAAATTCTCAGCGTAAAATTATAGCCATTTATTGGGAACTGTCATATTATTTCTTAAACTAAATATTTATCTAGATTACTATGAACGTAAATTATGAATTTTGAACCCTCGAAAATATTTCGCGTGATTATCGATGGTAGAAATATTTAGGCTAGCCTTTTTCACTGTTTCATAGGGAAACGTTCAACGTCATAAAAAGTAATATTTCAAATAAGAAGGATATAATATAAGGAAGTCAAATAGTATCCGCACCAGATTTTTTTTTTATTACGGTGACCCACGCAATAGCATCCGCCAAAAAAAGGGATCCCCGTGGAGGATTTTTTAAGGAAACTGCCTCAACCCACGTTACGCATGGGGAAACCATGGAAACGGCTGTGCAGCAAGCCCGTTCGCCGATATTCGAACCCCAGGACCGAACTACCATTGTTCAGAGACTTTACTGTTCGGCCGCTGATGGGCGTTTACAACTCCGTTTGCAAAGTTCTTATAAATCGCACTATATGCATATATGTATATTAATATCATTCCATAGGCAAGCAGTTCTTTCATAACATTTGTAGTCTGAAGCTAGGCCATAATTTCAGAGATTTCTTAGGATCATGTGTAGTTTATGTAACTTAACTTGAGTAGCTATAATATAACCACTGGATCCGCCACTGAGCAGAAGTATTTTACAAGAGAATAGCCTGATTTATATGCATCTATCTTGATTTTTAAATGCTTATATTATGTTATCTAATGTATTGTTTGATTACTATGATACAGTACAGTTTAAATACAAGCTGGATCCTGTTGCTCAATCGTAATTTTCCTACTGCTGAATGAAAAGATTGTGTTCCTTTTGATCTGCACCCAAACCTGCATGTTTCTGTTCGTTTTGCATGACGCCATCTTTTTATATTTGAATTGCACTGATGGTGATCTTTATATTTGCATGAGGTATGTATGCGATTACACGAAGTGTTATCATTCAGAGGCATGTATTTACTGCTTTAATCTCATAACACTAAATATAGTATTGTGTTTTTTGTTTGTTTATACACTGAAGTGACAAAAGTCATGGAATACCTCCTAATATTTTGTCGGTCCTCCTTTTGCCCGGCGAAGTGCAGCAACTCGACGTGGCATGGACTCAACAAGTCGTTGGAAGTCCCCTGCAGGAATATTGAGCCATACTGCCTCTATAGGCGTCCATAATTGTGAAAGTGTTGACGATGCAGGGTTTTGGGCACGAACTGACCTCTCGATGATGTCCCATAAATGTTCGATGGGATTCATGTCGGGCGATCTAGGTGGCCAGATTATTCGCTGGAATTGTCCAGAATGTTCTTCTAACCAATCGCGAACAATTGTGGCCCTGTGACATGGCGCATTGTCATCCATAAAAATCCCATCGTTGTTTGAATACGTGAAGTAAATGAATGGCTGTAAGTGATCTCCAAGTAGCTGAAGGTATCCATTTCCAGTCAATGATCGGTTCAGTTGCACCAGAGGACCGAGTCCATACCATGTAAAAACAGCCCAGACCATTATGGAACCACCTCCAGCTTGAACGGTGCCTTGTTGACAACTTGGGTCCATGGCTTCGTGGGGTCTGCGCCACACTCGAACCCTACCATCAGCTCTTACCAACTGAAATCGTGACTCATCTGACCAAGCCACGGTTTTCCATTCGTTTAGGGACCAACCGATATGCTCACGAGCCCACGAGAGTCGCTGCAGGCGATGTCGTGCTGTCAGTAAAGGCACTCGAGTCGGTCTTCTGCTGGCATAGCCCAAGGAAGACAAATTTTGCCTCACTGTCCTATCGGACACGTCCCACGTACGTCCCACATTGATTTCTGCTGTTATTTGACGCAGTGTTGCTTGTCTGTGAACATTGACTACTCTACGCAGACGTCGCTGGTCTCGGTCGTTAAGTGCAGGTGGTCGGCCACTGCGCTGTCCATGGTGGGATGTTATGCCTGAAATTAGATACTCTTGGCACACCCTTAACACTATGGATCTCGGAATGTTGAATTCCCTAACGATATCCGAAATGGAATGACCCATGCGTCTAGCTCCAACTACCATTCCGCGTTCAAAGTCTGTTAATTCTCGTCGTGCGGCCATAATCACGTCAAAGCCTCTTCACATGAATAACTTGAACATAAATGAAAGCCCTACCAAAGCACTTCGCATTTATACATTTTCTACGCGATACTACTGCCAACTGTATATTTGCATATTGCTATCCCATGACTTTTGTCACTTCAGTGTAAATTTAAAAAATATGGTTCTGTTTTTCTGTTCAGACATCGAAAAGGAATTCTGAAGTTGAGATTTATGGATTCATTTTTGTTTTCGTTCTTTTGTTTACATTTGTTTCTTTAGTTTTTAGTTTTTCAAAATCGGCAATGAATAAATACAGCGGTCGTTTTCAATTTTAGTGAATAAGCTTCTTAATCAGTGAACGTTGAGATGTGATGTTTTGGAGTTCTCTTCTCCAATTTGTGGTATAGTGTTTTGTTTTAAAGAAATGCTTTTGAAAGAGAGGAACTGAAAGAAAGAGAGATGTAGGAAACAACAGAATTATTCTCTTATAAAGTATAGAAAGGAACCTAAAAGTATATTTGATGTATTACTTTCTCATCTTACCTATTAATATAAGTGCACATTTTAGTGATTAGTAAGAATTTTTATATTAATAAATAAGAAATTTTAAGTAAAACGTAATAATTTTTAAGGTGAATTTTCCCTGGGTGATAATGTTCTAAATTCGCAAAACATTTTTAATTAAAAATGGTTTTAATTAAAGAGGTTTAATTAGAATATTTTAATCTAATTGTTCATAAAGTACATTTATTATAATACAAGTTTTAAAACCGGTAAGATTGTTTTATTTAATACACATAACTGCATTAAATGATTTATTAAACAAATCTTTTAATAAATTAAACATCTGAAATGTAAATTCATTAAAAGTGTCAAAAATTTTTACTGTTAGTATTTCTTTGCTATGTGTATAATTTTTCTTTCAATATTTAGATCATACCTTCTCGTGTTACCGATAAGATTTGGGAACTGCGCATTAATTTGTAAATTAGATCACTGCTAATTTTAAAAAAAAGGGCCGAGATTAAAATAATAAATTGGCAGCTCTAAGAAAATATTCACATTTTTATTTACACTGATGTAAATTAATATTAATTAAGTATTCCAATTAAAATGACATAAATAAATACTAAATAAGCATTCCAATTTTCCGATTAATTTATAAAAATATCATAATTTTTTCAAGTGTTTATGCAGTATTTGAGAGTTTTTCTACCGCTTGTTAATTTTTAGGCAAGAAAGAGCTGACATGAAAAAGCAGATTTTATTTAAATTTTCGAAACAATAAATGTTTTTTATAACATAATATGACCTTGCATTTACTTAACGTTAAATTAACTTAAACGTAATGAAAATTAAATTCACATAAATAAAAACTAATAAATAAAACACATAAATAAAAACTCGAAAGTACTGTAGATCAAGCTTTATTGTAATAAACCCAACGGCTTGTACCATAAACCATTACCACAAAAAGGAAAAGGGTATTCTATCAAATTCTTGTAAGTTCTGTCATTTAGATACTTTTAGATGTTCTTCTGTCACAGCACAGTCCTCATTTTCTTGCACAATCTTCTTACTTCGTCAGCTTTTTTTCCCTCTTTTCCCTCCACAGTGGCTTCTCTGTGAGCGAAATTCACCTCAATGTCCCTTCACGCTTTCCCTCACGTCTAGAGACCATCTGCCATCGATCCTTCCAAGGCTCCTCGGAGGACACGTCCTTGACACGTCATGGGAGTACGTGTTCCCTTGGAGTGCATCTTTTTGCTTCAGGAAGAAGCCCCTTCCTTTCCCGGAAAGAGCCT